TATTATTAAATCAAAAATTGTGATATAATCATCATCTTTGATTTGATAAATAAGGATGTACAATACTTACGTCCTCATTAATAAGAATCTATAACATAAATATTTTTTTAATATTAATATTTTATTTTTTTTAATAAATTAAATTATTTAGCTTTAAATTTAATACTTGCTCTCTGGAGTGAAAACACAAAAGAATATTTGCCCCCTCCCTCTTCTCACGCGTCTTTTGACTTGACTTTTTTAGAACTTTAGTAAAATTAAATCTGCAAACACATACATAAATATATTGAAAACAATGCCAAAAAGGGTGAAGCAGCAAATGAAAAATATCTTTTGACTTTTTAAGAACTAGCAAAATTAGATCTGCAAACTAATCCACTGAAAGAAAATTAGAAATTGAATATATCCAAGAAACTGGAAACTGGAAACTGGAAACTGGAAGTGGGGTTGAGAAAATCGAAGCTATATTGAAAAGAAGTATCAGGAGCATATGAAAAGTCGTCGAGCACAATTGTAAATGTATGAATGAATGTGTTCAATTTTTTTGTCTTAAAGGTCACCCCTAACATGGATTTTTGGGGTCCCTGTTCATTAATACGCTTAGCAGGAGAAAGAATGACCTCTAAAAATGAACTGCTAGCCCAAAGTTTTTTTGTCAAACAATGTATATACGGAGTAATAATTTAATAAGGCTATCAAAATAATGGCAATTTGAAGGCGCTGTTGAGATAAATTAAATACAAATCAATTAATATTTATCATTATTTTTACAGAATGATTGGCAACTTGAGTTTGCAGTTTAGAAAAGATTATTTGAAATTAAATTATTGAGCTTAAACCTCTGTCACAATGTAGAAAAATAAGAAAGGAATAGGGAGTATTTTTACATAAAAAAATTAAAAAAAAAAAAAAGAAGAAGAGAGAGAGAGAGAATCAAGGAAGCCAGTTGTTTTTGAAAGAAAAAAAGAAAAAAAGAAAAAAGAAAAGAAGTAATGATAGTAATGACAGTGGGATAAATCATATTAATTATGTGTTATCATGTATGAACTATGAACTGATTGATGTAAGAAATATTATATGTTAGTTCATATTTAAATAAATCATTTTGAATTATCGGACTTTAGAATACTAAATCATTCAATATAAATACTAAATCATTCAATATTAATAGGGACGGATTTATTTAAGGACTAATTTGGACTATAGATCAGTTCTAAAAAATAAGATTTTAGTATTATTATTTTACATCAGTCAAAATACTATTCTTTCTCTTAAACTCGGTTCATATAAAATAATATTCACTTTTTAACTTATTGCACTTTGTAATTCTAACTACACTCCTCTATATATTTGGTTGGAAAGGTAAATTGAAAACTACGGGGTAGGATACAATGTGCCTTGGAACCAAATAACGTTTCGACAGTCAATACTCCACATGCGCTCATGAGCTAAAAGAAATCTAATTCTAATTATACTACTACTTGAGAAGTTTTCTAAGTCTTTTTGAATGAATAAGACTATACTAGGAATCATGTGTACTGCGTAACACACATAGCTACATTATATATATATATATATATATATATATATATATGCCAAGTTGCCAACTGTTTGTAACCCCTAGGTTTATGGAATTAATTAAGCATATGCAATGTCTACGCACATGCCACGTTTGTTTGGTCAATCAATTGAACAAGAAGTCAGGCAATTAATATACGTATGATCATAGGATAAATTGGTTGATGAACATGTGAAATGATTTAGACTTGCCTGTATAATTTAAACGACTTATACCATAATTATTGTAAGCATAGTCACATAATTCGCTCAAATCACTGACGCTCCATTGTTCTACGCGCGAATCGGCATTTTAAGAGTGAATTCATCAAAAATTCTTCCATGTTTCTTAATTTGCGAATTAAATTTAATAATTCGTCAATTTTTAATATTTAATTTGACGAATTGTGTAAGAAAAAAGCGCGTATTCTATTCAAGAAATTCGACTTTGGAAAATAAATTCACGAATTTAATGTGAATCTTGATAAATTTCAGTTTTACCCCCAACTTAAACAGACCAAAAAAGATTAATTATGTCCAGTCCTTTATAGGTCAAATGATATAATAATAGAGTTTAAAATTAATAATACTTTACCTTCAATATTTATTAGTAAATAAATAAAAGAAGGAATAACTTTTCATATTCTGAATGTAGGGTTTTTCACTTCTTTACATTTTGCTTTTGGGTTTGGAAGTTTGGATATTTCATATCTGTTTGAAAGTTTAGTAGTAGAATTTGCAAACTGAAGTATTGTTTCTTTTTCTTTTGCTTTTGAACATTGCTATTTCAAAAATAATAATTGTTATATTAAGAGATTAAAGCAGGTCAAATGTATAAATATGAATGAAATTCATTATTATTATTATTATTATTATTTGTTGTTATGCAGTTATGCTTGGAATTTTTTTTTTAGTTATACCCTATTCACTGTTATGTTTTTGTTTTTATAAAGCAGCTTGTTTGATTGTTATGTTTGATTAATTTATGCATTTTTTATAAAGTATATTGATTGTAATGGACTCATATTTGATTCACTATTATGTCTTTTTATTTGCATGAAATTTATTTAAAGCATATATCTACTATTTTTATAAGTTTATAATGCAGCACTCCCGCTTTAAATTTTTTTTGTGATATGCCGCTCTCACGCTTTCGTTACCACTCTATATGACTTGGAGCATATCAATTGCATATATATAAATTGAAGTCAGCCCCAATATGATTAATTTATATATAGGACTAATTAGGGGTGACAATTTAAGCGTAAATTTATTAAATCATCTAAGTCCGTCTATTAAAATTAAATTCTTTGAATATTTAAATTTGAGTAAGTGAGTTAATAATGAGTAAAAATTGTGTATCCATTTAATTAAATAGTCAATGATGATTTAAGAATGAGTATCCATCTTAACCCGAAACAAAATTATATACTTTTTTCTATCTCTTCTATTTTCTCTTTTTTTATGTCATTATAAAAATAAAAAAAAAAATTGTAACACTTGATAGAAAATGTTATAACGGCCCAACAGCAGATATGGTGAATTTTGATTTTTCAAGATTGATATCGAAATCATTTCGTGTAATATGGTGTGAGAGGCTGAGTGGTTTAGAATCAATTGAAGATACGAGTTTTTTTTTTTTTTTTTTTTAACACAATTGAAGATACAAGTGATGCCACGACAACTAGCAAATCACGGGACATGGGCGGACCAGAAACATTAATTTGAGCGGACCGATTTGTGTTCAATTCAAGATAGAAAATGTTATTTGTACAGTAGGATCAATTCATGCCGGGACTAAAAGTCATGACATGGGGTCCTAATCTTGAAAGAGACGGAATTCGTAAAAAGTGATAGGAAAAAAGATATTCAATATATCTGGCTCACGAAATATCCTCTCAGTAATATGTTATTAATTTTTGTATGACCATGCCACATAATAATTGTATGCCTATTAAAAAGAGATTTGTGTAAAAATAATTATCAAAGAAATTTCGAGAGAAATAAATAATTCAAGTTTCAACTCGCATTGAGCAATAAATAATTCAATAATCTGATCAAATAATATTTCCTATAGTTTGAGAAAAACTACAAGTTCAACTCGCATTGCACTAGGAGTGTGTTGAGGCAATAGCAAAATAATATAAAAATAAAAATCGAAGTCTGGGTATATATTTACCCAAATAAAACTAATTATCCAAGAAATTTCAAGAGAAAAACTACAAGTTTCTACTCGCATTGCAATAGGAGCGTGTTGAGTCAATAGCAAAATAATATAAAATAAAAAATCGAAGTAGTATATATTTACCTAAAAAAACTATTTATAAACAGTAATACTTCACAATTGAAGAAGATTCAAATACTGATTATGGATCTATATCTAAAAGAAGATATGGGAAATTATCTATAAATTAAAAGTACATCATAATATCTTAGAAAAATATAAAATTTAATTAATATTTTTCTTTTCTGGAATGTGTGGTTCCTAAAAGGACGTAAAAGAGAATCTAAACATTCATCACCCCTATTTTGAAGGAATTTATGGGCTCCCCTTAGTGCCCACATCAATAGAGCTGGCCATATCTCATATTAGCCCATAAACCTAGCTATACATAGACTATGTGTTTTGAATGATTAATGATAATAAATCATTCAAAAACTATATTAAACCACAACATAGATTGATATATATTCTCTCATTTTAAATTTGTTGTTGCTATTTAAAATTTGAGTAGTGATATTTGCACCTATTTGTTATTACCTAATTAAAAAATTTTAATGAATTACTTATATACCATACAAATAGAGGGTCCAACTCCCTTATTTGTTATATTAATGAACCAATTAAAATAAGTAGTTCTGATAATTCACTGCTGCAGTAAATGACAGAATCATTTTCATTAAAATTTTAACTTTTTAAGAGGATAAGTATTTAGCTAGTCAGTGGTTAAAATTCGCCAACTATCAATTAAGAATCTTGAATATATATATTTTGTAATTAAGTGTTAATTTCATTCCATATTAAAAAAGTAGAGTTTTCAACAGATAAAAAAATTCCATTTTAACCGAGAGAACCCGAGTGATACAATATGTTTTTCTAATTATATAAAATATCTTACCTCTAACTTATATTGATAAGCGGATATGCATATTATTATATTTATTAAAACCCCATTTAAAAAAGAAAAGTGGGGTCCACGCACACTTTGATCGATTGGTTAGATGACCTAAAATCAAGCAAATCAAGGATGGTTTTAGGGTAGGAGTAGAAACACGGTGAATCTTCTCTACATTGGTATGGTATGTGAGTGTGTGTGTGTGTGGGTTCGTGGAATTTTCATCATAGATTCCAGCTAATTAAGCAGCAAAATAAAGTTTTTAAAACCAAGATTCATTGTCTTTAGTAGACTTTGTAAAGTCAAACAAAAGACGTCACCTTCTAAATCTCTCTGCCCTTTTTGTAGCATTTACATACACACCCTGTGTAGCTCTCTAACTCTATATATATGGGGGTAATTGGTCTCTTTAAATGCATAGAAGACTATTCGATATTTGTTAGGAGTTGAAAAACACCTAACGAACGTTTTTCTCCTATTGTTTGTTTCATCTTCTTCCCCTGTTCGTTTCTCTCTCTGCACTCAACAGTCATGGGAACTCAAGCTCCGACCGACTATATGCCCAACGGCAAAGTAAGCCTCTCCCTCTCTATATACATATACATACACATGTATATATATATATATACATATATTTATACACGTACGTACATGCATGCCGAATATATTACATGTATGATTTATACGACTGTATACGCTGCTTCTTCGTGCAAAAAATCTCTGAAGCGTCTCGACTTTGATGACTTCCAAATTTGTTGGAGTTGTTTATTCGTCTTGATTTTTCATGTTAATATTTTGTTTTCATGTTTTAATTTCTTGGTTTTTGTCAATTGTGGCTTTCCCAATTAAACAGATTTTCTCCAGTTTGTTTGGTTGTTGAGAATATGATGATGTAAAAGAAAGAATTTTGGGATGTCAATTTTGAAGTTTGTGGAACCTAAAGTTTATTCTCTCACACGAACAAGCACAAATAGTTCTCACCGCTACATCAATTAGTGAGTTGTAGTTGGGACACTGTCCAAAACTCACTAGACCTAGAGCCTACACCCCACATTCGGGGATTTAGTAGCCAATTCCTGTGTACTAAGCGCGTTTTTTCACATGGTGTGTGTGTTTTTAATGTATATATACTTGTTTTCTTTGACTATCTTAGCGTGACCATGCCACTAATTTCTTTGATTCGAAGAGAGGGACACTCAACCACGATCACAATCACATGGGTTGGCTGCCAAATCATATCTTCTAACCATATTGTAGTAATTTGTATTGTTTGACCTACTCTGAACTAATATTGGTATAAAAATGAATGGTTGGCAAAAACTTTGGATATTTTTTTCTCTCCTTAACTTAAGGTAAGGTTTGGAATCTATTGTCTGAGTCCATGTTTGGTACCCTGTCTATGGCCACGGGCAGGGATTATGACTTTTCAGTAAACGTACCTATCAACTCTCCTTCGAAGAAGCTTCCAAATTCAATTCATAGGAAAATTCGTTACACATTCACACCTAAACAAAATCAATTTTTCATTAAAGCCTATTTTTTATATATATACTTTTTTGGAAGTTAGCAAACTGATCGATGGAGTGAATTCGAACTCTTTTGGCCAGGAGCAGCACATGCCCTACCACTACATTATCACCGCATCCTATTTTATATTTATATATATTTCATCTAATTTGAATGATTATTTATTTATTTATTTATTATTATTATTTTTGGTGGATAATGTTATGACTCATAACTATTATCATACCTATTTATAGCCCATTTCATGTGTAATTTGAATCAGCCAGTTGATTTGTTGTTAACACCCAAATTCTAGAAAAGTGAGCTTAGTTGTTTGAAATTTGGCCAAAAGCTTCCCATCATTTAAAATATATATATATATTAATCTTTTTGTGACGTGGAATACAAGGATGGCAATGAAGTACCATTTCTTGGTTATATTTTTCAGATTGATCTTCCTCTGTAATCCAAACCCAACTTGTAGATGGTGTTAGGAACTAAATTAAATTCCTTCGGATTGTGATTCAAAAATATGGAATTTTGGTATGAAAAATTTATAATGATACTTCTATTTTTAAAGCTTTATTTTTTTGGGTCTGTTAAATACTGTAATACATATTGATTTGATTTAAAGGGTCAGTATTTGGTATTAAGGGTAAAAAACAGAGGCATATTTTAATGTTTATAACTTTAATACCTTACAAACTGAAACAATACAGTACTATTTGATTCTTTTGTTTTCATTCATGCATATATATAGATTTTTCCTTCTATTGAAAAATTGTATATTTTTTTCTTTGTACTGAATGTAATGAAAGAAATGTTTATATGATGAACCACAGGTTGATCAACGAACAGCGAAGGAGAAGGCAATTGACGATTGGCTTCCCATCACTTCGTCGAGGAATGCAAAATGGTGGTACTCAGCTTTCCACAATGTCACTGCCATGGTTGGTGCTGGTGTTCTCAGCCTTCCTTATGCCATGTCTGAGCTTGGATGGTATGCTTAGCTCCACAACAACATATATTATATTTTCATTCAATATTATTTTATAACTTGAAAAATATTGGTTTTTTGGGTAGCAAAATTTCCATTTTAATTTTGATTTATTAATGCAATTGTGAGTCATGCTTTGAAGTTTATGAGTCAGTTTAAAAATTTATGACCCTCTCCAATTCTATAATATTTCTTGAAGGGCTTCAATTTGTTCTAAAAATTAAGAGTGTTTACATGATTTTATTAAAGAATTTTGCTCTTTTAATGTGCTGCTTCATTGTTTCACTATTAAATTGTTAATTTTTAAAATAGTGAAAACTTACATTTTTGAGAGGGAAAAAAATATAGATGCATGAGGTTTTGAAAACCTGTGCAAACCATTATTTTCATTTACTTCTCAACATAACATTTTAATGCATCATATAGCTTGTTTGGGCAATCATTTGATGATATAAAATTATTATTATTATTTTTGATTATGTGAGTTTGAGATGAATAAAGTGTATATAAAAATAATGGAGTAGTGATTTAATAATGAAATTTCAGGGGTCCTGGTGTAACAGTGCTGGTGATATCATGGATAGTGACATTATACACACTGTGGCAAATGGTAGAGATGCATGAGGTAGTACCAGGGAAGCGTTTCGACAGATACCATGAGCTAGGTCAACATGCATTTGGTGAAAAACTCGGTCTGTGGATCGTAGTGCCTCAACAGCTGATTGTGGAAGTGGGCGTGGACATAGTGTATATGGTCACGGGAGGAAAATCCCTCAAGAAATTCCATGATTTAGTGTGCGATAAGCATTGCAAGGATATCAAACTTACATACTTCATTATGATCTTTGCGTCTGTCCATTTCGTGCTCTCCCATCTTCCCAACTTCAACTCCATTTCTGGTGTGTCTTTGGCTGCAGCAGTTATGTCATTGAGGTATGTATACAATATAGTAGTATTTGTTTGTATGTATGTGTGTGATAAAAATTGTCCGGTTGACAAAGATGATGATGATGATGATGATGATGATGATGATATTAATTGAATTGTGATACTACAGTTACTCAACCATTGCTTGGACAACTTCTCTTCACAAGGGTGTGCAAGCAGATGCGGAATATGGGTATAAAGCAAAGACGACTTCCGGAACAGTATTTAACTTCTTTAGTGCATTGGGTGAAGTGGCATTTGCGTATGCCGGGCACAATGTGGTATTGGAGATTCAAGCAACAATCCCTTCCACGCCTCAGAAGCCTTCCAAGGTGCCCATGTGGAGAGGAGTGATCGTTGCCTACATTGTGGTGGCCTTGTGTTACTTCCCTGTTGCTCTCATCGGCTACTGGATGTTCGGGAATGCAGTCTCTGACAATATCCTCATCTCATTAGAGAAGCCGACATGGGTAATTGCAATGGCTAACCTCTTTGTTGTCGTTCATGTCATTGGAAGCTATCAGGTACTCAACAAATCTAGCTTCTTTGGTTTTTTCCATCTCATATATCACGCTACTTGTTGTTTCCATTCCATGATTTTTGATGGTTGTCGTCATCTTTAATTATGCAGATTTATGCCATGCCAGTATTTGACATGATAGAAACTGTGCTGGTCAAGAAAATGAAATTCAATCCCAGTTTTATGCTTCGCTTTATTACACGAAATGTATATGTGGGTAAGTAGTGCAGCATTAATTCATCATACAGAAGAAGCTTTTTTCGTGTTATGTATCGCAGGTGGTGGTGTTAACCATGTTTGTAACTTTTGTTGCAGCATTAACAATGTTTGTGGCGATTACCTTCCCTTTCTTCGGAGGTCTTCTAGGATTCTTTGGAGGATTTGCATTTGCCCCTACAACATACTTTGTAAGAAGCCAGCTTCTTCTTCTTCTTGTTAAAATTGTATAAACAAATGGTTTCGAGTTTAATCTCTCATATATTTCAATATTTTGTTGCAGCTACCTTGCATCATGTGGCTTGCCATCAAGAAACCAAGGAGATTCAGCTTATCTTGGATTGCAAACTGGGTATGTGCAACTTCAAATGAACGTCGTCACATTTATGTTAATTTGTCATTTTTTATTACCTACCTTTCAAATTGATTTCAAATTAATTAAATCTCAATTTGCATGATTTTGATGAATATGCAGATCTGCATTATACTGGGACTTGGGTTAATGCTTGTATCACCTATTGGAGGTTTAAGAACAATCATAATTCAAGCCAAGACCTATAAATTCTACTCTTAGTCCTTCAACACCAAGACGAGGCTAGGAAGTGGTTTGTGTTATAAGTAGCAGTAGCAGTAGCAGTAGCAGGCAGAGAAGAATATGAAGATGATGAATGATGGCCATGGCTGATTTCGTCGTCGACTAATCAATTGCAATTTCTGAAGTATTAATATATATTTTTTGGCTTGTTTTTGGAGATTGCAACTCTCTGGCCATGGAACGTACCAGCCAAAAACATATCCTGGAGGTCTCTATTTGTTTTCTGTTTTTCTTCTTCTTTTTGCTCTCATTAAATGGTGTGCACATCTATATATATGAATATCTCCCTTCATGTTTATTATTGTTTTCTGTTTTTCTCTGAAATGAAATATGGTGGATTCCAAATATTCCTCCTTTCTCGAAGTTGATGTGTAGCATCCAAACATCAAAACTGGAATTTGATGTCTCAATTCCATGATATATTCCAATTTGATGAGTTTGAATTTAAATTTATTTTCATTGAGATATCTATTAAATATGTGTCCAAGGGGACCATTATATTCTTTGATATTTTATCAAATATGAAATTGCAAGATTCGCTTTGTATTAATAAATATCAAATTTTAGATGTTTTTGAAGTTTACCCCTCTTAGAACTTCACATCCACACAAACATTACGTACATTATATCCTCTTAAACCCCGAAGTAAAGTTATAATTAAAAATAAATGAATAAAATCCAAGCGAAGTGGTAGAGCTCAAAATGGGAATATACATATTAGATACAAATGGAAGCTACAATCCCTTCCTTCTACACCCTACTTCCCTGTTGCTCTAATTGGGTGTTGGATGCTTGGGAATAAAGTGGACCACAACATACTCATCACATTATAAAAACCTGTATGCCTCATTGCAACCGCTAACATATTTCAGGGCAAGTACAATGCTTCACTTTATTACAAGAAATCTTTGTGTAACTAAGTTGCCTCTTCATCCAATACAAAACCTTTGTCATATGAAGTTCTATTGCTTAAAGTTGATGCATTTTGTTTGCTTACAGCATTAACAATGTTCCCTTTCTTCGGTGGTCTTCTTGGGTGGATTTGCATTAGCCCCAACAACATATTTTGTAAGTGAAAATCTGCTTGTTATTGTCGTCGCAATTGTATTTAGATGGGTTACTTGTCCTGCAACAAGGATTTTGTAGGATTGCTTAATGCCATCCTATCTCATCTTTCTTCACCTCCCTTGCTTCCTCATGTGGCTTGCCATCTACAAACCTAAAAACTTCAGTTTATCTTGGTTTACTAATTGGGTATGTGCAACTTGAATGTCAAATTAATTCCCTTGTTCTCCGTTTGCCCTTAAATTAAAGGTAAGTTGATTTAATTTGGCTTCATGAATTTCAGACGTGCATAATAATTGGCCTTCTTTTGATGATTGTATCCCATCCCCTATTGGAGGGCTGAGGCAAATAATAATTCAAGCCAAGGACTATCATTTCTACTCTTAAACCATTTTTCAACACCAGGAGGAAGTGATTTGCCAAAAAATTTCCCCAACAAAACTTATTATTTACTCTTCTATTTTATTCATTAAATGTTCTGCATATATATATATATCTCCTGTCTCTTCATGATTGGTTTCCTTTCTTATTATGAAACAAAAGTGGACTATAAAATCTTCCCTGAAATTATGAGTAAAGGTGATACAAGACTTTGTATTATGTGACCACCTAAAAAACATTTTGCTGTCACCTGCTAACTAAAATATAGGTTTCGTAGAGTTCACAGTACTTTAGTGCTAACTATGTTTTTAAGATAAATATATGTACAGATGACGAAAAGTGTTTGCCTTATTCACCATGCATTTCCCTCAATAACTATGATTTCCTCCCCAGTTTTAAATAATTCAACTGGGAATTGCCAGCATACCAATTTCGGGTATAAAGCAATTCGAACAAAAGCTATGTTTGGCACTAAATTTTCTCCAATTTCAAAAATTATACCAGATTTCATAATCCTGCAAGAGGCCATTGGGCATCGCTACTGTTATTCATTCTGGGCATTCTCTGTTCTAGTCTACTCATTATCCTTGTCAAATTCAAACGAGCAATCGAAAAAGTGAACTCAATCTACAGAAACAACGTCTTCTTAAACATTGGCTCCTGTCAAGCTACCAAGTTTTATTTGATTAATGGATGCATTTAATGTTGAAAAACTCAGGTGCTGACTCAAAGCTCTTGATAAATGAGACTTGCGTTGTTGAGGATCAAAAACATAAAACCTATCAGATGATTCTAGATGTATAAATAGCTGCTACGTTTGTGAAAATTATTGACGTAACAGAATATATATGGTCGTGGAATGAGGAGTAATGTATACTTGTAAGGTTTGTGGAGAGCCAGAATAAGTTTTCCATTATTCTTACAAATACCCATTTCAGATTGTTCAGTTTCTGATACACAAAAAAAAAAAAAAAAATTTGCTTTTTATTGGCCTCTGCATTTATGATATAAAGAAGGAATGGAAGATCCAATCCAACTTTTTTCCTCTTTTTGGGTTCTCAAAATTTTATTTCTCTATCCCCACATTTTCTTGTTTCTTCACAAGAAAGATTGAAGTTTTCTATAATTTTAATATACAATCCCTCCTTCCAAAATCAGTGCAACAATAGAAAGCTATGAACATTCAAGACCTCCGTAATTACACAACAAGAGAAAACAAAAAAATACTAAATATATTCATGGTTTTCATAGATATATGTATCAATTGAACATACAGTAAATAGAACCATCAACCCAATACTCTACCGAGTCCTATCTAATTTTCTTTTCAAGTTTACTGGTTCTTTTTCTATACAAGTCAATCCAAAGATTGGAAATCCACAGTATACTAACAGATATCGCCATTACAATCACAACAATCCAAGAAACCCAAACCCATTTCGGAATCACATCATTCATTGCCCCACTTGCATAAAACAGAGTCATTTCAATCACAAAGAGAGGTCCAACCAAACCTCTAACAACAGAATAAAGAGCATAAAATGGAAGGGACAAAAAGTCATACACTTTGGCTGCAATTTCCAAATCCGCTTTCCGAGCACTCGCGAGCGTCCATGTGTTTTGACAAAAGCTCGTGACCTCCGCAAGAACAAGAAGAACAAGAATCGCATAAGCTCCATGAGAAACCAAGTATCTGCAGGTGACGAAGACGAAGAGTGTGGCCAAATGGTGGCCTATGAAGAGCATGTCAGTGGGAGAGAAGATGAGATAGTGACAAAGGTCCATCAAAAAGTAGGCGATGCTATAATCGAGGACTGTGTTTTGAAAATTGGTGTTGATTGAAGCGAAACTGCGATTTGGGTCGGAGAGAATGGCGTGAGAGGCTAAGAAAACAGCGGGTGTTCCGTGAGCTAGTGAGATTAGACAGCTTGAAGCTTCGGGACGGAGATTAGGGCTCCAATGTCGGAAAACAATGAAGTGGGCAGAGAGGTAGATGATGAGAAACATTGTGAAGAAGAGAGGGAGGGTTGAGGAAAACAGAGTTGGGGTTTCTTCCATTTGAAACCCAGAATTGAATTTGAATTTTCAAGAATTGATTTGAGAGTGATGGAGAAACGAATATTTATTATTAATCTTGAAGTGAAATACAACAGGGAAGGTTGGGACTGGAAAGACTTTTCGAGTTGTCTTGTTTATGGTTGGTGGAATCTTACACGCACAGACGTAGAGAAAGAGAGTGTAAAAATTCTCTGAAGTGAAAGAGAGATTGTGTGCAAAGTCTCTGAAGTGAATTGAACTTATCAATGAGTTTTGTTCTTAAAAGCTTCAAGATGATTCTCAAGAAAAGAGAGCTCCAAAACGACCGGTATTTGCTCCAAAATGACCGGTATTTGCGTTCAAGTTTGGACTTTTTGCAAGCTAACCAGCTAATAAGAGCCTGTTTAGCAAAAAAAATTATAAAACGTTTACTGTAATTTTAATACCGAAATGCTTTGGAAAAAGGGACTAAGCAAAAATATTAAGCTATTTAGTTTATAACTCTAAAAATAGTTCTCAAAATTTAAAAAAATAAAAAACTGTTATCAAGAAAAAAATATTTTATAATTATTTTTATAATTGAGTTTTCATAAAACAATTTTTAAAAAACTGACTTAGCAAAGTGTTTGTACAGTATTTTGTTTTCAACGATTTTCATAGTTGCAAACCAAACATTTTTTGTTACTTCCGCACCGTAGCAAAAATTTTGATCACAAAAAGAAAAAGAAAAAAAAAACAAAAAATTCTAAAATGATATTTTTTACTTAACCATTTAAAATTTCAAACTTACAATATTTTTTTTATAAAAAATGTTTTCATATTTTTGCTTTCAAAAATTTTACAACAAATATACATTATCAAAGAGGCTCCCAATTACTATTAACACACTTCAAAGTAAAAAATAAAAAACAAACCCTAAAGTATTCCTCTTCGGTAGAGACCATTTTGCACTTTTTGATATTGGAAAATTTTGACAATTTGTTAAAATTTCAAAGGTTTTTATTTTACTTCTTTATCTAATATACTCTATTTCTATTTCAACGTAAACCAAAATAAATAAAAAAAATCTACTATCTTAATTGAAGAACGAAGATAGTAGATTTTTTTTTTATTTTGGTTTGCGTTGAAATAGATATATATATATATATAGTTATAGTTACAAGGATAGGAGATAGCCAACTACCAACAACCTGTCTCTCCTTTTACAAAAACACGCCACGCTAATAGAAGTAGGGAAAATAAGAATATATTGCTTGGCAGTAACACAAAGTGGAGCAATTCATAGTCAATTGAGATAAATGCAATATATTATTGCCTACAAATATGTGATTAATGCAAATAAGCCATAAGCTCAAAATAAATAAATAAATAAAACAAGGGCCAAGTTACAGAGGTGCAAAAAAGATGCAAGATTTTAACATATTAATCCATTGGTATCAGAATGTAGGACGTGTCACAACAGCACCAAACCATCCATCTATCTACTCGTGGATACCAGAACGAGAGATTCAAAACCATCTAGTGTGAAACAACCTTTATCTAACCTAAAAAGAAAAAAAAAATATTGGTCAACCACTCCAATGTGGGGTCTATATCGTCCATTATTTGGTTGAGAATCTTATCACTAAAGTTTAGTTGGATAGGATGGTATAAAGAAAGAGAGAGGGTTTATCTCCCGACGTATTATTCTCTTTCGTGCCTGTCATGATTAAAATGATCCGACTATATATTTTATAATTAAAGAACAGTTTCAAATTATGACCAACAAGCCTTAAGATTAAAATAGATTAAACGTGATTAATATGTAACTGAAATTGCATATGCTAATTGGCGATTATGACAAGGATTAAGACGATGTAGTAATGACAACCATTGACGTTGAAACAAGGGAACCATTTTTATGCTCCTCACTCAACTCAAATCACATCCATAAAGAAAAGACCCTCTCATAGGCAAATTTTCTTCTCCCATGTTTCTGTAAATTCATGCACATTACACAATCAAGACATGCCTGGCAACCAATTTAACTTCTCAATTTCTTCCCATTTGGACAAGAAAGCTTCAGGGGCGACAGAAGAACACTAAAATTAGAACCCAAGTGCCGGCAAGAATTTTCTGTATTAAACTTTTCTATTCTTTTGCTCCATAGTTTGTAAATGCAGTAGCAGAACAAACATTTAATCAATTTCTCCTTCCTCTACATCATTTGCGGTGCTCAGAATATGAGGCGGCTCACCTTCTTCCTCCTCCTCATCGACTTTCATATATAACCCAAGTTGTTCCAGAGGATTACTGGCCCCAAACTTGAAACTTCCTAAGCCATCCTGAGAGTGATCTGGGCTCGTCTCATCTACAGAGCTTGGTAGTTGCTCGGGAGGGACAGCACTTAGCATTTGTAAGTCCTCAAGAAACCGAGAATTCTCATTAATTTCAACAGTCTTTTCCATCTGCACAAAGAAAAATTTAGGATGAATAGTGCCACGGGTAGCTTTTCCTTACCCTTTTCATTTTTCTTTCTTTTCGCAACATAATATATGTTTTTACCTTTTGAAGTGCCTGCCGAGCTGCTTCCCTCTCAAGCTCTCTCTTCCGTTTGGCTACGGCCGCAGCTTCTGCTTCTGCTCGCCTTCGAGCATCTTCAGCAGCCTTGGCTTCTGCTTGCAAGCGAGCTTTCTCTGGTTACAGATAGTGAACTAATATCAAGAAATGTTCTGGAACATGACATACAAGCTAACTGATATATAGATTTCACAATAATGATGACAAATGCAACAATAAGGTCTCAAAGGTAGCAAATGTGAATAAATTAGTATTCCAAAGTTGTAAAGGTCACAACCTTTCCTTTTCTGCATTTCAAGTTCCTCCCTCTCACGGCGCAGTTTCTCAGGATCCCCCTTTTCACCCTATACTCAAGCCAGATCAAATTCGAAGTGCTTGCATTTCGACTAGTACAAATAGGGTAGTCATAAAGAACCCAATTCTGTAACTAACCTGTTTAAGTGTCTTTTCTCGAGCTTTTAATATGGTATCAGCAAAGCGGTTCTTCAAAAGAGCAGCCCTGTATAGCTTCTCAGGTGAAACCTGCCTCTGGATTGGAGCACTCTCCCCTAAAATGTTATAAGATGACGGATGAGACACCGCCACAAAACTAGATGGATACCAATTCTTTTCATCGCTCATGCTTACCATCCCGATTACAATCCAACTCATCAAAATTTTGATTCTGCTGGGGATCTTGTTCCAGCTGATCCAACCCGCTAACAGATTCTGCACAAGGCCACAGAGGAGACTTGTAAAAGAATCTTTAATTTTTACCATGCAGGGGAAAAAATTGTGAGGACACCCCAGGCCATATCATTAGTTGGCCATATGTATTAAACATAGGTTGATATTAATGTCCCTCTGCCAATATGTACCATGATTGATACTAGCAATTAGAATTTATAATTGATGCTTATGTTGACAGTTTTTCTAGTTTCAAACATGGCAACCTTTCCAGAAAATCATGGCAAAGCAAAAAATCCTCAGGCGCAACAAAAAAATTTGACACTGAAACTGTAAAGTGAGCAGTCAATAAACAATTAAAAAGAACAAAAACTACTCACGATTTCCATCATGTAAGTCGCCAACACCAGTCTTGTCATCTAAATCTGGTCCGGTATCAGAGCTCTCCTGTGCTCAAATAAAATAAATAAATTGAAATTAAGTGCGAAAACTTTTATAAGACAGCATCAAGTAAAACACTGATTCTCATGTCAATAATTCACCATTTTATTAGACAATAAAGTGAGAATAACATGAGGATATACCTTTGATTGCTTTACTGGACTAGGGGCTTTAGCACCATCTAATTCGCTCTCAGCACCGCCAGAGTCTGAAACTGCATAAGTATATGCACACCAACAATTATATGCATAACAACAGCAACGATAATAGATCAGGGAAAAACAACAAATTCCAATTATACACAAGAAATATATATATATATATATATATATATCAATTGGAAGGAAGGATCCATCTTTAGCAAAGTGAGGTGAAGGTTGTTGCCTTGCCACTTTGCCAGCATCATAAAATTGATGAAGCAACGCAACTTACAATAGGGCATTCCGTGAAAGAGTTCTGTGAAGTCATTATTTATGAGTTACTAAAATCCCTATTAATAATCTTATATATATGTCGTTTCATGTATTTTAACAAAACTGGGGAATTTTTTTTTTTTTTTTTGATAAGTAAAAATTTATATAAATGCTCAAAAGGGGAGCGGATCCCAAAGAAACACAAAGGCCAAAAAAAGTCTCAAGCCTTCAAAGAGGCCAAAAAAGAAACAATCTCCTTTAAAGATCTATAATCTCTCCCTGAAACCCAACAAAAAAGAGTGGAAATAATAGAGAACTTAAGCAAAGAGACAGGCATCAAAATATCTCCTTTCCATCAAAATATCTCCGATTTATCTCCAGCTAAATGCACCACCAAATACAAAGAGGAGTAACCCTCCAGGCATCTCGAATGAGAGCCCCAACTGAGAAGCCTCTCCAAGCCTCAATCAACCCTCTAGTGGAACAAGGCATAGCCCAGGGGGAACTCAAAAAAACCAAACATCAAAACCCAATCTCTGGCCATACTGCAATGCAACAAAAGATGATCAACTGTCTCCTCATCACGCAAGCACAAGTAACAACGATTAACCACCACTTGATTCCTCCTCCTCAAATTATCCTGGGTTAAAATATTTCCCAAAACAGAAGTCCAAGCAAAGAAAGCCACTTTGAGGGGGGCCTTAGAACGCTAAATAGACTTCCAAGGGAAGGGGCCCCCAGCATCAACTGTAAGATGCCTAAATGATTGCATCCGGAGCCCAAGTCAGATTTTCTCAACCTCCCCTAACACTTCCTTACCCCATTTTTAACCTTCCCAACCCCATCTTGTTTAAGGTTGGGTGCAGGTAGGCAGCAGGTGTTGGGAAACTTTTTCAGTTGTTTGAGAATATCTAGTGACTATTTTCTATTGCCTCATGACAAAATATGGTGTGTCTACCACCTTCAAGAGTTACCACTCACTCAAGTCCAATTCAATTTAAACCTCGAACAATGCTTGGCTTCTGCCCAAACCTCAACCATGGGTCCGGAATATCACTCCCCTAGCCTCTTTACCAACTCAAAAGCGACTTTTTATTAATTTCATAAAAACACGCACACAAAAGTGCTATTAATTTCATAAAAACACGCACACAAAAGTGCAAAAAACAAGTTGATCGTGTAGTAAATACATTTAGTATAGAAAAAGGTATGCATAGTTGTGATATATATTAGAGTGTTGAGTAATAATATGCATAAATAATTGTGTATGCGAATATGTTATGTATGTATATTGACCTTTGTCTTCCCAACGCCACTTAATTGTTGCACTTAAGAAAGTTAATCAAAATTATATATATTTTCCAAATAAGTACATATAAAAATATAATTTTATACTGCCGTGTCGTGTCATTTTCAGTTGCTAGTGCCAGTGTCCAGGCTATGAAGCCCATTTTATTCACATTAATCAAATTCCATGAAAATATATCGACCATCGCCATGATGCTTCCAAGCCCATCCACATCCACCCTTCAAGAACAAATATTGGACCACTTCCAAGCCCATCCACCCTTCAAGAACAAATATTGGACCACTTCCAAGCCCATCCACCCTTCAAGAACAAATATTGGACCACTTCCAAGCCCATCCACCCTTCAAGAAACATATATTGAACCACGAAGAAGGGGAAAAAATAAAGTCTAAGCACATATGGCAGGAAAAGGAAATCCGACTTCGGTAAGACTTAATGTTGTCTAATAGAGAGGTCATATCTGCATGAAATATATTTGGGCAGAATAACTAAACTTATCACATTTAACTTGACTCTAAAACAAGTCCATATGGATTGTGTTTGGACCAGCTATGTTCAATTCTTAAATGCACCACCAAGACCCTTATGCTACGTTTGGTGTGCAAGAATGGAATGCCCATTCCAACCATTCATTTGTTTGGTATGCAATTTAAAGTAGGAATGGCCATTCTATTGGAATTAAAATCCATTCCACAACTAAACATATGGAATGGCCATTCCATTCCCCAAGTAATTATTTTTTAAAAATCAATTTCCCAAAAAACTCTCATGTTCCAAATCCAAAAACCATCATTACCGTCCACCCCAACCACCACCGCCTTTCACCACCACTGACTTTCCACCACCACCACCACTTTCCACCACCACCACCGCTACCGCCACCGTTTGCCACAACCACCACCGCTATCGCCACCACCTTCCACCATTACCATTACCATTCACCACCTTCCACCATCACCTCCGCCATGGCCTTTCACCACTGCCGCCGCTGCCACCGCCGCCGCCTTTCACCACTGCCGCCGCTGCCACCGCCGCCGCCTTTCACCACCATCGCCACCACCTTCCACCACTTTTCACCACCACCACCGCCATCGTCTTCTACCACATTCCATAACCACCACCGCCACCTTCCACCTCCACCACCACCGCCGCCACCTTTCACCACCACCGCCTTCGTCACCACCTTCCTCCACCGCCGTCGCTGCCGCTGCCGCCTCCGCCGCCGCCGCCACCCCCACTGCCTTTCACCACCACCATAGTCGCATCACTATCTCCTTCCACCACAACCACCACGCTATTGCCACCGCCTTCCACCAACACCGCTACCACTTTCCACCACCGCTGCCGCCTTCCAACACCACTACCGCTTTCCACCATCCACCACCGCCACTGCCACCATTTATTTTTAAAAAATTATTAGAGAATGTCATTTTGTTAATTTAATCTATTTGTTACTAAGAGGGATATTTTGGAGAATTTAATTAGAAATTTATTCCATTCTAAATTTTAAATTAGTCCAACCAAACACTAAAATGGTTATTATTATTCCATTCCTACATATTTCGTATTTACAACCAAACAATAGAATGAAAATGGTCAAGGCCATTCCATTCCTTCCCTTCCCATTCTCATTCCATTCCCACTTGCATTCTATTTCATTCCTGCACACCAAACGTGGCATTAGATCCTTTTTCTTTTTTAGCAAGTTGTTAATTGAATTTGAACAATGATGACAGGTTCTACTGCAGGAAATCTTGACATTTCAACTCATTACATGATTATGTCAGTTCGAGTGCAGAATGCTTGAACAAATACCATCAAATTTTATGCAATAGAAGAGGTAGAAATAATAGGCCATTCCTCAAGACTACAATCACAACTCAGATGAGGAGAAGAGTCAATTACTGAACTCCAATCCATCTATCAAATTTACTACAACACACATCCTTAAACAAATAATTCATAATTGATTTTTTAAAATAAAGAATAACAGTAATAATAACAGAAAATGCAAGGAAGTGGGACAATAGTGAAAGCATTCAAGACAAACATAGACCAACCCATACAAGGAAAGGAAGATTTTACCCAAGCCATGAGCTTCAATAGAGAGAGACTCTAACCCTAAATCAATTTCTAACAATTCTGTGAACTACTCCATGACATTAATTTGTTTCCCACATTTCCAGCAGCTTTCCTTGCACCCCAATTTTAAGGAGTACAAGCTTCGTAAAAGGATACTTAAAATAAGAAGATACGCCCCATAAGCAGAAGTTCTCCCCCCTGCCTCTGCCTCTTCTTTTTGTTCTTCCCTTCTACTACGATGGGGCGTAAACATGTAAATTCATCAACTAGACATCACCAGTGAAGGGTTTGTCACATTCAAAGAAACCCAAGAGCAGCAATTATGATAAGATGACTGGGTAAGGTGCTATAAAGCAAATAAAAGCAACAAAGACAAATGCTTGAATAACAATGCTGCCCTTACGAAACCGAAACCATGGGAAACATTAGAAACAACAAAAATATTTCAGTGAACCCCAATGGGAAGGGCAACAAAATTCAATAGGAGGGTAATATCCAAACATCAGACTTTTTTGGTTGAGGCATCACAGTGGCAAGGCACTACCTTGGCTCTGTACAAAATGCTATTTTGTCAATGGAGATAGGTTGAATTACAGGGGAAATTGTGAATAGAAATAAATTGTTGCCTAGAGAGAAAAAATTATATATATATATATATATATATAGAGAGAGAGAGAGAGAGAGAATTTGGACTTAAATTTTGTAGGCTATATTGGCAAGCAAGATAATACACTGGGGGTACAACCGACACTTTATCTAAGCACTAAAATTTGTTGATTTGAACTGACCATCAGAAGATGTTCCAAAATTATAAAATATAAAGAAATGCAGAACTGCAACTAGAAAGCATGAAGTAAACACTTTAAACATATCATGTTTGCACATGTCAAGTTGGTAATCAGAACATACAAGAGAGAACTTTGAAGTAGATGTGTTCCCTAAAATTCTGAAATCTCAAGTATATAATTCTAAACATTGAAATGAAATGACCAAAAAGACATGTATACGATAACCAACCCAAATTGTCACGGAAGCTGCCTGAACTGTTACACTTATTGCTTCTAAGGTCTGTGTCTTTTTCTATCTCAACAGGAGGATAACTTGAGACAGGAGGTTCATTCCCACCGATATCAACATCCTCATCAACATGGTCATTCCCTAAAATTGTACAATATATGAGAGAGAGCATCAAAGAAAATTTTCAGCATTTCAGCATGCAACCGAAAGGAGTGGATAATGACCTTTGCACAGCTGCATAGATGAATTGCTGAGCCCAGGTTCGTTTAGCAGCTGCAATGGAGACAGAGAAACATATTAATCATCATGCACAAACTTAATTCATGTAAAAAGGTGTTACATCTTCTTAGGGTTCAGATGGTAAAATACCTCAATTTCACAAGGTTCAGCTTTTGCAAGATTATCCTGTTTCTCTTGCAAATAGTCGTCTAAAAGCTTCCTCAACATAAACAAGGTATCTTCACTGAGATCATCAATATCAATTTCAATCTCATCCTCCCCAGTTCCTCTTCCATTAGAACTCTGCTCTCTCAGAAATTCCACAATATTGTCTGGCAAGTCTCCCATCAAATCCAATTCTCTACTTAAATTATGTTTCTCCTCATCTGTCATAACCCGCTTTACAGGCTCTGGCATATGTTTATGATGCACCGAAGCGATTTTCCTCTTTTTTGACTGAGGCACTGGCTTAAATGTTTCCACTGCTTCATGAAGGCCTGAAGATTCTGGCAATTGCTGAGAATCATCTACCCGAAGCTTTTTCTCAATTACTTTCCATCTCATTTCAAAAAATTTCCTAACTGTATCAGCCATGAAGTGGAAATCATTTCCAGGAGGATTGTAGGTCATAGCATTGGAGAAAGTTCGTCTGACATCAGCAGCAAAGTCCAGTGGATCAGAGTACTCGCATGAAGCAATCTTGCTCTTTATTGTTCCCAAATCCATTGGATGCTTAATAACAGTCAAATAATCAGGGATATTCAACTTTACTACGTCAACAGGAGTATTAAAAGCCCAACCATATTGATGTGACATTACTTTTTTCAATAATGCCTCGCACTGTTTCATAAAAATGGCATTTGAAGTGCTCATCGCTGCTGCCAATTTTGCAGACTCAAACCTTCCAGAACTGCCACGATTCCAACCTCGCCCCTTCTGTCCTGGAGGATTTAATTTCTTCCCTGGCCCAGAATTTAACGCCAATGATTTCCTGAAGTTCTCTACAGAAGGCCCATTTTGTGTGTTGCTACAACTAAGAATGTCACTCGATGACGACATTGTTACAACATTCGTTCTTTGCAACTCGGCTCTCTTCTGGAAGATGCGGATCTGTTCTAGTTCTGCTCTCAACCTTAGCACTAAATCCTTTCTCTCATGTGGCGAGAGTTTTGACAATGGGAGGACATGTATAGGGACACCAAAACCATCACGCGTGGCAGAGTTCAGATTAATGCATTTCCTCATTAGGGCACCTGAGTCCTCGGAAGCAGTAACTTCCATATCTACTGGTCCTGCGCTACCGGATCCTTCTGATTCATAATTAGGCGCAAATCCAGTAGAACACTCCTCTTGGAATCTATCCTTCTTCGCCATCATGGCACCCAGATCCTAATTTTTGGAGAAATTCAGGTCCTATACTCAGTGTAACACATAAGTCACTTAACTCTGCATGGATATGTAAGTTCCTGGAACTTTATAGTACTTCTTACAACTCAAAAAGATGCACACATATAGGCTTTAACTTACTGGTACATTTGAATCTATATTACTTTCTTTTTTCAAAGCAAGAAACCCATTAGATCGAGAACTTTCTTTAATTTCTCTCTTTTATATGCAGATGAATTCATTACTATGGAGTTGCAATAAATTAGCATTCATATTGAAGTACTAAAAATATGAATAGATAAAAGGTTTCAAATACAGTATTTTGTGTTCTCTAATAGTGCTTTCTTTTTTAATACAAATTACAGTGTTCTCTGATAGTTTCTCCCAATTCAACTCTAAAACATGTTATTAAGAACAAAAAAAGATCGATAACTAACAGTAATTCAAAAGCCCTAACCTTGATGACCTACTTCAGTTCCACAGAGCGAAATCCTTCGGTGAAGCAGACTTCAGAGACAAGATAAATATAATTTAATAGAGGAAAATTCATATGAATAGCTAAAACAACAGCTAGCAGCTGAACAGATACACATGGACCGAAATTAAAACCTAGATTAAAGACTCGGAATGAAATTGAAGCTCGACATCAACCCAAGAGGTACACAGCGCTTCAAACCTTAGAAGAAGAATTCAGTGAAGCAGAGAAATAATCTGGTTAAGCGAAGTCTGAAGCCTTCGCCCTTGTAGAGAGAGAAAGAGGTAGCTAGGAGAGAGAAAGAGGGGGTTGAGACTGGGCGGCGAAGTCGGTTCGTTTTTCCAGTCTCCACTTAATGGCAACTTAAAGTCGTCTTCTCCCGCTGATAGAGTGATCGGGATCGTTGAATGCCTGATATCGTCTAATCCAACGGTTGAACAATACATCGGATTTGGGCCACTGGATCTGGATTTGAATGGATGAGATGTGTCCTGGTACGGTGAATCTAAACTATTTAATAACTCGTTTATTTACGTCAGCATCTTATTAGTCTAAAGCTGATATTTTTCAAGAGCTGTGATAGGATTACCCAAGAGTGAACTAATTTCACGAGTCCAGATGTAATTCTATTGGTTGAACAGAACCACATCCTATGCGGTGAGCGTTATTTTAATTCTATTAGGAGTACAAAAGTTCCAGAAGCTACTCGCCGACGTCAACTTTGCAGCCTTCATTTTACGCGGTATTAGTAGTATTGAATGGGGCCCACACTGAAGAAGCACCGGGCGCTGTCGACAGCTGTAGGGAAAAAATCGCCTCTCAGTGGAGGCTGTCCTTGGAGGGGTAAATTGGTGACATGGCGTTTTTAAGTTAAAAAGTATTTACATTGCACGTATATATACATACATATATATATATATATATCTATATAATAATTTATATCAAATGAAATTCAAATTCCCTCTAAAACATAAAACTGATTTTTCTTTCAAAATTTTATTCTATCTCCTCTTACTATTTCATTATTTCACTTTAAGTCTCTCTCCCTCTAAAATTGAAGTAAGCACCATACATTCCGAAAAATAATGGAGCTTGGTCGAAAATAATGGAGCACCATCATTAACTTCACCGGACATTAATAATGTAAATGAAGCTTGGCAGGAAACAATGAAGGTTGTTAGGTCTGGTTTGGTTGGTTCTGCTCACCGATGTTGGGAGGCTCATTGACAGACTGAAACTGTAGCAGAGAGCTTGTAATTTGGTCACTGAAACTTTAATCAAATTTCTGAGTCATCGAACAGAAATCGGCGGTGTTGATTGTGAATGCTATTGTTTGATTTGATTTTTTTTTTTTCCCGGTCAATAGTTTGATGTTGACATTATTTAAGTCCTTAATAGTACTATTTCATTATTTCACTTTAAGTCTCTCTTCCTCTAAAATTGAAGTAAGCACCATACATTCCGAAAAATAATGGAGCTTGGTCGAAAATAATGGAGCACCATCATTAACTTCACCGGACATTAATAATGTAAATGAAGCTTGGCAGGAAACAATGAAGGTTGTTAGGTCTGGTTTGGTTGGTTCTGCTCACCGATGTTGGGAGGCTCATTGACAGACTGAAACTGCAGCAGAGAGCTTGTAATTTGGTCACTGAAACTTTAATCAAATTTCTGAGTCATCGAACAGAAATCGGCGGTGTTGATTGTGAATGCTATTGTTTGATTTGATTTTTTTTTTTTCCCGGTCAATAGTTTGATGTTGACATTATAAGGAGATATGGGAGGGTAGCTTGTGGATTTGAAATTTTTATTTTTTTTTTTAGTTGAATTGTTGATACCAACTAATTGAGGTAAGATTTGAGAGAGTGAATGTTTTGAGGCTATGTTGTTTTGTATATAGAATGATCGCACAAAATTTATTTTTTTCTTGGTAATGTAATTACACAAAATTTTAATTTGTCAAAAGATTGAGATATAATATAGGAAAAATTCCTTAATAGTCCTATTTTTTTTTAGGTGAAAGACAATCTAAGTCCTAAAAAAAAAATTGAGGACAAAAAAATCCTATTTTGTTACTTATTTCTAAATCAGTTCAATTTTATTTTTATTTTCAACATTGCCCTTAAATGTATGCTTTACTGTCCCCCTCTGTCTAACGTAACTTTTCTCTCGAGTCCCATGACTCTCTCTCCTTTGTGCGTCATTCTCCTTCATCACCCACACCCAAACAAAGGAAGAGAACCGCAGGCCAATTCAAGAAAACAAAGCAAGGCTGAGTGTTCCAAAGGCCGACGAAGATCTGAGCGAGGCACCAAAGCTTTCCCAAGCAAGGCCAAGTGTTCCAAAGGCCGGACGGGCGAGGCACCAAAGCTTTCTTAATTCAACTATGAATTCTTTGAAGAAATCTTAAATTCCTGAAATTCGTGGTATGTCTGTGAGGTTTTTAGAGAGAGAAATGGGGAAATTTAAATGATGACATCGACTACCTACCAGTGGTGGAGATTTGTCGGCGTCGGAGGTATTCAAACATTCTTACAGATGACAGCATTCGAGAAAATGAATTTTAGCTTTAACAGGTTTTGGTAGTCATTTTCTTTTCATTTCACTCTCTTCCTAATCAATTTCAGCCAGCATCGGCTATGATAACATTCCAAAATTACATTTTATTGCATATTTGCAATTCTTGTAATCCGAGAAATAACGGAGGCATCTACAAGACTACGACACCATTTTATTGCATACAAATTTAAGCATCCACAAAAATATATCTCAAATTACTCGGAACAATCGCTTATCAAAAAATTTCCCCTTTTAGAAATGCATAACAAATAAAACTTGATTCCTGTGCTTTTTCCTCAGACAATAGCTACTATTAAGAACCTTCTTCAAGAAACAAACTGTGTGTAATCTTCAAAGATACAAGTGTCACAAATCAATGATCTAAAAAGTCCTCGAGTATTTCCTGATTTCCTACATTATTGAAGATATTGAAACAAGATCTTTGTTTAGTGCAGAGCCACCAAAAATCCTCTTTATGCAATCTGAGAGTCTGGTATAATAAAGCAGCAGTTGAGTCAATGCAGCCCTTGAGATCTCCATTCCTCGCAGGAAGTTGCTGAAAGAGAATGACACACGGAGAGGAGAGAGTCATGGGACTGGAAGGAGAAGTTACGTTAGATATAGAAGGAGAGTAAAACATACCTTTAAGGGCAATGTTGGAAATAAAAAAAAAATATAACTGATTTGGAAATAAGTAGCAAAAGTAAAACTTGTTTGTCCGTAAAAATAAAAAAATAAAATTAGTTATTGATTGTCTTTCACCTTCAAAAGTAGGACTATTATGAAATGTTTCCTATAATATAATGCATATGCACAAAAATTTCCTTTGGTAATGACAACTTTTAAATAAGAAAAAATAATAACATGCTAAACAAACATATCTTGAAAACATCACAGCTTTAAAGTATAATATTTCAAAAATCAATTATATGATACATTTGAACTTAATTATAACATATATCATTTATGAACTTTATAATACAACAATAATATAAAAAAGAATGGGATATAATAAATCCATCAACTTTCTTTTATGAGTGGAAGATTGTCACATTGTCAAAATTAAGTGAAAACATGTTACACAACTTAAGCTTAACATGTTTCAAACTTAAATTATATCTAGCATCACAAATTACTTGTAACACGTATCACTTGTTATATAAATTAATGTCTAAAACATAATGAATACTTATTTATACAGATCTTGATTTAAAATTGCTATTTTACTTCATTGTTGGCAAAATCAAATTTTATTAATCAACAACCGAAAGGAAGATGATACTTTGTGAAGTATATTTTTGACATGTGTTATGAAAATATTCTGATACAATATTCAATTCATACATGATACATGTTGTAAGAACTTGTGATTCTTATTTATTGTAATATAAAATTCTAAATTTATTTTTGATATGTGTTATGAAAATATTCTGATACAATATTCAATTCATACATGATACATGTTGTAAGAACTTGTAATTATTATTTATTGTAATCTAAACTTATAAATTTATTCTGATACAAATTTTGATCACCATCTTTAAATTCAAGATCATTATCTATTAATTATCAAACCAGAATCATCTTTCATGGTGAGTATACATCATTACCGCTGATTGATCTAGCAGTCAAAATTGGGCCACTCTAATTTTAAAAAAGAAATCATTTTTCAGTTAAATGAAAAAAAATAGAGAAATAATGCTAAGGCAAATATTGCCTTAACGATCCAAACCCAATTCTCTCTCCCCTGCCTTTCTTCCCTAAATCTGCTTCTCTCGTTTGTCTCTTTCTCGCCAACTATGCGAAGAAGAAACCATGGTTTTTTTGTAGGGATGTCAATTTTTACTGCCCCGCCGGGCCCCCACCTCGTCCCGCCCCGTTAATAACTGATATGGAAACACTTTTTATACCATTGGGGCGCGCATGGATACAAATTTTGTACCCATCGCCGGTCACGGGGCGGGTAAGGGTTCAGTATACATATCCCAGGGGCCCCGCCCCACCTCGCCCCGTCCCGCTAAGCATATAACTATATTATATATATATATATATATATATATATATATATATATATATAATATTAATAACTTATTTTAGCGGCTTACCCAGTTACCCATCTCTTACAATCCTAATTTTGGATGTAAACTTGGTATTAAATTTGCTTTTGTTTTGATTATGGTGGAAGTTGGAGTTTAAAACTTCTTATAATTTGGTTGTATTAAATTTTTATTTTTGTTTATTATGTTCTCTGAATTATGTTATGCGCATGTTATTTTTTTTATTTTTGTTGGGATACATAATTTCATTTATGTTGTGTCATTCCCAGACTTTCCACATTTAAATAGTATGAGCTTAAGTTCTAAAAAGTGGGAGAAAAAAATTTGTTAGTAGGGCGGGCAAGGGAGCACAGTATTTCACAATGGGGCAGGGCTGGACATGAAAATCCAACCCGTCGCGAGTTTCGGGGCGGGCATGGACTTGACAAAAATTAAAAGTGGCGGGGCGGGATTTAAGGAAACCCGCTCTAAACCCGCCCCGTTGCCATCCCTAGTTTTTTGTGGTCACCATCCTTTATCAGACAAATTAATTCCACTTTAAAGCATATGTATATATATATGTGTGTGTGTATATATATATATATGGAATTAGGAGGAAATATAAAATCAATTGAAATCAATTCCACTATTTTACCTAGTCAATTGCATTACCCACATAAGGATGAAGGTATTTGGTGTTGGTGAAAATTTAAAGGAGGATGAAGGAAGAATAAGAGAATAGAAGCACGAAGAAGATAAACAGAAGAGAAGAAGTAAAAGTTAATTGGGTTTTTACTGAATTGGGTCCCATGTATAACTGAATAAAATATTTTTGTATATAACTTTTGTATACGGTATTTGTACATGGTAAAACAAAATAGAGTTTAGAAACTTTTTTAATTCATATGCTAAGTTGGCTCTTATTGGGCAATGACAAGGCAACTCTGGGTGACATGACTTCATCAGAGCCATTGGATTTGCCATGGACACCTTCCAATGAAAGGTGCCATGGAGAGGATTTGCACCCCTAGCTGTAATCACGGGTGCTTATCCCTATTTTTCGTTTCTTCAAATGGCTTGTGGGTTTTTATTTTAACAATTGTGTCATTAAAAATAATTATGTTAATTATTAAAAATTGCGCCATTAAAAACACTTTCAATTTATTAAATTTAGTTGAAAAATGCTTTGAAAGGTTATAGATTGAAAAAATATTATTATAAAATTAATAATAAAAATTCTATAAAAAAAATTTATTCACCTACCAATTTAACAAATATATATCATCATATACATAACATATTTTACTAATCTGGCTCTTTGAGAGAAAGAAAGAATGGTCGGTTTTTATTACCCGTAGTCATCATTTTTTATTTATTTTTATTTATTTATTTTTTAAAACTTAAATACCTATTGATATTTTATTGGGCCACCTCATCATAAGAAGGAAATTTCTTCTTATGTGACCTAAGGCAAACATTATTATTATTATTTTATATTATAACAACAATATTAAATAGCCCTTCATTTGGTTTCAACTCCATCTTACTATTCCTGAATTTATTTATTTATCTATTATTTTTTTTTTTCAGCCTGTAGTTTTTAGAACCCAAGCCCTCACCTAACGCTTTTTAAGAAACTCAACTTTGAACTTTGTGATAGTGAGCTGTGCCATCATTTTTTTTTAGCTTGAAAAGGATTTGGCAAGATTTGATTGTGTTTTTTGGCAAATTAGGGTGAAGGTGACTTAAATAGGAGCAGCACATTGTGGGGAGCTAAGCACTCTATTGACTAAAAGTCATTTAATAACATTATGTAAGATGGGTAAATAAGTATAATTATTGTTTAATAAAATTTACATTGAGATGCTTGGAATTACATATTTGGAATTAGAATTTAAAAAAAAAAAAAATTTAATTTTGTAAATTACTTTTCTCCAATTCCAAAACTTTAATTCTATCACTAAATAAGCTGAGCTCAAAGGCCTAGTTCCTTTACCACATGAGGATGGTTAGGGATGGCAATTTGACATGCTCTCGCGATTACCTGCCTCGCCTAGTCCTATTTTTGACGATTTTGGGGGATCGTTTAACTTATTTGGACGGGGATAGTTTGATGTAATAAAAATCAATGCGGGTTTGGTGCGGGGGCAGGGATAGGTTGTCCCGTCCCGTCCCGTTTAAATAGACAAATTACTTAACTATCCTTATTTCATTAGTATATATATTTCTCAGTATATATATTAAGTATCCTATATAACAATATTTAAGTAACAAATGAATTTGATTAGAAAGAAAGTTGCAACATTGAAGATATGAATATGAGGGGAAAAAAAGATTAAATCTATTTCAACAATAAATAAATTATGGTCTTAAACGGGATCGGACGAGTACCCGTAGGGGTAAAAATGTTAAACGGTTGTAAGGATGGATGGAAAATTCCCCCATTTTTGCGGTTTTGGACGAGGACGAGGACATGGTTTTTATAGAGTTACGGGAGCGGGGGAGGGTACACCCCCCCTGTTGCCATCCCCGTGGCTGGTTGGCGGGTCGGGCCAATGGTCTAATCAATAATCATATCTCAAACCATATCCACTTTTATTGGGCTGATCTGGGCTAGCCCTCCACGGACTCAAGCGGGGCAAAAGCCCGACCAGATCTGACTGGGCTCGGACCGGCCTGTGGGCACCGGATATTTTTGCACCCTTGCCCTCTCCCAACCTACCTCTCATTATCAGAGAGAGAAGTGCGGGAGAAGAAGGCGCGCAAATTGGGAGTTCAAAGGAAAAAAAGGGGAGCCCTTTTTAATTATTTCTTAACCCTTTCCTTTCTTTCATTATCACTGACATTGCTGCACTAATCCACGCCCATGGCTCCATTTTCTTAACCCTCACAGGTACAATTGGCGCAGTTTAACTAACAAAAACCCTAATCTGTTCTGTGCGCTCTACAGCCTCTACTCCAAAAGAGTAAAAGATTAGTGTATATATGTATAATTTACATTTTGTCTCATTTCTCTGAGTACTTTTTTCAATCAGATCTAAGGTCATTTAATTGTTTATTCTTCTTTCCGTTTGTAATTTGTAGGCTTGGAAGTGACATGATACATGCTTGTTATTTCACTGTTCCTAAAGCTCTGTAAGTAAATTTCCCTGGATCTTTTGATTAATCGTTTTCTATTACATTTTTTCATGGGCTTTTCACTTATTGTATATCACTGATCTTTTTTGTTTGCCAAGAAAGAGTAGGAAAATACAAATTATACAATTGAGTGCCACCAATTATGTATATATATATTTCATAGGTATATTAGTTCAAATGGAATATTCTAATCAAGGTAGATCCAAAGGTCCTTAGGATAATCAAGGAAGTGAAATTAAATAGGTTACTAACTTGCTGCAGCAGATTAGTGAGTTCAAAGCTGTGCAAGTTAACTGCCAACTTGTTATATACCCACTGTACTTCCTCAGTGGCCATCCCTCTCTGGCTGTTATGTGATCATTGCTTCCTCTTTCAGAAAGTGAAACAATAAAAAAGAAAAAAGAAAAGAAAGGTAAAGGGAAAAGGCTCTTACTTCACAGTTCAAGTATTTAATTAGATCATAATGACCATTCTTTGTAAATGCTGATTAGTATTATAAGTATTAATTGTTAATTTAATGTTGCTTTTGTCATCTCTTAGATTATTTGGTTTAAGAGTACTTGTGTTACTCTGTTGTACTTGGACCCAACTGATGAAGGCTAATAGAACTTATTGCATAACTTACTCCTGTCTCCTACTCTTGGAGAATAGACTTTGCTTCGATGCACAACATTTGATAGAAATTATTGGTGCAAATAGGATGCAGATTATCCCATACAGTTGACCACATAGTTGTTAAAGGCTCAAGGCGCATTAAGGTGCCAAAGGCCTTCTAGAGCCTAAGCGCAAGGCGCAGTATAAGGCGCGAGCCTGATCAAAGTAAGGTGCATGTGTAATTATAATGCATATTTAGACTTATTTTTATATATTTTCATACTCAATCACTGACTGCAGGTAATGCAAGTAGTGAACCATAAATTTATGAATTTTGTCAAATATGTGATAAGGTTAAACAATATGATATATGATATACAGTATTTTAGTTTAGTAGTCATTAAATAAAAAGAAAATGATATGTGTAAATGATTAAAATATACAAGGTGCAGCTTTTTAAGCTTGGAGCCTAGTAAAAAGCCTGGGGGCTTTTGTGAGCCTAATTGAAGGGGCCTGGCTTGTAGTAGGTTAAGGCGCTCTAGCTGAGCCGGGATGAGCCTGGGGCTTTTTTGGAGCCTAGGCACGCCTTTAACAACTATTACTTGAAAATATGGTAGTATTACTATTTGGGCGTGTCATAAAAATGGAAGAATATGAAATTTATCAAAATTATTCTGTAATGCATCCTCTCACAGGGACCTAACTTCAGCGTTTTGCTAAAATTATTTAGATAAACGACCTAATATATTAGGCTTCCTTTTGCCTTTACAAGAACGTTAAACTCATCTAATCTGAGCGAAACAATTGGTCTTGGATTCAGACGGGTGGGTGGGTTGGTCGGTCAGTAATTCCAAGCTATGAAACCTTTGAGGTTTAAATTTTAATATGTTTTGTTTTCCTACATTCATTGGATCATCTGTAGTTCTCTCTCATTGTAGTCCAAATTTAAAATTGTTGGCCTAAAGATTAGTAATAGCTTTACTTGAAGCACATTTATTTATTTATTTTTAAATTTTTTGTAGAAAGTTTGGAGTTGTAGCAGGAAGACGGTTAAATTTCAAAGTTCCATTCAAGTGTTCTTATAGGCGAATCCACATGGAGAATAATTACAACAGCGACTCAAGAGGTGCTTTGATCGTTCTAGAAGGTTTGGATCGTTGCGGGAAGACCTCACAATCTAGCAGATTACTATCCTACTTGGAAGGACAAGGCTATTCAGTCGAATCATGGCGGTTTCCAGATAGAAATACGGGTGTTGGGCAAATGATTTCCTCGTATCTTACTAATAAATCGCAACTGGATGACCATGCAATCCATCTCCTCTTTAGTGCTAACCGCTGGGAGAAGAGGTATGTTCAATTTCACATGCATCACATTGTGCTCTACCTTCTTGAAGTACATATAGTTGCATCTCTAATGTCAATCTCATATGCATTGTTCACTTGCTTCTGTTTGTAGTTTGTCATTTAAGCATACATGTTCCATGAGGCTGGCTATGATGAATGATCATGTCAATCTATTCAGTGATTGTTAGAATACTTCTACGTCCAATAAAGAAACTTTTTTTTACTGTTTATAATGGTTTACCCATCTATGACTTGATTAAAGAGTTTGTGTTAGAGCTTTCACCCAAACTTTGTTTTATAACATCATCATTCTTCCTCTTTGATTCTTTTATAATATTATAAACAATGAGAACTAAAAATTGAAATACCGTATAGGAAGGCTAATTTTGTTAGAATCATGATAGATTTCTTCTCATTCGCTTGAAAAGAAATGTTTGCTAATTGACATACTTCAATGCTTGCGCAATTTTCGCTTTACAAAGCCTTTCTTGTTTTAAAATGCAAGTATAGTGTTTGAAAGAAGTTAATTTGAATAATTCAGTAGGCCTTTTAATCTGTAACAGCAAGATTGCATTTATGTATTTTCCATTTGGTGGTGTTCCAAGTGACTTTCCTTTTTTCAATTGACATGATCAGGGTTCATTATCTGTAATGAAGTTTGCACCATGCATATGCCAAATGTCTATGAAGATATTCCATTTGCTTCCACATACATACACCATATGTCTATGAGATATAATGCAAGGCCTTTTTGGGAGGATTATCAACTTGTTCAAATTTCCTGGGTTAGGCATTCCCCCAAATGTTCTTCACTTGTATCTAAGACATTTTGTTAATTAAATCCTCTATGTAGGTTCATTTTGAGAACTGATGTCCACCCAATGAATCCCCCATAACTAAGATGGCAAGTTTGTTGATTGGTATCCTTCTCATTGTTCCTTTTTGTGTATATATCTATTTTTGTGGTTCTCAATCGGTTATTCATTTGGTTGAACTTCTGTGGCTCTTGTCACCCCTCTTCCAGAAAAGGCTCCGTAGTTGTTGACTTTACTAGCTTATTTTGCCCTGGATTTGTACGATTTTCCCATGTAAAATTCATTATATTGGAAAATTGTTTAAAAATGATATTCAAATATAAAAACTGAGTGATTTTTTAAAGCTTACCTAAATTTTGTATAATGTACAAGATAATTTCTCATAATTTGTCCTCATTTTCTTTTTATGTCTTTGGAGTCTGGGACTTAATCCTGCACCAGTGGCCCTTCCCCTACCCATTCACCCCCTACAGCCCCATATCCCTCTACTAGGAGTCTGGGACTTAATCCTGCACCATCACCTGATGGAGGAACAGTGGATGCAAGCTAGACAGCTGTTGGTTGCATCCTTATCTTCATTTGTTTATGTATTCAGTCCCATTCCTGGACTTTTGGAATTTTCAGATAACATCCAGGAGTTTCAAAACCATTTTGCAGGTGAACGAATTTAATTCTAACATCTTTGTTATTGTTGTTTATGTGTTCTTTTTTTTTTTTTTTAAAAAAATAAATAAATTAAATTACTATGCAAGCCAATGTTGTTAAAGTAATGGTTTGTAGTCCCTGAAAGTTCATTTTTAGGATCCACTGGCAATCAATAATGGTGTGGACATCAGCATAAGTGCATGACTGCAATGATAACACTATACTTCATCATTTACCATGTGCTTGCAGATCATTAATGGAGAGTAAGCTGAGGAGTGGAACCACCCTCATTGTTGACCGCTATTCTTATTCCGGGGTGGCATTTTCATCTGCTAAAGGACTTGATATGGAATGGTGTAAGGTGAAGACAAAACTTTATTTTATTGTAAAATTAGATTTATTTTCTTTGTAGTGAAAGAATGAGGTCTTATTGTGCAGGCACCGGAGATAGGGTTGTTGGCTCCAGATGTAGTTTTATACCTTGACATAAAGCCAGAGGTAACAATATTTTTGAAAAAAATTAAAATAAAATATATATATATATATATATATATATATATATATATATATATATATTAAGAATAACATCAAGATCTCAACATTGTTAATTTGAGGATTTCGTTAGCAAATTTTTTCGTCTATCTTGTGACGTACGGGCGTATAGTTTTGATCTTAAGGCGGTTTGTATACATATACAACTGCTTGGAAACAAGCAACCCCTTCCTCATAAGAAGAGTTATCGGCTAGATATGCAGTGTGCTACCGGTCCAGAATGGGATGAATTTGATGATCTGTATTGGATCTAACAACTGTTTTTCCTCATTAGAAAAACGAAAGATTCACCATGCAATAAATATTGTTGTTCATTGTTGTGGTTACTTGTTTAAGAATGATTCAGTTTTTCCCATGTCTTGTAGAAATTCTATGATGTGATAAATGAAATTATAGTTGTTAGCTTCATTTCTGCTAGCATGCACCTCCCTGCATATTATTCCAAATTAAAGCTCTCATGCTATTACCTCTGTGTTGTGTAATGAAATTTCAATTTGAAATGATTAGCAAGCTGCCGAGAGAGGAGGCTACGGAGGTGAGAGATATGAGCAGCTTGAGTTTCAAAAAAAAGTTGCCAATTCTTATCAGATCCTCCGGGACCCCTCGTGGAAGGTATAGTGCCTTGGTTATCAGTTGTCTCCTCTTTTATTTTATTTTATGGTTGTCACTGCAAAACAGAAAAGTCTGGTTTTACTTAGCAAGAAAAGAGCTATGTAACCTGTAGTATGTCTCCTGGTTGTAATGCCATCCGGTCCATCCCTTCATTGACACCTTAGCGCTTGTCATGAACCCGAGTCTTGATTTTGCAACATAGCAAAATGATTTCCATTTTATCAACTAAATGATATAATGAGAAAAATGAAAAGAATAAGGCATCATATAATGGGTAAATTGTACCAACTCTTGAAGTTTGATTATGATGTACTACCTTGAAAGCTATCCCCTCCATCTCCTAGAGATTTTCCTTTTTGTGCAGATTATAGATGCCTGCCTTCCCATTGAAGATGTTGAGACAGAGCTGAGAAAGGTTGTGCTGGATTGTGTGATGACGTGCCAAAAAGGAAAATCTCTCTCCCATCTCTGGTTAGGTAGCTAACTGTTCAGTCTCTCTCTGTTAAGGAAAAGCAACGCATGTATTTCCAGAGAAAAGGCCCTAGTATTTATGATATTTATGAGTGCTATAGTATCGATTGCAGTATAATTAGTATTTCCGGTTTATTTCAGAAACAGGTGCCTGTACTTGTTATTTTGTTTTCAATTTGATGAGCGGCTTTTAGGTGGTTAATGGTTGTAATTGCGGAAATAATTTAGCTGTGTGTTAATGATGCTTGATTAATTTGAAAAATCTTCAAACTTTATGGTCTGAAATCATTAGATTGTTAGATAGAATGCAATTTCATCTCTCATTAGGAATTGTGCTTGTATCTGCAGCCAGAGAAATGGATATAATTCTGGTGAGATTCAACGGTTGGGTGTCATGCTTTTGATTGTTGACAGGTGCCCAAGTCACCGAACTTGTATTATATAGTCTGATCGGAACTCCCCTGAGAGCAATATTTGGCACAAAATCAAATTGATTTGAACAGTTTCAAAGTTTTGGATTAGGATTCAAAACCCACATCCATATAGAAAAATCTACTTTATGCTTCAACCATATCTTGCTTACATACATCATGGTCATTCCAAATCCAAAGAACTTTGCGTTCCCCTACTACTAGTGAAACATAATTTTGGATTGGAGTTTGTACCACAAACTCAACTTTAATACATTATCGTTAACTTCATCAAGAGTAGTGTACATTTCTACTCGTTTGGCGATTCCCCATGACCGGAGTAATTTAAGAGGTTCATCTCTTTCCCTGCAAGGAAAGCAAATATATGAAAATTGTTGCTGGGAGCTACATCAACAGACGAGAACAAGTGGAGAGAGAATTATGCATGAACCAGGTCCTCCTCTCTCTATACATATTTGTATATATCAAGGAACAAAAAATTGTCTAATAATGTCATCATCCAGTGCTGATTCTACAATGAATTGACAAATATTTTTCTGATTTTCTCATTTCTAGTCAATCAAATTAGATGACAATAAAGAAGAAAAATTAAGAAAGAAATACTGCTTTTATCAAAGGTGTCACAAAAATTCCTTTTAGATCAGTGACAATTAGGTACATAGTGGACCTAACATCTGTCTAAAGTTTCAATCAAATATTATCTTAAGAAGAGAGAGTGGTAAAGTTTATAAAATTAAAAAAAAAATATTGACAATTTTTGCAGATTGCATGCATGTTGTCTTTTGATAACTATAGAGTACAAGGCCAGATGGTTTTAATGCAAGTCTGGTCTATTGTTGCTGACACCAAGGATTTCATTGTGAGTGGTAAAAACTAAAATGTTGTAGAAAATCAACAATAATTCTTGCATTGCTAAATTAACGATTGATAAACTCAAACCTAACCTTTCATTCATAGTTAATCAGTCTCAGAATGCCTTTTTTTATTAAGGGTAGAAGGGTGTCTGAAAATATCTTGTTAACCCAGGAGCATGGCTAGGCGGAGTCTCATCCCCACTAAGTTAATACTGGCAGAAAACACCCTTGATCTTATGGTATTATAGTATTAGTGGCCTTATTAGTCTGTAATGAACATAATTTTTATCCAAATTATGTTGATTTGCAACACTTTAATCAATTTTCTAGATTCAACTCTTATTCTTTTTTTTTTTTTTTTTTTTTTTTTTTTGTCAAAACAGTTGAAATACTATTACATTTTCAAGCTCTCCCCAGATTGATTGAAATTTTTTTTTTTTTTTTTTTTTTTTTTTTTTTTTTTTTTTTTTTTTTTTTTTGGCATCATTGTACGCTTTTGGTGTTTGTTTTACTCTTTAGAGTTTTCTTGGTTTGATTCTTTTATTATTATTATTATTATTATTATTTTTTGGTTGTATTTGATTTTTGTTTCCTTGTGTTTGTTAGAGTGTTTCTCAGTTTTATTATAGTGTTTTATTTGAGGTGGAGAAATTTTTAATTAAGGTGGAGTTATGAAAAGATTCTTATTCGAGGTGGAGTTATAGAGAAGCATGTAAAGATTGAATTTTGAGCCAATGTGGAGATTGTTGGGTTTGTGGCTCAAAATTTGTGTGTAGAAAATTAGTTTCTTTTTACGTTTTGGAATGCTAAAATTTATGGAAGAAATTATATTCCATTATAATTCTATTTTAGAGTTGTGATCATTATGGTAACTCTTTGTAGGTAAGTTGGGGAATTCTTGTCCAACAAGGAATTGAGTCTGAAGACTCTATAAATAGAGATGGGTGTTAGGGATTTAGAGAGGAGAAGAGAGAAAAGATGTAAGGGGTTTAAGGGTGAGTGTTGTGAGGAGAGGCGAGAATATATGTAATTCCCGAGTATATATATGTAGCCTCAAAAAAGATGATGAGTGAGTGAGTGGGGTTTTGACATGTGGTTGTATATTTTCTTCCTCGAATAATAGTGAAATTTCTCTCTCCCATGAACGTAATCCTAGAGTTGGGTGAACCATGTAAAATATTGTGTTGTGCGTGGATGTGTATGATTGTTATCTTTATATATGCTTGTGTTAATGTGACGTGATGATACTTCCGCTGTGTGTGAAGGAGGGATTTAACTCTCAACAACAGCCGACCGTTGAGTGGGTTGGAGGGAGTTAATTATCCCCAACAACTGGTATCAGAGCCGATGGTGGGTCAGAGCCTGTGATTGGTCCTGAAGATCAGTAGAAGAAGATTGGTGCGAAGTTTGTCAGAGTAGAAGATGATCGTGAGGTGTTATGGAGATTCAATCAAGAGTTGATGATGACACAAGATATGTCAATGGTGTGAAGCCTACGAGGAACAAGTTTTGGAATAAGCTAGATGATGCTCGTTTTCAAGATGGGGCAAAAGTGATAGAGATGAAGCCCACGAGGAACAAGTTTTGGGAACAAGCCAAAAGTGATGCTAGTTCTCAAGATAGGGTAAGGGGTATGAAGAGTGAAGAAAAAAGGTTTGTTACTTTAAGCCATAAAAACAATTGATGAAGATGAGTTGAAAATCGGTGGATTGCCATGCGTGAGCAATTGAACACCAATGGGATAGATAGAGAAGATAGAAGAAAAAATAAAGAATGATAAATTTGAGAAAAAGTGGAGATTGTTATAGTGTTTTTCAATTTTATCATAGTGCTTTATTTGAGGTGGAGAAATTTTTAATTGAGGTGGAGTTATGAAAAGATCTTTATTCGAGATGGAGCTATGGAGAAGCACGTAAAGATTGAATTTTGAGCCGAGGTGGAGATTGTTGGGTTTGTGGCCCAAAATTTGTGTACAGAAAATTAGTTTCCTTTGTCGTTTTGGAAGGCTAAAATTTGTGGAAGAAATTGTATCCCATTATGCTTCTATTTTAGAGTTGTGATCATTATGGTAACTCCTTGTAGTTAAGTAGGGGAATTCTTGTCTAATAAGGAATTGAGTTTGAAGACTCTATAAATAGAGATGGCTGGGTGTAAGGGGTTTAGAGAGAGAGAGAATAGAGAAAAGATGTAAGGGGTTTAAGAGTGAGTGTTGCGAGGAGATTATATGTAATTCCCGAGTGTATACATGTAACCTCAAAAGAAATGATGAGTAATTGAGTGGGGGTTTTGACATGTGGTTGTATATTCTCTTCTTTGATTCATAATAGTGAAATCTCTCTCTTCCATGGACGTAACCCTAAAATTGGATGAACCATGTAAAATATTGTATTGTGTATGGAAGTGTATGATTTTTATCTCTATATATGCTTGTGTTAATGTGATGTGTTGATGCTTCTGCTGTGTGTGATAAATGAGTGATTTAACTCTCAACAACAGCCCACCGTTGAGTGAGTTGGAGGGAGTTAATTATCCCCAACAGTGTTGAGGGTCTGAGTTATACTCTAGTGGGCTTTGCCCTTGTTTGTACAATTTCATTTCTATTAATTGAAGCTTACCGCTATCTGTTCTTGTCCCATATTGTATCGGATTGAGAAAGGGGTCTTGAGCTTCTAAGGTGAGTAGGCACTTATCGAATTAGAGTAGGTGCAGCTGGGGAAGGTCTTGGCTTTATAAAAGAATATGAGTAAGGGTGGCAGTATTTGACACGATAAGCACGACTCGAACATGATATGGGATAAATGAGTTTGAATTTGTTTTAATCGTATTTGTGTCGACCCGAATTAACACGATAATTAAATGTATCGTGGTCGTGTTTGAACTGTCAACCCGTTTATAACCCAATTAATCTGTTTAATTAAATGTGTCAGATAAACGTGTCATATTCATATTAAAAAATGATCCGTTTAGCTAAACATGTTGAATAAATGTGTTGCGTTTCAGCAACTCTTTGTTTTTTTCACAAGATTTGAAACATGAAACAAAATGAGGATAATTGTTTCCTTTTATATATATATATAAAACTTATTTTAGTAATATATGATAATATGTAAGGGTAATTTAATACTTCGGTGTCGAGGGAATTGCATGTATCGAGATTCAAAAAAGAATCGAAAGACAACTCTTATTCTTATGGTTCTAATTCCTAGATTTTTCGGGGCAGGGCAGGTCAACCCTCTTTCGAAACCACCCCAAAACTAGTCAGAATTTTCAAAGCATCCCCTATCACCGTCCTCATTTACACCATCAATTCACTAAAACTGCCCCCAAACAATGTGGGGAATTTTGCCATCCCTACTTGTCGTGTCAAATCTTGACCCATTTATTAAACGGGTTATACATGTCGTGTCGTGTTACCGTGTAATAATCGCGTTGTGTTTGTGTTAGCTAGAGTTTTTAGACATGAATAATAATATTGTCGTGTTCGTGTCGACCCGTATAACATAATACACATACTCTGACACGACCGACCAACACGAATTGGCACCCCTAACTTATACGCTAGCGCATATATATATATATATATATATATATATATATATATATATATATATATATATATATAGCTATTAAAGGATATATATAAATTTTTAAGCCAATTTTAAGGAACCCACTAATTAATACCCATACTCTGACACCCCTATTTTTTTTTATGGGTAAAGTATATTAACACCTCCTGAGGTTTGCCAAAAGGACGCACAAATGAAACTTAGCCTATTTTGGGACAAAGACACCTCCTCAAGTTTGATACACTTACCAAAGACACCCTAATGGTAATGAATTGACATTTTTGCCATTGACTTTTAAATTGACTAATTTGAATGTTAAAATAACCTTTCTAACCTTCATAATCTATTTCTTTCCTTTTCTTCTCTCTTTTGGTTCTCTCCTCCTGCAGCACCAGCACACATATAGACACACACACACACACACACACACATGTATATGTGTGTGTGTATAGATACAAACATATATATATATATATATATATATATATATATATATATATATATATCCACACACACAAGGCGGTGACGGGCGGCGGCGAGCTGTCGTCAAGGAGACTAACACTGGTGAATTAAATGATGATGATGTTGTCGGTGGCAGAGGTGTCGACGGTGGTTGCAATAGAGGCGGCGACGGTGGTTTTCAGATCTGCAAATCGCGTGAACTTCACGCGCCCACAATCGTCTTCTTCCTTCAACATCCACTACAGCCGCCGCCGCCACAACACCTACCACCACCGCCACACAATCGGCTTCGCTCCCACACCCCTATATACCACCATCATCACCGGACCACCACCACCGACCACCACTCATTTCAACACCATCCCACCTGAAAATTAACACCCAAAAGCCATACCCAATTTTCTTTTTCTGTGTTCATATATATATATATATATATATATATATATATATACACCACTCGTTTCATATATATATACTGAAGAAATTTGTTGTGTTGTTCTTTCTTGGTCTATTTTCTTTCTTTGTGGCTGTGTATAGAGAGAGAGCGACACGGTTCTTTGTGGCTGTGTATAGAGAGAAAGACATGGTATTTTATAGGGAGGGGGCAAGGGTAATTTAGTCATTTAATTATTTTGATATTTTATAATTATAATTGATTAAATAGTGAAGGGTAAAATTGACTTTTCACGGGATTTTAGGCTCTGTTTGGATTGTAAATTTGATAAGGGGGTGTCTTTGTCCCAAAATAACCTAAGTTTCATCTGAGTGTCCTTTTACCAAATCTCAGGGGATGTTAGTGAACTTTACCCTTTTTTATATTTGATTTTAAATCACATAAGCTCTCGTAACGTTATAACTTACACCTAATGTTCATTATGAATTAGTATAAAACTGTATTTTTTTTTTTTTTCCTTGTATAAATCTATATCAGTTGAATAAATATATATATATATATATATATATATATATATATATAAGACTATATCAATTGAATAAAAATAAAAAAAAAGACTAAAACAATAATAATAATAATAACAACGGAATTTACCTCATTATAGATTGATTAGGTTGTTATATTGGTTAAGTTGTATGTGAATTACTTCAACGGCCCAGACATAGTGCAGCTTTAACGTCCAGTTTCCATGCAAACACTCCAAAATCCATCCTCCAAACATCACATGGCACAGTCCTTGACCATTTGTGGTTACGCCACGTGTACTCAACTCTCACTCTGCATGCAAACGCTGGGTAAAAGTAGGGCAAACACTTCTCCTCTTTCAATCACCAACCAAACCATATGCATGCACCCTCCTCCTGCTGCTTCCATCGCCATCTCCTTATAAGCTTCATTCACCCACTGCACCCTGTTTAACCCATCCGACACCAACGCCGGACACGCGTCCACCTCCAGATTCATCACCTTCTCCATGTCCGATGACCCTAATCCTCTCCCGTCCATGCTTGTCTCCGTCACGCATTCCACCACCACCCATGACTCCACCACTCTCCTCATTGCTGTCAGATCCTCTGCATCTGACCCACACCCACCATAAGCTCCCACTACTACATTCTTATTCATTGAGTTCAACCTGCAGATTGGTGGATCTTGATCATCACGTGTTTTTTTTGTAATTCCGGTAGGATCAAGACCACCCGAAGATCCTCCCTCTAAAATACCCTTGCCGACTGATTTCTCTGGCAACAATTGTAGCGTCACAAGTGATCCCTTCTTTGCAGCCATTTCTTCATAATTTTTGCAATCTGTAGCAGCCGTAGCTCTTTTCTTACTCCTTCTAACGGTAGAGTACTTCCTCTCTGTTCTTTTACGTTTTGGAGTGACCGCCTTGTTGTTCTCCGGCATTGACACTTCACCACCGGCGGGCTTGGGTGCAATTGGCCGGTAACGGAGCATTATATGATTGATTATAAACTTATCATCATTTGCACAGTACTCTTCAGATCTTGCTATGCAGCTTCCTCCTTTGCCTCTCATGTTTCTCTCTCTATTCCATCACTATCTCTCTAGATCACATCGCATGGGGTGCTTGTTTGGGGAGCTGAAATGTGATATTCATAGGAGAAGAGTGCTATATATTTTATGGATATTCATAGGAGAAGAGTGCTATATATTTTATGGATGTGTGTATATTAGGCCACTGTTGGTTCTTGTTGTTAATGTGTGTGGTCCCGCTTTACTAGAAGTTGCGATTGGGCCCACTAGGAATGGCCAACGGGAAATTGGTTAGTGTCTTGCACTGACGTAAAAAGGAGGGACACGTATTTGTTCGTGGGCCAAAACAGTCACGTTCAGTGAACCGGATAGGTACCAGAATTGGATACGTGCGAAGAATATAGCGCGGGACTCCACAAAGCACTACGTAACTGGATTCAGACACTCGCCATTGGCCCATACAGATTAATACGCCATCATTTTCCTTTTGCATGTTATGTCAACTGCAATAATTTGAATCCCATCCAATGGCGTCTCTCTTGTTTTTAGAAATTTCAAATTTGTTAATCGCTTACTTGGTTAGTTACTCACTACTATTTTGTCCACTAATTTATAAGTTGTTATTGTATGATAAGTGGATGAATTACTGTTCAAATGAAAAGTTTAAGTTTTTAAGTGATAACACTCAATTTTATACGTCAAGACTCTTCTAATATAGCGTTCCATTCTGGAACAAGAATCTACATATTTTTTCCTACAAGATCCTTCCCATCAGGTGTAGCCCGGTACCTGATAGGAACACCTCTGTATCCTATGATTCAAAAATTTAATCTATTAAATTGTGCTAACATCTAACTTTATATGTCCAAAAATACCCTTCTTATTTGGATCCAACGTGAGATAAGAATCCATGACAATATGAATGGTTGTATATGGAAATTGGTTCTAACAATGTTGGCGGCAGCATACATGATTTCAAAGCAACGGTACTCAGGAGAGAGGGGCTGTGCTAAGAAAAAGTTCAAACTTCAAACCTTCTTTGGATTCTTTTCGAGAAGTAATGCACACTACTCTCGTCGTCTCCTCTTGTTTGTAGTACTTGCAGGATGTGGACACATGCGTGGCTTATCACCATTCATATTTGGTCCCTATTTCCTGACATAATTAATCATATATGCAACACCATTTTGACAATATATATTTTACGTCGGTATTCAATATGTATGCTTTCATCCTATATATACACATATGTCTTAGGAAAAAATATATAAATACATATATATAGATCGACTGCTCATTGTATATAGTCCTTTGCATAAGCGGAGATAATTTCTTTGTTGGGAAATATCAGCTTCTCATCTATACAAACTTTGAAGAAGAATAAGGAGAAAAGAATATAGGGAAATAGTTAAATTTTAAAAAATCTCTGCTTCGCTATCTATTATTATTATTTTTAATCACATTATTTTAGTAACTACCCCATTGAACTAAATTTCTAGCTTCCTCACTAGACACGTATATATATGGTGATTGCAATGTCATATAGTTCCAACTATGCCAAACTATTTAATTGACTGATCTAATATCTTTTTCGGAGAGAATAACACTCCTTAGTTATTGTCCATTTTATTGGTTGAGATTTATGTCAACAAAAGATTTTTATCAGTACCAAAAAAAACACAATTAACAAAGATAAGAGTCTAGAGGAGGAGTTAATTGCCATTTTTTTTTTAACTTAATTGTCAATTTGTTTTGATGTGAAATGTTTGACATTGAAAGATAACTTTTTATGTAACTTTTTTTACATGGAAAAAATAAATCATTTTCCCTTTGTTTAAATGCTTGAATATGACTTTAAAAATAATTGATTTAGAAAATGCACAAGAAGTTTTCCTATTTTCCTTATTTACAGAAAATAATTACTTCCTATTGAACTATAAGGGTGCTATATTATTGGCACCCCTAAAGTACACATTAATTTCTCATAATCTTGGAGAGTCTAGATTCAAAGTATAAGATACTTTTCGTTTTATTTTTCATTAATAATTATCGAATAAACATATTAAACTAGATGCTTGGACTTTTCTTGGAGTCTGAATATCATCAGTCTTTTAATGGTTGATTGCAAAAACATTAAAATAAAAAAGAAAGAGAGAGAGAATATGTTTAATTTTTTAAAGTTATTTTTAATAATCTCATTTCATGTTATTTTTTGTACCTTTATCTATTTCTTACCCCCTGTTACAATTAGTATTCCTTATTTGAGAGAGGGTCTCTAAGCTTCCAATATATGTGTAATGTGTCCAAATTATCTAAGTATACTCTCTCAAATAACTTATAGTGCAAAAAAACCCTTGATGTGACCAAAATCACTCCTTACATTTTAAAATCATTAAATAAGGAGACTCTTTCACCTAGTTCGTTATATGAAAATTTTCATATATATATATAAAATATATAAATTTAATATATATACATATTATAATAGGCGGAGCCATTCCAGGGGGCACATGCCCCAGATGGGCTGGACATTAATTGGCTCCGCCTCTACCTACATGTGTAGATGTGTTTATAAAAAATTGTGAGTGTGAAGAGATTGTAAAGCAAACAATTTCTTCACAGCTTTAATCCCCAACTTGAATATGGGTGTCGAGACAAATTTAGGAGCTTACATAGTTCAGTTGAAATATGAGGGAGCGTGCGCAACCCATGAGGGGTCAGGCCTTCCTAACCGATGGTGACAAATTTAGGAGCGCGCACTACCAAATTGGAATATAAGGGAGTGTGCACCAACGACGGACCCAGAAAATTATGTAAGGGGGCAACCTATGTTATATAGGCAATAGTAGAATTATTCTATAATTTCAATGGGGCAATTTTAAAATTTTATAAGTATTTAATACAAAAAGAAGAAAACAATAGATATAAAATATTAATTAAAAAAAAAATAGTGGGGGTAATTGCCCCCACTGGGCATACGGTAAATCTGCTTGCACAACCCATGAGGGTTAGGCCATCGAAAATATTTTGAAGGGACAATGTGAGACGCATATTGACAATTAGGAGCATGCACAACCCCTCTCTCGCGAATATGGTCCACGAGGGTCAGACCTACGAGATCATTTTGAAAACTGTGTGTCTCAAAACGGATAGTATTTCAAATTACTCCTTCCATCCCAAAATATATATTTATTTTGAAAATTGTGAGTCACAATTCCTAAAGTGAACGTCCATTTTGTAACGGAGGGAATATAAGATAGAAATTGGCCATGGTGGACTGGGGTTTTGACTTGAGTGTGTTATGCATGGATAGGGTGGACAAGAAAACCCATTTTGGCCCAACCTAAATAAAATTTTGATTCTGATCACAAGTTGGGTTTGTTGTGCTCCACTTGCCAACTGCCAAGCCCAGAAAGTTCGGCCCATTTTTGGACCAAACCTAAATAAAATTTTGATTAGTTTAAAAATTAATAAATGAAGTGAAATTTTTTGGCAAAATGCCAAATTTCGGTTTTCACAATAATTATACGTGAGAAATGGATTTACGGCTATTATATAACAGTTATAAAATGAAGGGGTCAATGCGAACGCACAATTGCTCATTCTTTATATAATAGTAGGATTTTTTGCACTTCACACTTTATAAAATTAGCCAAAAAGATTATCAAGATTATTTAGAGTTTTCAATAAAAATGATAGCATTTGACCATCATGTGTTTCATCTTAATTGTTATGTCCTAAGGAATAAGTAATAGAATGGTGTCGAGTGCAAACGGTTGATATGCTAAAAAATTTTTAATCATAAGGTGATATGCAAAAAAGAATAATTAATGGTTCAAAAAGATATGTTGCAATTAATTATGATTAATTTGAATTATTTTGTTTTTTTTAAAAAAAAAAAAAAAAATTTAAATTGCTACCAATCCTAACAGCTCCCTAACTAGAGGGTTTTAAAATGAATGATAGTATAAGGGAGTGGCATGCTAAAAGAAAAAATTATACTCAGATGCAAAAGGTTAATTGATTAATAATTTATGAGAGGTTTTTACAATTAACCTTTCTCCTAAAGACGAATGTGGGCATTTTATGTTAAAAGTTCTTTAGTTTTTCGTATGCACATGTATACAATTGGGTTTTACTAAATGCATTAAAAAATATATATATTAAATAAATTTGTTCGTGCACTTTGTCATGACCTATGGTTATTATTATGCGTATATAAGCTTTAAGTATATGTGTATAGACGTATGCATAGTGTATACACATTATATGTGTATATATATTATTTGAATATACGAGTTAATACATTTAAAAAAATTATTTTAATCTTCTGCAAATTACCCTCATTTTATTAAATTTTTTTATAAGTGACCATTTACTTGAAAATTAAGAAATAATCTAGATTTTATAGCTGTCACTTTCTTTAGCTGGGTGCCTATATAGTATATAATGAACACCTACCCCCACCATGAAAAGACGTAGAGCTTGTTCGCAATGGATTGGTCTAGGTTTTTAAGTTTCCAATACAACAACCAAAATTTATCCAAATATTAATATGTACATATTTTTATATAAATAAATATATATATAAGGCGCTGTCTCCTGAATATATTTCAATAGCAACATATATATATATATATATATATATATATGAACAATTAGGATTGATATTTTTCTTTTTCTTTTTCTGAATTTATTATTACCTTAGAACTTGGTCTTGAACGTTTGGCACTTTCCTTGGTTGTTCAGTGCTTTCAACGGCCCAATCTAAGCGCAGCCTTAACGTCAAGCCTCCATGCAAAGCCTACAAAGTCGATCCTCCACACATCACACGGCATAGTCTGCGAGTTCTTCTGCTTCTGCCCCGTGTACTGGACACGCACTCTGCATGCAAACGCCGGGCACATTATCGGCAGCTCCTCCTTCACCACCAGTCGCACCATCACCTCCGGCAGCGTCTCTCCATTACCCTGTGGGCCCACCATCCTCTTGTAAGCCTCATTCACCCACTGCACCCTATTTAGACCGTCTGATACGAACGTTGGACACGTGTCCATCCCCAGATTCTTCATTCTTTCCACGTCCGTTCCGTCCATGTACTTCTCCGTCACGTCTTCTACCGTCACCCACGACTCCACCACTGTGGCAGGCACCACCACCGCCGTCCGATCTGACACACCACAAGCGATATTCGTGGTTTTGTTGAAGTTCAACCAGATCGGAACCGAACGATCAATATTCCGCAAAGATCCTCCTGCCGTCGGGTCACCGGTGTGCTCCGGTAGCAACTGTAGCGTCACAACCGCCTCGTCCGACTTATCGTCTTCCTCAGCCGGTTTTACTTGGTCTTTCTTAGACCTTTTCTTCTCCCGAACCCTGACGTACTTTCTCTTCGCTCTTGTTGTGCTTTTCACGCACGAGATCTTGTTCTCCGGCGTCGAACCACCGGAAACAGATCCATCGGTGGCCGGTTTTGGTGCGATCGGCCTGAATCTTAACATCATCTGGTTGATGATGGTCTTATCATTGACACCGGCGGTGCCGCCTCCTCTAGTGAGGCAACCTTTTCCAGCATCCATCACAAACACACACTGTCAATGGAATGGAAATGTGTGTTTCTCTCTCTAGAAACCAGATGGACGGATGGTGAATGATGAATGGCATGAGAAGTACGGTGAGGGGTGCGTGTGCAATACGTGGTGTCTAGGGCAACACTTGAACAGTAAAAAGGAGTGATTGGTAGGTTCAGATCAGGTGGGTCCCACGTTAAAGGAGCGTATCCTTGATAACTGAGGATTTTGATTGGCTGTCACGTGTCGACCAATGAGAGAAAGGACGCGTATAGAGAGCACTTGAAAAAAGATGGGACACGTATGTGCCTTGATTGAAGTGAAGTGGAGATGCCTTCGATAATTTCGACGCGTGGCTTCTGTTCAAACCGTATCATTGCTTTTCAGAATGTGGCGCGTGAGAATCACATGCTCAGATTGCTTTTGCACGTGGTTGGTGGGCGTGTGAGTGTGAGGTGGGGTCTTCCCTTCTTTGCTGAGTTTTTGGGAGATGTAGGATGAGGGACACGTGGATGGTACGATGACGCTAAGGACCTTTGGCAATTTTATGTGACGACATGGTGAAAAGATAAAAATGTAATTGATTAGGGGAGTGGAAAGAGGGCGCCCCAATGGGATTCGGCCTTTAAAAGCACGACGCGCCTCTTGAAGAGTTGTGGCCATGTTAGTCACGTGTTTGATACATGGATGGTTTTCAGTGGGTATCCTTTCCTTTTCCTAGTAACACTAGTGGTTGTAGTGAGGCATGTAAAGGGACGAGGATTTTGATGGCCGTCTCCAAATATTTTCTTTTATAACAAATTAGTATCTGGTGAGACCGACCATGGGACTGTGTTGCCGGCTTAAAGACCAATCCAACATAATACCAAAACTAAATTTGTTTTGCAACAGAATAATTTCTTTTCAATTGAGTCGGTTGGGCAATCTCTCTCGCAATGGTGGTGGTGGGCCCACACTCCCTGTATGACATAAATCTTGTTCCAACTCGCTCACTTATTTTAGGGAGGTGATAATGGACACAGGACACCTATTTCTTTTGTTAAATAAATTGACAACTTTGCCCTTACACCTTTCTTTCATTCTTAAGCCGCCAAAACTTGTACTCCTTTGTCAAATACATTCTCTAATCCTTTCTGGAATGGAGCCAGAGAGCCATTTTCTAGACGCAGGCCTCGTCCGGAAGTCAGCGGGACAGCGCACATTAGCAAGCACAGGAACAGCAGTCTCCATCCACCATATACTTGGATATATATACATATATATATATATATAGAGAGAGAGAGAGAGAGAGAGAGAGAAGGGGAAGGGAGAGAGAGAGATGGGTTTATGTCGGGCTGATATATTATTAATTAAGGGCAGAAGCGCAAGTTAGCATGGGAAGAGGGGTGAGTCAGTTCATTGGGCTTTGAATTTTTATATTTTGACATTTAGCCATTTGGGAAGACTTGGAGAAGAATAGGGGGTGAGTCCCCAAACCCTCCATTGATGCTATCATAAGATTTTGTCTCTCATCACATTCTCCACCAATTCCATCATAGGCAAGTAAAATGGGTAATATAACTTGAAGAATGGAGATAATAAGGATTAAATGATCATTTAAAGGGTAAAGTGCAAAAAAAAATTCTTTCAACTATTAGTTTTTTGCAACTGATTCCTTAACTAAAAATTACTCCCTTAAATTATTGATTTATTGCAATTAAGGACAAACTCATCACAAAATACTATTATATCATTGCGTATTAAATTTGTCATTTCTTATTAAATTATTTTTTATTATATTTTCTCTTATTTAAATATTAATTATACCATTTACCTTAATTTTATAATTAGTATCAATTGATTATAAAAATAGAAAAAATTAAATAAATTTGTAACTATCATTTTCTAAAATGATTAACTTATTGTAATAAAACTTATTATACTCACTTTAAAAAAATTTAGTGTAAAAAATATCTTCTTTTTAATGCAATATATTCATGAATATTAAGAAATATTATTTAAATTGTTTCAAAATTTTCTGTTTAAGATTTTTATTTAAATAATTAATTAAAAAAATTAAAGGCAAACTTATGCAAATTTAATGAAAAATATTTCATCAAATTAGTATGAATATTTTTCATAATTTATTTCAACAAGAAAAATATATCAAGTGTAATTTAATAAGAAATGATATTATAGTCATTTAATGAAAAATAGGTAAGACAATGGGGTATTTTGTAACTAAATGTAATAGTTTAGAGGGTTTTATGCACAAAACATAATTTAAGAAGGTTATTTGCAAATTTAGACATAGTTGAGGGGATTTTTTGCACTTTATCCTCATTTAAATTAATAATAAGATAAGTGGAACACAGAGGTGATATTTGGAGCGCTAATATCACTTCTTTATCTTATCACTTCTCTTCCGTGTTATATACATAAATATATTAATAAAGCGAATTGTAAAAAATCCCTTTGGACTATTAACCGGTTGTGAAAAACCCTTCTTATGAATATTTTTGGCAAAAAAACTCCCCTCAACTATTTCAAGGGGGTGTTTTTAATTGTTGTATGTTTAAGTGATTATTTGAGGAAAATTTTCGGACGAAATTACCCCTTAACAGATTATTCTTTAGACAATTTATTTATTTATTCTCTCTTTCTCTCTCTGTCAAGCAAGATATGTGAAGCAGCATAGAACAATTCCCAAAAAAAAAAAAAAAAATGGAAAACCAATAAAATCTTTTTAAAACTATGTATAATTAATAAAATAAAGTTGAGTACAACTGCACAGAGAAAATCCATCTTGGCAATTAGAAAGCAACATTATTTCTTTTTCAAACCTGATTTTTTTTTTTTGCTTATATCGAGAACACGAAATACCCAAAGTAAGTTTTTGAGAAGAAATTGTTGTAAAGAAATTGTTGTAATTGATATACACAAGTTAAAGACCTAAAAATATAACTGCTTTTAATGTAAAATGATTTCGTTTCTATTCAATTCACAATAATATAATTATAAAAGACATTTAGGTCGTTTACTACTCAAAAATTAATTTGATTCCACCACCTACTACTAAAAAATTACGTACCATGTGAACGAAGTATATGGGGTAATTTTTGAAAAATTTACTCACTTTTATTATTAAGATTTTTTTTTTAAAAAAAATCTTATTATTAAGATAGTAAGAAACCAAAGGAAACTAACACTTTTTACATGTAAATGATTTGTTCAATTACATGGAAGAAATCATGACAAAAAAAAAAAAAACTAATAAAAAAAGTAAATAAATAAAAATAAGTCATATATTAAGTGAATATAGCTGAGTATTTTTGGGGCTCAACTATTGTTTACATGTACTATATCATGTTGTCAAGCAGTGTTGAAAGATAAATTTTTAACAATTAGGTTTCTCGATATGTTGTTAGCTTTGTGTTTGAAGTAATGAGAAGACTTGCTTGACAAGGGGAGAAAAAAGAGAAAAAATAAATAAATTCAACCACTTAAATGAACATTAGTTAAAAACACCCTTCGAAATAGTTGAGGGGGATATTTTGCTAAAAATATTCGTAAGAGTGATTTTTCGCAACTGGATAATAGTAAAGGTTTTTTTTTTTTTTTTTTTGTTTATTTTTTATTTACAATTCGCCCCAATAAATATGTGTGTGGGTAAATGAGATATCCAGATTTGCCCATACATAAACATTTTCAAGATTCAAATTATCAAACAAAAAATACTCTTTTTTGTCCAAATTACCCTCACTACTTTTAAAATTTTCAACTTCACTACTTTAAAATTTTTCGTCCTTTTCCATCCGAAGTATTTGTAACGTGTCCAAAATAAATTATTATTTATTAAATTTTCCCTTAAAATTTTAATTAAATGTCTTTCAATTCCAAATTCAAATTTTTCGTCCTTTTCCATCCGAAGTATTTGTAACGTATCGAAAATAAATTATTATTTATTAAATTTTCCCTTAAAATTTTAATTAAATGTCTTTCAATTTCAAATTCAAGCCATTAGTGCTCCCAAATAGCTTGTTTTGTGTAGACTTTAGAGAATCATGTAGCATTATGTAATTGATCAAAACTTACTCCGAAGAATAATGCTCAAGGATATTAAGTAAATTGTTAACTTACTTACGCGTCCATGACTTCTTTAAAATACCATGTAAAACAAACCAGGTTCATTGTCGAATTATTATTATTTGAACTTCAATTTTCATTTGCAGAAATTTTAATGTCGCTCTTCCCCTTCAGATATATACTTGATTGCCATAAACCTTATTAATGGGCTACCTTAGAGCCCCATTAATAGGTCTATAAGACAACTGAATTTAGCTCCCTCTCGTCAAAATGGCCCTTGGCTGCACCTAAAGCAAGAAGATAAAAGCTAAAACACTTTAAAATCTTTTGACAGTAGATTCTCATTTGGCAAATTGATGGATAGTCTCAATCCTGCCTTTTTTTAATCTCCCAAATACAGTATTTCACAATAAAACACAAGTCTTTCTTGAGACCCCTATTCAATTCAGAGTTCAGACAAAAAATAGTGTATGTACGATTCTCTTATTTCTCCCTCCAATTGAGAAAGGAACTCTTCCAGTAACAACATTACCTGTGGACAGGTTCAACTAATTTAATATAGTTGCAAAACACACACTGTTTTAGAGACAATTATTCCCAACTCAAGTCCACCCACAAGGATATAGCACAGAAGAGCTAGTTGACGACGTCGAGGACCAATTTACGGGACTTGAGAACAGACCACCTCATGCGCCTGTAATAACCAGCTTGTAGTAGTGCTAGCGACAACAAAAATATCCACTTGAATCCCATCTGCATTTGAAATCACAAAGTCAGTAATTGACTAACCTTTTTTTAACACATTGTCATCTAAAATGATTTAAGCCAATATACCAATTTTCTCTCTTCCATTTCCGGTTCTGCAGCCCATGACAGAAATGAGACAACATCTTTCCCCATCTGAACCATATGTCATGGAAAAGAACATGAGCTTTTTGATGGCTTAAAGTAATAAGCACAACCTATTGTCTTGGGCATAATAAGGGGAAATTTAACCTGAGATTCTGTCGCAGGGGTACCATCTTCATACTCAATGGCACCATCAATTAGCATTTTAGGCATAGCAATAGCTCCCCCAGGAAAGTAGGGATTGTAATGCAACCCTTCACGTATCTACAATACCATTGCAGGCTGATTAAGGGGAGGAAAAAGTAGCATTACCCTAAATAAAAGTAAAAGCAAGGCTAGATATTAATGGGGAATGTATCTAATTTTGTACAAGAGAACCATTCCCAGGTGGAGGAATACCATTTTATGTTAAAGCATGTCGCCTGACAAAGGATTATATGCAGATATAAAGAAAAGCTAAAGCACCTCTAGACAGTAAAAGGCTCATTATTGCAGTGTGATGCACCAAGTGCAACATGCAGTGATAAAATAGAAATATATTTCAAGCAGAACTGCAGAAGTTTAACAACACTTAGAAAGCTCCAATATAGCAAGAGCTTAAGTGGATCCGGACCAGCCTTTAGAACCCTCTCCTGGGAAACGATAATACATTGTAGAGCTTTGGCAAAATCAATGCACCTACACCCTCCCTCCTAGCAACCCAATAAAGGAAACAAATATGTCTAGAGAGAGAGAGAGAGAGAGAGAACAAAAAGTGTTGTTTATATGTGATGCCATGTTGGCATATATTTTGGTTGATATTGTCGCATTAACATGTCTAGCATATGTTTTAGTTGTACGAGTGATTTACAGGTGGTGTTTAATGTGCGTAGCTTTGGGATATATCCCCTTCCTATATACATTTTCAGTGGAGATGCCCCCCTTAGCTTTGTACTTTCTTAAACATTTTGGTAGAGAAAGGAGGGAGAGAGAGAGAGAGAGAGAGAGAGAGAGATAATATGCGGTTACCGAGACACCAGCAGGAGGATCACGGTAGCCAGTTAGAAGGGTAAACACGTAGTTCTGACCATTGTGACGAGCCTGAAATGCCAAAAATAAACTTATCAAAAAAAGACAAACAATGAGACATTTTAGAATAAACAAACATAATTTCCAAGAAAAGATAAAAGCAATGATCTACAAAATGTCAAAATTAGAAGGCAGGAAATACTTTGGTAATAAGACTTAAATCTGGAGGATAGGCCCCTCCATTAGCAAACCTAGCCGCTTGTTCATTTGCATATGGCTGAGGAAATCGGTCGCTTAGTTTACCAGGACGAGTAAACATCTCACCCTCATCATTTGGCCCATCAACCACCTCAATCTCAGCTGCCATAGCCTTCGTCTCCTCCTCAGTGTATGCCACACCCACCAAGTCACGATATGAAATTAGTGACATAGAGTGGCAGGACGCACAAACTTGTTGATAAACCTGGTGACCACGACGAATCCTGCACACACAAGATTTGGGTTCCTAATGAAATGAAAGGTTTTACAATATATTTATAGATATCAATAGCAAAACTTATCTCAAAACTCACGAGGCATGATCATATGAACTGAGGATGCCTTTGTGAGGCCAAGGATAGTTAGGACACTCCAAACCATGTTCAGTTTCATCAGCAGCAGATGTAATCGTTGCAAAACTCAAAAGCCCTGATACACCTGCTCCAAGAAGTGCAACTGCTCTCAAGGTCTTCATGCCAGCAGATCCAAATGCCTCTTTACCTTTATTTGAAATAAGCAACGAAAAAACTGGAGGAGTCTGCATAACATTATAGAGATACCATAAGTAACTAATGGTGATACCATAAATTGAATACTAAAATATCAAGTATGAGGTGAAATAAAAATTGATAATCTAGTCTTGAACTTTAACAGTCCACTTCAACACAATGCCAGCATGCCCGCCTAACACATCATTATCCCGCACCTCAAATTTTTTATTGGCAGTTATAAGATGCTTAGACACTTTTGACCCTCAGTTTAATTTTGGCCCTCATGAACAGGAAACAACAAACAACCAGACTATGCTCCTGGAAATAAAAGTTGCTAGGTCAAAAACTGCATGAAAGTACAGAATACATTAATATATATTATTCCAATTTCAGTTTATATTCCACCTAGAATTCTGCCACAGAAAAATAAAGAAAATTTTCAGATTAAAAGTTGAATCCATGAAAATTGAATTAAGTAGAACATTATAACACAAAAAGAGGAAAATCACTAGAGTTCAAAACTTTAAGTGGAAAGAAAATCTGTGAAGTAACAGTAAGTTAAAAACTTTTGAAGAGAAGGGTGTGCCTGAGTGTATGACACTGAGGTTGTACAAACACTTTAAAGTAACTGGATGTGAAGTGTGCAACCCCATCTCCTAAATCTAAAGTTTGCATAGTAGTTCTATTTTCGTAATAAGAACATTTCATTAGTACTGTCAATAACAAGAGAAATCTTAATGAGTGACGCATGCTGCTGCTTTTAGCAGTAGTGTATGTATAGCCTAATAGACTTAAAAAAGCCCCGCCCATAGCTTTAATGCACATCTCACTCAGTTCTTAAATTCTCATAGCACAAAGGTTTCTTCACAGTGCCCCAGCTAAAAGTCCATAGATCCATGGACAAGCCAGCAGAAAATCTGTGCATTTGTAGTGAAAGGAGTAAAACAAGCAATCCAAAATTTCCAAATCTTTTATAAGTAAATAAATTATTAAAGAGGAGTCTTAGAGGAGGTGCAATCATGTACACAGGATGTATACAAATATATACAAAACAAGGAAAAATATACTCTCCTCGTCTATCATCAGAACTCTACAAGAACTCAATATCTGATGCTTCACTCTCCAAGTAGGCATTTCTATGTCTCCAAAGATACGCATACTCCTCTCCCTCTGACACAAAAGTAACTACTAAGTGGAACCACTTTCCAAACGACTCTCTACCCTAATACTCACTCTACAAAGCGATCTATCCAAACGACTCTACCCTCCCCCTCTGATCACCTGCACTTATCTTTTGAACTTGGCTGCCAAAACATCATGCTTAATCAGTCGCTGCTACATTTGGAACGTTGTTGTAATAAAATCCACAAAGTACAGCTCCCTTTCAGCTCATAAAATGGATATATCTCCTTTCACGTGATTGATCAGGACAACATATAAAGAAGAGAAAAGAAGGAATCATTATTTTATACAGGATAACATGTATTGCAGTATCATGAAAAATGGAGTTCAAACAGAGGACAACCTTCCAGAAATTTTATATATATATATATATATATATATATATATGCATTTCATCATCACTTTTGGTTTGATAAAAGAAATGATAAAATAATAATAATAAAAACAGCATATTTAACGAACTTTACATGGTTCTCTTTTAATGTCTTTGGGAAGTTCAGACTGCCATTTTACCGAAAATGCCCTTACCCAATAATTAAAGAGATCGGTAATTGAGAAACAAAGAGAACAAGACTTTGCAACCCAAACAATTTAAGAACAGATTGCCATTTACCCAAAACAAGTCATGGATCATTATATTGCCACATAAGCAAAGGTGAATCAGTACTGCTTGGTACTAAAAAAAAAAAAAAAAAAAAACCATTCTAGAATGGTGTAACCTATTCATTTGCCAAATAAAACTAGAAGTTTAACAAACTAATTTAAGAAAGGTGTATCGAGAGTATTTATAGGTATAAATGCTTTTACAGTAGCTATCCAAACTTCTTATTCTACAGTAGCACGTGTGGTTTAAGAAACTCATTAAGAAACATCCAAAGCTTATTATCTCAGTTCTCTTTTAAAAATATAGACATGCAGACTACAAATACCTATAAGAAATAGTGCAGTGAGGGAGACAGAGTCTTACGGTAGATTGAGACTGTAGTCTCCCACGCAGTAACTGGTGGATTGCTCTTCCTGCAGCCATTTAACTCAATTTCTCTGTTGATTTATTCACCATAAGAAGCAAAAAATGATTTACAAACTTATATTTAATGAAGACAGGGCATGTGGGTGTGTATGTGTCTTACGTTTGACAACCACAACAAATGGTAAAAGAAAAGACAACAGCCCTAGACTTGGAAAGGGTCACTACTAATATCATTACGACACGAGGAAAAACAAAAAAGATGAATAGGTCATTCCATAAACTTGAAAAAGATGAATTACTAATCAATTTTTCACTCCAAATGACTACAACAAAAATACTTGCAATATCAAATTGCCAACTAAATATGAGGTAGATTAGGGAAAACAAGTTGGAAATTTTCTTGCGTATGGTTATGCAGGATCTTACACTTCAAGTATTCAAACTTTTTTTCCTTTAAGAAAATTAGAATGATACACATGCCTACCACAAGTCAAGCAAGCTATTACACTTCTTTATTTATGAAAAAAAAATAATTGTAATGACAACATAGGAAATTTGTGGCATGTATAATATAAAAATCTAAATGATGTTCAAATAACTTCATCTTCTAGATTGTGTAACCGTTGGTATAGAAGTTAGAAACTGATTAAAGTTTTACAATTGTTTTTTTCAATGTATGCATATAAATGAAAATTTATTTATACAGCAGTGTTCAAGTCGTCTCTGTCCTACTTTTCTTTCAAGGATTTGACGTATCAATTGATCGTGCCATATCGTGTCCATGCCCGTGCCCCATGTTTGTGCTACTTAAATGATGCAAAAGTAGAAAATGACAACTAATATTTCAACGAGGGAGTAAATTATAAGGAATAAAGGAAAGAGACGCAAATTTTTAAAATTATAAACTCAAATTCACTATGCATCAAGTATTTTTGAGATATTTTTTCAGAACTCAAGTATCACAGTGATTACAGAGAGCAGACTTTATATCATCTGTGAAGAACAATAAGAATCATTGAAACAGCATACTGGCAATTGTCAAAAATCTCAAAACATTATTTTAGTATTCCTGGTTTCTTCCTGACAAAGATAATAATTGAAAACAATACTTCAGAGGATGCCCATGAAGTTGCAATGAGCTCTACAACCAATGCTATATGGCAAGGCGTGTTTTTAAAGTAGAAGGTGGATGAATTTGTTATACTCATTTCAAGTTGAACTTTTAACTATATGCACCTAAAACATGGCACACACATCATACCACTTGAAATCAGATACGTGAATATACAACAGATAGTTGAACAAAATGGGTATAAGAATATTTATACCTAGAGCCGAAAATTAATGTTCAATGGGGAAACAACTTGGGAAATCTAAATCCTCCGCACCCCGCACCCCCAAACTATGAATACCACTAACATTGAACTGCACAGTTTGGTACCATGTAAAGCTTTTTTTTTTTTTATTTATTTGAAACCATCATTGCAAATGAAAACATTGCATAAATTCAGACATTATACTAAGTGTGGTGAAACACTAAAACAATTGAAATTCTAAGGAATCCTAAAATTGGTCCAGTGTCATTGTTGTATTGACGGCTCAAACAATATTTTCTTCTTGTTGGTTGCGCCATTGTGTTGCAAACCCATTTGAGTTGATCTAATCCCCATGAATGCATGAAAGTACCCCAATGGGTATTCCTGCGAATGGTCAACTTGAGAAATCTGGTTATGAGCCTATCACCTTGGCAAACTTAACTACCCTTGTGGGTTCATATAACTTCACCATAATCATAATTCTAACATTCACATCAATAACAAAATTGCCCACCATAATTGTCAGCCCTACTAGTAAAAAAAAAACAAAATCAGCAAGCCTTTACAGTTTCCATGTGTTAGCCTCTCAGGTAAATTTTATAAAATCCTACCCCAGTAACCATACTGAGCAGGAAAACAAATTCTATGTACTTCTAATAGGTTGATGCACGTATATATACACAAATAATACAAAACCCTAAAAACAGAGGCTGATATATCGAGATATATATATATATATATATATATATTAAAAGTCCCAAAATGAAATACTGGGGCAGATACATGTTTAATAATGTAATTGGTAGACTTTGTTTATTCTTTCTAAAAGATTTATAAAGAGCAGAAAAATCAAATCTTAAAATCTGAAGAGGATGATTATACATATGCACACACACACACACATATAGGGAGAGAGAGCGAGACTTAAAACCCTAATACGTTATGACCATGATAGATCGCGAAGAGACTGAAATGAGCTAAATAAGAAATGATAAGACGTAGAAGAGAAAACTGACCGGAACTGATTGGCGGCTGTTCGGAGCTTAAGCTTGGCAGATTCAATGAAGAAGAGAGTCGATAGATGGTGATGAATACTTGATTAAAGAGTATTAGAGTAATAATTTTATTTTTATTTTGAGTGGGACAATACTAGTATAGTACTATAATTACCATCAGAAATGCATAAAAATGAGGTTTTTACTTGGTCTCCCTCCAATGAATGCCTGTCATCAAAATGCCACCTCATCAAAATGCCACCTGAGAGCCACGTTTCGGCCAGCAAAGCAAAGAAGCCTGCCTTTGCCACAGAACTATTGACAACGCTTTAATCAAATAAAATTATATTCTATTAATAGGAGGTAAAAGCTTGGATGTAATTTCAGAAGTATAAATGATTTTGTATCCTATATTTTTCACACATAGTTGCCTCGAGTAGGATATTAGAGTAAATTTACTAATCTAATACTTCTTGCATATTTTTCACATTTTTATTTCTCCAATCAGAGAAAATAAATAATTAAAATTTAAGTATATTTAAATTTCTTGTATTATGATTCATTGTAAGTTTTTTTAGTAATTAGAATTAGTTTTGAAGATAGCATTTAAAATAAAATACTACACATAGTCTTCCAAGTTGAATACTTAAATGGAGTTGATATTGGCGCTTTACTAATGTCTTTAGACGCTCTGAATTTTTATTTTTCTTGTACTGAAATTATAAAAGAATCCATCTATCATAAAAAAATCACGTCTAATTAGACTGTTATATCATTCTGTTTAATAATTCAATATATGACTTCGATGTAATTATCATTTTCTTTTTTGTTTTTAATATTTACCTATAATTCCAATTCAGTCTTCTCTCTCATGTTTCTGTTTCCTGTTATAGTTATGAATTCAGTGTATGACTTCGGTGTACTAAACCTTTATTTACCCTTTCGATAACAATAAAAGTCATGAATTGGCAGAATTGCCAAACTTTATTCCAGTGCCTTCTGTCATGCAAACAAAGGTTTAGTACTTTAAAATATTTTCATCAATAAAAAATAAAATTAATTTAAAATTGTGTATATTGTTATCGTCAAACCAACAAACACAATATCCTACTTCAAAATAAAGTCAGAAAAAGGAATCCAGTTAGTGATTATAAATTATATTTTTCAACAATAAAAAATTCTACAATTTAGCAATAATCAAATTGAAACAAATTTGGAATTACCAAACACGGAGTCTTTCACAAAATAACTGAAAAAATAAATACTTTATCTGACAGGGTCATCAATCATTAATAAATTACATAACAGTGGGTGAATCTACAAAATTCAACATAAAAAGAGATAGTGAAACAAATACTTAACCACGAAAGAATAAATAGTAATTAGAATTTGGTTAAATGCCCAAAATGATAGATGAAGAATTAAGCTAAATGCCCTAAATAATTTAGGAATGTAGACAACGAAATCGAAAGATTTTTCATTTTAGAGTCCAGAGTTCTAATATTAATAAGAAGGGCAAATATGAAATTAAAAATATAAAAAGCTATTTCCTGTGATATGTTGACTCTTTTATAATTTCATTGTAAGAAAGATAGAGAAAAAACATAGAGATTGGAGCACCTGAGGAATGAGATTTTGGTGGAATGTCGATATCAGCTTCTACTTAAAATTTATTTTTGTCTTTACAAAACTTGAAAAAATATATATTTTTTCATATATATTAATGGTAAATATAACTAAAGTATAATGGCATAATTGACATTTACTAATACATTTCAATTAAAGTCAACACGGATAAGGAGGACGACATTATTTTTGAAATTATAAAAAATCATGTTATTAAATTATTCTCTAAAATATTACTTAAAATATAATAGGGAAGCGCAATCCACTTTTTACACTTGCACTACAATTTTAAATGAAAATGACAATTTTAACTTTAACTAATGATTATTACTTTTTAAATGACATAATTGTCCTTTCATACTTATTCTCCTTATCTATAATCTTTAATAACAAATAAATTCATCGAACAAAAAAAGAAAAAGAAAAGGGTGACCATCAAAAAAATTATCTCTTTTGACAGGAAAAAAACCCATATATATATATATATATATATTGAAGAAATTATCTCTCTTATCAAGATCCAAAATAATAAAAGTACAAAAAAAAGAGGATTAAAAAAAAAAATCTCTATTGAATAATTTTTTTTTATTTTTTTATATTTTTTAATGGTACCATAAAAAGTTATATATAAAAAAAAAATTACCTCTTTTGACAAGAATGTAAAAAAGTTAACTTTGTTGAATAAATTATAAAAATCACTATTGAATAAATGATCTCTTTTACTATCAAAAATAAAATTATGGGTATGGAAGAAATTATGTTCTTTGAGAGGACCTCCAAAAAAGGAGAAAAAAGAAAAAAGAAAAAGTAAAGGTTCACAGTAAAAAAAAAAAAAAAAGGTTAAAGTTGAGCTAAAGTTGTATAAGGGTTAATTATGCCATTATAAAGTGATAGTGCATTAATGACTTTAAGAACTGTTTTGTTATTTTTTTTAAAAGAAAAAAAAAATAAGTAGAGTGTAATGTGAAAAAATTGGAGTTCAAATATGTCCTCTCAATATAATATACTATTATAATATGGAGTATTATTTTTTCAGCCCTTAGTGATAATAATATATTATTATAATAGGAGTATTATTTGTTCAGCCCTTGGTAATACCCTAAAAATACAGCAGCCCACGGATACGGATGGTTTGCCAGCCTCAAAAGTAGCAGTAATGTAACTCAATGCAAACCATTGGCGCCCACTCTTTCTTCTGTCAAAAGAGAACTCTGTTTGACATTCTTTTCTCGGTCCCTCTCCATCTCTCTCTCTATATATATACTGATATATAATGCCTTTATACGAATGGGTTCTCTCTGGTTTTGAGGATTACAACGAGAATGGTCAGATCGGCTGGAAAACACACTATCACAAAATTCACCCTTCTATTATCATTAGCTGGATTTCTTGGGGTCGCTTTGATTCTAGATTTTTTTTGGGTTTCATCTCCTCCTGCATATTTATCAGTTGCTTCAAATTGGGCTCGTGAGCAATCTCATATCATAGTAGTACCAAATGTCACCAACATAACTGAAAAGGTTAGTCCCTGTTTGATTACATTGCTACTTTCGTCATTAATTCATTTTCTAATCACCATCCACTTTGTTTTTGGTTGCTGAGAAAATAATAGAAAATATAATGTGAATTCTCACTTCATTATATTTCAGAATTTTATTTTTTATTTTTTCAGCAATCAAGCGCATTCTCACTTCATTAATCCTTGAATGTTCTTACTTACTGACTTACCATTGTTCCCTTGCAGCCACAAATGGACAATACCCTTAATTTGCTTTCTGAGATAAATTTAATAACTGGAAATTAATGTATAATTGCAGAGTGTAGATTTTAAAGATAAGAACCGCGTTCGTGAGAGATTATTGTCAGCAACTTATGCTGATTTGCCTGCACCGGAATTGCAATGGGAGGAGATGGCACCGGCGCCAGTGCCACGTTTGGATGGCTCGGCTGTACAGATTAAAAACCTCCTTTATGTGTTCTCAGGATATGGTACCCTTGATTATGTAAGAATCTTTGTTCGCTCTCTCAGTCACTTGCATTTCTTCTGATATGTTCCATGATAGATAATGAAAATGAAAAGTTATCGAAGCATTTAACAAATTGAATTAACTTACCAATATGAGTTGTTAACTTCTTGGTTAATAAGTACAAGCATGTTATGTGACTTATAGGTGCACTCCCATGTTGATGTTTACAATTTCACTGATAATTCTTGGGGTGTAAGATTTGATGTGCCAAAAGAAATGGCGCATTCCCATCTAGGGATGGCCACAGATGGGAGGTACATATATGTGGTCTCAGGACAATATGGTCCCCAATGCAGAGGTCCTATAGCTCGCACGTTTGTGCTGGATACCGAGACAATAACATGGCAGAGCATGCCTCAGTTACCGGCCCCCAGGTACGTGCCATGATTAAGGTGTATGTGAATAATGAATTTTTCAATGGGGAACACCTCACTTTACCATAATTCTATTCATAAATTTTTCTTAGAATGCATCTACCTCTACGCATAACAATATTTTCTTTTGTAAGTTGCATGTTTCTCTTTTGGGTGGGCGGATGAAAGACTTAATTTAGCAATGACAACGAAAAAGTTATGTGCATCTTTTCTCATAAATATTGATGATCTATCCTGGACTAGTTTATCAATACATCATTACGATTCCTCGAGTAGCCACTGCTATGACCGGAGAAGCTGTCCCTGGAGTCTTGGGACAGGCTTCCTAATGCCCTAGCATATGTTTTTCTAACAGTATCAGCAGCAACAAGTGCAAATGACTTTATCTCAACTGAATTCTAAATGCTCTAGCACATCTAGAACTAGAAGGAATACTAACAATAGCCCGAGGGATCAGAATTTGCACCAAAAAGAACTTAGCAGACTAACGAACGTGAGTCACGTGATTGTTAATCTAAAAAAATTTCTGTATCAAGGCTTAAGACTAGCAATCAAAATTCACTAAGAGAAACATGATGCTGCAAAAACTTTTATGAATTAAGCCTAACACCTTAAATTTAAGGTATACATGGGAATTCTCAGGTATGCTCCTGCAACTCAACTTTGGAGAGGCAGACTCCATGTTATGGGCGGAAGCAAGGAGAATCGCCATACACCTGGACTAGAGCACTGGAGTCTTGCAGTAAAGAACGGGAAAGCATTAGAAGAAAAATGGCGGACTGAATTACCCATTCCCCGTGGTGGACCACACAGGTTTGCAGGCTGCCTTCTTTCACATATAGTTGATAGCTTTGTGTGCATTCAGTTCCCAAACAAAAAGTGGGAGAGAAAGAGAGAGAAGTGGAGGGTTATGCAAAATGGAAAAAGTAGTTGGTAGGAGAAGACATTACTGTTGGTATTTTCTAGATATTAATCAAGTGTAAATGAATATGCTAAGACTTAGAAAACCACAATGTAAGAAAATGATTGTAAATTTTCTTTAGTCTAATCATTAAATTTATACCTAAAGCTTTTGAATGACCTAGATTGTTTAGCTTCAACAAGAAATTTCACTTAATTTTGGATGTATCCTTTCACTTTTATCTTTGTTCTTTTGATTTCAGCTTGAAAAATTACTTAAACCAGGTAGTTTACTCTAGAAAATAACTTTTATTATGATGGTTGCCTATGGAATTATTGGAACATGACTCGTTAAGAGGATGCATTGTTTGATTTCTGTTAGTTTTTCAAGTCAATATTGGTTGCACACTTTACTCTTGTTACTTCACCAATTGACAAAGCGTGTCACTTATTAGTCAATCCGCATCTCCTAACAAGACGGACAAGTAATAATGTAGTGTAAAGTTTCCTGTCATTTCACAGCTCATGAACGTATCGGTTAAGAAGTATTAATGTAATGAACAAAGAGTAACCTGTTGGTACTGGCCATATGTGGATATGGAATCCTACTTATTTTGCTTTATTCAATAATCCAAATAAATTCTGTTTAAAACTAACTGTCATAATCAAACACAATTCACTATACGTGATTAACAAATTTTTCAGCAACTTAAAGAATGACTGCACCACAAAGTCTTCTTGCTGACTTCTTTAACTACATTCTTGCCATCTTCACTGTTCTCCACCTTATTTATTGGCAGTTTTAAAGTTAGCATTAAGGCCCTGCACAATATTGGTGTTGTGATGATTCTTTTAGGTCAATGTAGAAATTTTCACGACCTTTTGAGGTATTGTAAATAGTTTAGTAAGGAGGACTCCAACAACCTTAGCTCTTACAAGGGAATAGATAAAAAAAAAAAAAAAAAAAAAAAAAAAAAGAGAAACTTCCACTTCTATAATTCAATAAAGACTGCATAAGTCTTCTATTGTCACATAGTTGCATCATCCTCTGTCAATAGTTATTCTTGTGGTCTCAGGATTAAAAATATATATATATTTTCACTTATATGAACTCTAATCTTATTTTCCAACCTATTAGATGAATACTGTCTTCTATTTCTTCTAATTTTGGGTCATTGTTCTAACAGGGCTTGTGTAGTGGTTGATGATCGGCTTTATGTTATTGGAGGTCAAGAGGGCGATTTCATGGCCAAACCTGGGTCACCTATCTTCAAGTGCTCACGTAGGCATGAGGTAGGTGAACTTAAATACCATTTTCAAAGCAGGCAATTGTTCTTAGATTGGGTTGTAGCAGGCTTTGATGATCATAATGTATGCATGCCAAAAGCTCAAGGCTTGTTTGAATGTCCCCCATTCGCTTATTACCTACCACTTATAATGTAAAAGTCCATCATGTTGAATGGAACTATTTAAGAAGATCAAAGACTTCAACATACTTCTCGTTACATGATAATTTTTTTTTGGGTTTCATTAAAATGAATGAAAATAATAATAATAATAATAATCAAGATTTCTAATGTTATTTTCAAGATGTCTATCATTGCCATTATTTGAGGGCATTTTCAGAATATGACCTCAAGTTCTTTGTTCCAGGTAGTTTATGGTGACGTATATATGCTGGACGACGAGATGAAGTGGAAAGTTTTACCTCCCGTGCCAAAGCCCAACTCCCATATAGAATGTTCTTGGGTTATCGTTAACAATTCCATTATTATTGTGGGAGGTACAACAGAAAAGCACCCAGAAACAAAAAGGATGATCCTGGTCGGGGAGGTGTTCCAATTTCATCTAGACTCATTGGTATGGGCCTCTTCCTATCATCAAAGAAGCGAAGTAATGCATCATCGTGTAGATTAAACTACCAAAACCTTTATCCACACTTTAGGGGTAAAAATACATGAAACATCTTTTGCCACACAGGACTACCTACATCATCTAATTATTATTTTTTAAATCCATTCATGTAGATCCTGTGCTTTTAATGCCTTATATTTCGATCAAGTTGCACCTCATCACTTGTGGAGTTTGTCTGCGTGTGCGTATTCATTGTGAAAATCACAAAATGTCTGGACCAATTTTCTCTGGTCCTGTACCATATCAGTGCCATCTCTCTAGCCTTCATGTCGTCATGAGTTACTCAACAAGTAAATAATTTACTTGCATTGTGATAGTCTCTTCAATTTCATGCATATCCACCATATCCTTGAACAAGCTAGATTCTTGGACTTGTAATTGTGGTAAGGGTGCTTTAAACATGAGCACAGAATAGCTATTGTTGGTCGAACTTAGTTATCCAATTATCATTGTTCTTAATGATATATTACTGATGGTCACTACTCTGGTAATGTCTGATGTAAGGGTTTTTTTTTAACCTCCTACAGAAATGGTCAGTGATTGGAAAGCTTCCCTACCGTGTGAAAACCACATTAGCTGGCTTCTGGAATGGATGGTTATATTTCACCTCTGGACAACGGGACAGAGGGCCAGATAATCCGACACCAAGGAAAGTCATTGCAGATATGTGGAGAACGAGATTGAGATTGGCATAGAAGAGTTTTCTTCTTTTTTCTTTTCTTATCATTTACAAACCCATTGTAAACTTTTCAAAGCTGTTGCACTTTTGTTTCTTTTCCCTTTAGGGTCAGGTTATTTTATTACGTTAATTAAAAATTTTCAATAACTCGAGTTACATGCAGAATTGTTTCACATATCATTATTATTGAACATGATCATTCAGTGAACAAAGACCGGCTTATTTTTCACCTTTCTCAAGCTCTCATTCTGAGCTAGCTACCCTATGGTTTCTGCTTATTATAGAGCACCATCAAGAGAGTATTTTGTCAACCAAATTATATTACACTGGCCTCTAAGTTATATCAGTTAGAAGCTATATCAGATCTCATCATATCGTCCAAACCAGTCTCTCTCAGCCAGGACACCAACCAGTTTTCAAGCCATCCTTTGCTTTAGCAATCCCTCAGGAGCCCTCTGCCCAAATTCTCCTATAGCTCGCAAAGAGATTTTCTTCATATGCGGATGAGAATTGCCATCCAAATAATTTTAGTGATACCTTGAAGTTAGGGGTCCTTGTGAGAGGGTGCAATATAGAACAATGCCGATGAATATCGGGTGCTTCCAATTCCAGTACATGTCCAAATAGCAATATTACCGTATTAATTTAATTGAAGTTGAAATTTAGGATTTGCTAACCTCCGCATTCTAACCTGGTCAACTGTATGGTAGGTAGATAATCTGCTTCCAATTTGCACCAATAATTTCTAATACAAGTTGTGCATAGAAAAGCCATGTCTTCGCCGCCAGGAGTGAGGAGTCTGAATTATGCAATAGGCTCTATTAACTTTAATCAGCTGAGTTCAAGTTTAGTAACATAAGTACTCTTTCACCACAGAATCTAAAAGGTGATATAAACAGGATTCAACTAACATTGATCATCCTAATCAGCATTTACAAAGAAAAGGCCAGTGTTACACGAATGGCCAGTATGATTTAAACACCCACACTGTAAGCAAAAGTCCTTTTCCCCTTTTTCTTGGTTTGTCTGTTTCTTTTTCTTTTCTTTTTTATTTTTTTTGAAAACAAGGAGTGATAATCACATTGATCCACAAAATAGCCAAAGAGGAAATGAAATAGAAAATAAAACTGGGAAAGGGGGTGATCTCTGAGGAGGTACAGTACGTACGTACGCAACGAGTTCCACAGCTTCAACTCACTAACCTGCTGCAGCAAGCACACTCACCGTCTTTCCAGCCTACAAAGCTAGTAACCGATTTAATTTGACTTCCTTCATTACTGTAAGAAGCCTTCAGATCTACCTGTAAAAAAGATGATAGGATAAAACATAACATAGACAATTACATTTTCCATCCAGGCTAAAAAAGCAACAAACAAAGGGATCATGCTTTCAAACGTGCATGCACCAGGGGACCCAAAAATAAAAAAATAAAATAAGAGGAGCACTTCAATTGACATGGAGCACATTGATATATAAAAAGGTCATGTAAATGTCAGCTACAGACTTCTCATTCACAAACCAAAAATAAATAAATAAATAAATGCTTTCTCAGCCTATTCTTACAGTTTGCTAAGTTGGTTTTGAGTTTTAACCCGCATTCAATTGATATAAAACTCAATGCATAGCCTATCATGTTGAGCAACTGAACATCCAAACATCAGATGTTTCTAAAATTTTGTGTAGTCTGTATTACCATATTTAAAAGGCTAGAACAGTAATAGAAACCAAAGTGCCAGAAAAAATATATGGCATTATTTCATCAACCTCCCAAATATGCAAACATTGAAATGCACCTAAAACATATCTGGTTCAACAATTTGATCACATAGGTGATGGGACTTATATTTACATCCCCAAGATCACCACGCTTCATTCTATGTTACATGCATATGAAATGAGAATAAATATCGAAGAGTTTTCCCATGTACGTTTGTACAAGATTGTTCTTGCACTTGCAAGAATTATCATCTGCCTACTAATAATAACCACTTTTTGCGAAGACACAATGTCCACCCTTTTAGTAATGAGACCCCATTTCAAAATCTTACTGGCCCTAATCCAACACATACACACGCACAAAATTCTATGGAATAATTTCATTTTCATGGGACCTCCAAACACACCATATAAGAATTTAACATGTTCCCCCAACTTCCATCAATACTACAAAAGAAAAAGGCTTTTAATTATTACTTTGGGTGTTACAGATGGTCTTGAATTGTGTAAAACCCAATGGGTACAAAAAACCATGTGTCACTTACAATATTGGCTTGAATATTAACTTTTCATCTAGTAGAGTTGTGAGACTGTAATGCTTGAGAATGTTGGTTGACTAACCTTGTCTAGGATTGTTCAATTTGAACTGATATAGCCAGGTACAAAGAGGTCTTGAAGTTTTGGATAATCACAAAGGGATCAGTTCCTGAGAGAGAGGAAAAAAAAAAAAAAAAAAAATTAGATGATGAGCAAGTATAAAAGCTATGTATCTGAACACGTGCATATATGCGCGTGCCCACATGCACTCACAAGCACATGGAGAGAGAGAGACCTTTCATTTCAATATAGGAACGTAAGGAGCAGGACATGGAGATATGGTGTCATCAGGTAACCGGTTTATCAAATCAACTGTAGCCTGCAAGCATGCATTTAGCATTTTCTTTTCCAACCTGACAAGCTGTGTAGCAACTCGTCTCTTTGGATCTAAACTACAATCTGCCAACTGGAATAATCATAAGCATATCATTCAAAGCTCAAGAAGCAATTGATAAGATCTAATATCCATAAACACAATGAAAGCCAAAATTACCAAAGACTCATCTTCACTCAGTGTAGTCGGGTAACCAGCTAGCCTCATTTTGAAATAATCAGCAAGCTGATCTAAAACTGCTCGTTCCATACAAGGGCTCACCTACAGCATAAAAGAAATGTGATTTAGCTATTCGAAATACCCATAGTCCATTTTTACCAAAGTAGTTCCAAGAAGGGAGAAGAAGTACCAATTGCAGTTTGTTTGTAGATCATATATTGTTACCCGTTTACAAATATGACTTGTCAGAAAAAAGGGAAAATGAATAAATAAATAAAAGGAAAAGAGAGAGAAAACAAAAGGAGAACAACCAAGAACTATTTGTATCTTTAAACAAGGCTACTAAAATATAAGCAAGAAAGCACTACAGTGCTTGGTAGACCACATATTCTAGAAAAGCAAAAATTCCTCTATACAGCAAGGTCATTCTTAACTTCAATCGTGGGTGTTATTTAAGTTAGTGTGAACTTGGGATCAATTTGGGACAATATCCAGGTTCAAAAATTAAACCAGAAGAACAAAGATTTACACTTGAACAAAGCTCCAACTTACCTGCACTGTGGAACATAAATGAACACATACGAAGTTAAGAAGTATTGAGGAAGCTTAAAATCAGCATAAAGCAATAAATCAACAACAATTAAGCTAATTTATACCTGCTAAAAAATTATAATGCTCAACAGATATCAACTGGCACATAAACCAGGTAAAATATGTGGCGCTCCGACATATTGAAATTATTGCATTAAAGCTCCTTGGTACAGGCTTATCGAAAAAAGAAAGAAAAGAAGTTTCTCAGTTAAGTCGAGATCTAGTTTTACAAATTTACATAGTTAAGAGAGCGAGAGAGGAGATGGTAGATGTAATGTTTGTGATATATATGTATATATATTTAATGTTAAAAGTAATTATTTTAATTAGTGGGGCCTGCTGATATTTTAAGCCATTACATGACTAATGGGCCATTGCAGACCCATTTTTTTGCATTCTGTTTCTTCTCTCTACAGATTCTCTCTCTCGGCATTCTTCTTTTTTTTTTTCTTTTTTTTTTTTTTTTCTTCTTCACATTTTAAGCTTGATCTAGCTCTATCCCTTTGAAATTTGGTAGAACCTTGTGAAGCAAAGTTGGAGAGCTCGTCGAGGTCGTCAATTTGATAGGAGCCAAGCACCATTTAGCCAAGCCTAGGGATTTCGAATCTAGGGCTTAAATTGGGGCTTTTTCTCTCATTTGAGGTAGGGGTGCTCTAATCCACTATTTCTTGGATTTCATGTGGATTTTCCCCTTTAATTTGACTTTAAGCATGCTTAATTTTAATTTTTTTGTGTGATTATGTTTGTTAGGGTTATTTATATTGATGGTGATAAATGTGTGTTATGTGTTAATTGGACTTAATAGAATGATGATTTTTAACTTGTAAAGAAGCATGCTTAATGTTGGTTTATTTTCATGATTTCAATTTTTATGAAAATTTATGTTATGATTATGGAAATAAATTTGTGAATTGTATATTTAAATTGCTAGCAAAATGTGGGATGAGAATATGAGTTGTGTATTTATAGTAATTTATTAATTTATTTGAAAAAGTATGTGGGAACTTTATGGTTGAATTGATAAAATCAAGCATGAAGCAGTCATGCATCCATTGGGGAAGAAATAGGGGGAAAAATATTTTAAAATAAATGAATTTGTTCTTGGAAAAAATAATTTTTTTTAAAGGAGTTTTGCGAAAACCGGACACCTAGGAGGCGCCTAGCGGTCCGTGTTGTTAGTGTAGTCTAGAAGGGAGTATGATTGAGCTAACTAGGCCGGGTGCGACGCTTTGGAGGTGCCTTGTGGTCGTGGATAGTTAGTCAATCCTCCATTCGTGATGCCTTGGAGGTGCCTTGGGTTGGATTACATTAACGGTTTGGAAGTTGAAATGGAAATGTTTCGAAAAATGGAGAGTGACATTTGCATAACATTGCACTTCATGACATTGTGGTAAACTTGTGATTGGTTGATATTTGTTACATACTTGTTATTGTGTTTGAGAATGTGCATTTTTCTATGGCATGATCCCGTTCACTTTTTATCTATTCATTGTATGGATTCACGGGAATATAAGAAGTGTATCTTAGACACTTCCTACTGAGTTTATGCTCATCCCATTATTTTTAACATTTTTCAGGACACAGAAAAGAGGTAGCGGATGACGATCCACCACAATTTTAGACGAGTTTGGAGATCTATTTTATTTTGCTATCTTTTATATTAGAATTATAATATTTTGTAAATGTAATATTAACTATCTTGTGAAACTTTAGTTTAATTAGTATAATGTTGTAAGCTATGGATTATTAAATTTTCGTTACATTTTATGGACTGTAATTTAATGTAACTAAGGTGTATTCCTTGTTTGGATGAGATGGAGAAAGGGGACATCTCATATGTATGTAACCATCTTGGGAATGTGATATAATATTTGTATTGTGCGTTGGGACAGGATAGATTAGTTTTAAGGCCCAGTGAGGCCATTGCATTTTTTTTTATGTATTTCAACAGGTTGTAGAGGGACTTTTTCTGCGGAGGTCATGCCGAAATTTTATATATTTTATTATTATTATTTTGGTATCTTTTGGGTCGTTACAAATTTGGTATTAGAGCTATGGTTTGAATATCATTAGGACGACGGGTAGAGGCCTACCTAGGATTTCATCGGAAGTTGAGATATTTGTTTACTTACTTAATTGTTTACGTGATTGCATGCTTATATGCTTATGTGTTAAGGTATTTAATTATTTGAAAGGCATGCTTAATTGTTTAACTGCTTATATGATTACGTGCTAAGTGCTTAGTGTTGTTGTATATTATTAGCATGATCATGTTTATCATTAGTTGAGTATTTTAGGAGTATGGAAGGTGTTTATATGTTTCCATTCTTGTCAAGTCATTCATGTGAGGACTCAGTTTTCGGACATGTTTTAGTGCTATCGTTTTTGATCCGTTTCCTTTTTCTTATAGCGTCTTGCCACCACGAAGGGATCCCAGGAAAAGTTCTAGCTCCAATTCTGTGGAAAGGGATCAGGAGCAAGTTGAGGAAGATATCTTGTTGCATGATTTGGCCCCACCAAGAGGGGGACCGTTGATCCACCTTTTCAGATAAATGAGGAACAGTTACAGTTGCCCGTTCAGGCAGCTCTTTTCAAAGCATTTCGGCCGACAGGAGCATCATTGTCACAGGTTGTGCCACCACCACCACCAAAGGCAAATGAGTTAGATGATACTCTTTATCACATTGCAAAGTTTGTGAAATTGATGCCAACTCTATTTGAGGGCGGTCCAGATCCGCTTGTTGCGGATAGTTTTATAGATAGGATGGAGAAGCATATTAATGCCATGAATTTGGCAATGGACAAGTTGAAGATCACATTGGCGACTTACAATTTTGTTGGTGGTGCTAAGATATGGTGGAAGACCGTTTCACACACGCACGATTTGGATTCTATGACATATGATACTTTTAAGAAGTTGTACTATGAGAAGTACTTTCCGGCGCCAAGCGGAGGGAACTAAAGGAGGAGTTTGATGGGTTGAAGCAAGGGAACATGACAGTTACAGAGTATGAGAACAAGTTTACATCGCTTTTGAGGTTTGCACCGGGGATTGCTAATGATGAGGAAGGAAAGATAGAGAAATTTGTTGATGGCCTTGATCTTACCATCAGGCCAATTGTAGCTGCTTCAAAACCAACAGAGTATGCAAAACAGTGCGAAAAGCCTTAGTAGTTGAGGCTGAAAGCAGGGACAGTAAGGCTATCAGGGAGTCCTACAAGCACAATAGGGGTATGAGTGCTTTCTCCGAGGGACAATCAAGTAAGAAGCAGAAACATGAGTAGTCAGGGTTCAAGGGACAGCAGCAAGTCAGATCCGCACCCACAACTTTAGTGTTCATGGGGTCTTCTAGACCGAATGTTACTTTTTTTAGACGCGGACAGCCGGGGCATTACAAGTCCCAGTGCACTCAGGCTCAGGTAACTCAAGTGATTTATTTCAAGTGTGGGCAGTCAGGGCATCACATGTCTCAGTGTACTCAGATTCAGATAGCATCTGGTGGATGTTTCGAGTGTGGCCAACAGGGCCATAGGGTGAAAGATTGTCCACAGCGGGGTAGTGGTTTGGGCAAAGGTGGAGGTTCACAGCAGAGGCAGATGCAGTCTGCTACAGTTCAGTCAGGGTTTCGACCGCCACCACCACCTTAGCCGTCTCAGCCAGCCATGTTAGCCTAGAGTTCTCGACCGGGTAGGGTAGCTTCTTCGAGTGCACCCACTCAGCAGTTTGGTTATCAGGCAAGCGGTTCTCAAGGGCAAAGGACCCAAGGTCGCGTGTTTGCACTCACTCCAGCCGAGCCACCATCCAGTCCTTTAGTTGTCAGGGGTATGTTTCTTGTGTCCCATTCTTGGGCTTGTGTGTTGTTTGATTCTGGAGCTTCCTATTCATTCATTACTTCATCATTTGCACGGGCATTGGGTTGGAGGTCAGTCAGTTAGACAGACTGCTTTGTGTTGACACGCCTATTGGGGATTCAGTCACTCTTGGTAGAGTTTGTCGGGGTTGTTCCATTACCATTGCCAGACGGGTACTGGAGTTCGATCTCATCCTTCTCGAGATGACAGGATTTGACGTCATTCTTGGGATGGACTGGTTGTCGTCCTTCAGAGCTGTCATTGATTGTTTCAAAGGTAGAGTTTCAGTGTGTACCCCGGATGGGGATTGTTTCTGTTTTGTGGGAGATCGGTGTGATCCTCTCACTCATTCATTCTATGATGTTAGGGGTCGGGATCGGTAGACGTTCTTCTTGGCTAGTCTTTTCGCCGATGATAATGTTGAGTTTTGTGGGGTTGATTATCCAGTGGTTGTGCGTGACTTTCTAGATGTGTTTCCGGAGGACTTGACTGAGTTGCCTCCACACCGAGAGGTGGAATTTGCTATTGATTTGATGCCTGGTACCGGGCCAATCTCTATGGCACCGATTGAATTAGAAGAATTGAAGAAGCAACTTGATGATTTGAGAATGAAAGGCTTCATCCGACCGAGTGTGTCACAGAGACGGGATTCGGATTTAGATGCCATTCACACTTTGATCTCCAGTGGCGAAACCGTGAAGGATTGGACCTTACGTGCAGATGGAGGTCTATGGTTCAGGGGTTTGTTGGTTGTTCCCACAGTTTGTCGTGAGGACGTCTTACGGGAGTTTCACACTTCCCGCTTTGCAGTTCATCCAGGTGGTACCAAAATGTATCATAATCTGAGACGTCAGTATTAGTGGAATGGGATGAAGAAGGACGTTACACAGTTTGTGGCTAAGTGCCTTACCTGTCAGCAGGTGAAGGCCGAGCACCAGAGACAAGCTGGTTTATTACAGCCATTGCCAGTAGCGCAGTGGAAATGGGAGGAGATTGCAATGGATTTTGTGACACGTCTTCCTAGGTCACGGAGGGGAAATGAAGCCATATGGGTCATTATTGATAGATTGACCAAGACGGCTCACTTTTTGCCTATTAAGGCAACAGATGACGCAGAGTCACTTGATGTATTTTATGTGAAAGAGATTGTAAGATTGCACGGAGTTCCAGTGACTATTGTTTCAGATAAGGATGCCAAGTTCACTTCGAAGTTCTGGGAAGGACTTCAAGCAGCGTTTGGTTCATCGTTGCACCTTAGTATGACATTCCAATCGCAGACGGATGGCCAGTCGGAGCGTATCATCCAGATCTTGGAGGATATGCTTCAGGCCTGTGTACTTGACTTAGGTGGTAGTTAGGAGAATCACCTTCCACTTATTGAGTTTGCCTACAACAACAGTTATCAGACGAGTATTCAGATGGCTCCATTTGAGGCGTTGTATGGTAGACCTTGTAGGTCTCCTGTCTGTTGGACTGAGGTGGGTGAGACAGCCGCCTTAGGATCCGACATTGTACACGAGACTACCAAGAAGATTAAGCTGATCAGGCACAGATTACTTACAGCTCAGAGCCGACAGAAGAGTTATGCAGATAGGCGGAGACGACCGCTATCCTTTGAGGTGGGAGACCACGTTTTTCTTCGGGTTTCTCCACGGAAAGGGTTGATGAGCTTTAGGAAGAGTGGCAAGTTGTCGCTACGATTCATTGGACCTTTTGAGATCTTGTGTATGAGAGGTTGCCCACAGACTAGCATTGCCACCGCAGATGGACAGGGTCCATAATGTTTTCCATGTATTGATGTTACGGAAGTACGAGCCGGATCTGTCTCACATTTTGAGTTAGGTTGATGTGGACATTGATTGGGATGTTTCCTACAAGGAGGGACCAGTTCAGATCTTTGACACATAGCAGAAGGTGTTGAGGAAAAAGACGATACCGTTGGTAAAGATTCTTTGGAGGCATCATGGAGTTGAGGAGGCTACTTGGGAGCTCGAACAGGAGGTTCGCTCCAAGTATCCAGAGTTGTTTTCTCCCTCAGGTATGGCCTGATTTCGAGGACGAAATTTTTTAAAGTTGGGGACAATGTAATGTTTGTGATATATATGTATATATATTTAATGTTAAAAGAAATTATTTTAATTAGTGGGGCCCGCTGATATTTTAAGTCATTACATGACTAATGGGCCATTGCAGACCCATTTTTTTGCATTATGTTTCTTCTCTCTACAGATTCTCTCTCTCGGCATTCTTTTTTCTTTTCTTTCTTTCTCTTCACATTTTAAGCTTGATCTAGCTCTATTCCTTTGAAATTTGGTAGAACCTTGTGAAGCAAAGTGGGAGAGCTCGTCGAGGCCGTCAATTTGATAGGAGCCAAGCACCATTTAGCCAAGCCTAGGGATTTCGAAACTAGGGCTTAAATTGGGGCTTTTTCTCTCATTTGAGGTAGGGGTGCTCTAATCCACTATTTCTTAGATTTCTTGTGGATTTTCCCCTTTAATTTGACTTTAAACATGCTTAATTTTAATTTTTTTGTGTGAATATGTTTGTTAGGGTTATTTATATTGATGGTGATAAATGTGTGTTATGTGTTAATTGGGCTTATTAGAATGATGATTTTAAACTTGTAAAGAAGCATGCTTAATGTTGGTTTGTTTTCATGATTTCCATTGCTATGAAAATTTATGTTATGATTATGGGAATAAATTTGTGAATTGTTTATTTAAATTGCTAGCAAAATGTGGGATGAGAATATGAGTTGTGTATTTATAGTAATTTATTAAATTATTTGAAAAAGTATGTGGGAACTTTATGGTTAAATTGATGAAATGAAGCATGAAGCATTCATGCATCCATTGGGGAAGAAATAGGGAGAAAAATGTTTTAAAATAAATGAATTTGTCCTTGAGAAAAATATTTTTTTTTAAAGGAGTTTGCAAAAACCGGACGCCTAAGAGGCGCCTAGCGGTCCGTGTTGTTAGTGTAGTCTAGAAGTGAGTATGGTTGAGCTAACTAGGCCGGATGCGACGCCTTGGAGGTGCTTTGTGGCCGTGGATAGTTAGTCAACCCTCCATTCGTGATGCCTTGGAGGTGCCTTGTGGTCGTGGATAGTTAGTCAACCCTCCATTCGTAATGCCTTGGAGATGCATTGGGTCGGATTACACTAACGGTTTGGAAGTTGAAACAGAAATGTTTCGGAAAATGGGGAGTAACATTTGCATAACATTGCACTTCATGACATTGTGGTAAACTTGTGATTGGTTGATATTTGTTACATACTTGTTATTGTGTTTGAGAATGTGCATTTTCCTATAGCATGATTCCGTTCACTTTTTATCTATTCATTGTATGGATTCACGGGGATATAAGAAGTGTGTCTTAGACACTTCCTATTGAGCTTATGCTCACCCCTTTATTTTTAACATTTTTCAGGACACTGAAAAGAGGTGGCGGATGACAATCCACCACAATTTTAGACAAGTTTGGAGATCTATTTTATTTTGCTATCTTTTGTATTAGAATTCTAATATTTTGTAACTGTAATATTAACTATCTTGTGAAACTTTAGTTTAATTAGTATAATGTTGTAAGTTATGGACTATTAAATTTTAGCTACATTTTATGGACTGTAACTTGATGTACCTAAGGTGTACTCCTTGTTTGGATGAGATGGAAGAAGGGGACATTTCATATGTATGTAACCATCTTGGGAATGTGATATAATATTTGTAATGTGCGTTGGAAAATGATAGATTAATTTTAAGGCCCAGTGAGGCCATTGCATTTTTTTATGTATTTCAACAGGTTATAGAGTGACTTTTTCTGCGGAGGTCATGCCGAAATTTTATATATTTTATTATTATTATTTTGGTATCTTTTGGGTCGTTACAGTAGAAGGATTTAGAAGTGTATGACTAACCCTGTTGCCCCACCCACAACAAAAAAAATAAAAAGAGGAAGATTTTTTTTTATGTGCTATCCCCCACACAAATTTTACTTGCAATGGATCAAATTCAGAACCTAACAGAGAACTCAAACAAGATGAACCTACCGGACATATTGGACCTTGTGAAGATATCACTGACTGCATCTCTGAAGGATCTGAAACGTATCCTAATCGCAAATAAGGAAGCATCTCTGAAACAGCTTCTCTTTCCTTCCCCACATACACCTGAAGTAGGGTACACTGAATACCTTTTGGAGAACAACCACCAAAAAAAAAAAAAACAATGTTGCAACAAGGGTCTGGGTTCATACATGAAAAACTTGTACTGATAGTTTTCCATTTCTTTGAGCAACCATTCTCTTGTCCTGATATTGTGGATCCTCGGTATTCAATGCTGCCTGAACAAGTTTTAAAATAAAAATGATAAAAATAAAAAATAAAAAGAAGAAGAAGAAGAAGAAGAAGAAGAAGGGAACAAAGCCGTAAAATGTATTAAATCACAAAAACGATCACTTTGAACCAATAAGACTGCCGATAGATGAGAGTGGAAATAAATGTCACCTCGATCACTATGCGGTCATAAGAATTATCTTCATCAACAAAACCGTAGTTTAAAAGCAATCTTGAATTAGGTTGAGGCCCACACCTACAATATGTATCAACAACCAGATTAAAATTTGGTATCTAAGAATATTATCACTACTAATATAAATAAACAGAAGATATATATGCCAACAATGACAACAGGAGCTGCATTGCCTAAGGAAAGCAACTTATAATTGTTGCAATTTAGACTGTTTTAAGGAAAATATATAATATACCAGACAACAATAGATTCCCCAGCCTTGCATGGGCGATCAATAGCTAATTGAACAGCACCATCAACTGCAGTTAACATCGCCTTGCAGTTGCTTCTATAGGCTAACAATGGGGGTCCAAGTGGAACCAGTGCAAATCTGCGCGCCAAACTGACTTTCTGAATTGAAGGAATAAATAATCAATAAGGACATTCTTAAAGAAAATAAAACAAGAGAAAAAGAGTAAACAAACACCTGATGCATTTTCTTGAAAAAATAAAAAGAAAAGCATTGTTAGTTCTTAAAAACAGAAAAGTGAAGGATTTTTGAAATATAAGCTGGTTCACAGTTCAGTTCGTCTTGATAATGTACTGAGACTCGATCATACTTTCTCTATTTAATGGGAGGCAACACATAAGATGTATTAAGCAAGCATCTGCAATAACAGCAGACATGACTTTTGAGACTAATGCAGGAGTAACACTTAAATCATATGTAAAATAAAAGCCTTCTTGTCCATGTGGGAACAGCAATCATATCCCCTAAGAACTAAATGTACCATGCTTAGCAGTCACTGGTATGTGTTAAGTGTAAGCTGCAACTTCTATGACAACTTCTGCAAGATTTCAGCATTCAAAATGACAAAAGTATATGAAGCATAGCTGCATAGTACATATATGCATGTGTGAGAGTGGGGTATTGTTTTTAATCAAGTTCATAATTTAATATATAGAGACTAGAGAGCTATGGGAAAGTTTTGATTCCCCGCGACACAACACTTAGTGCATCAGAGTTGCACACATTACAGGCTTTGACAGGATCAATGAAGCTTAACCAAAAAAATGCTTCCGTAATAATACACATAAGAAATGCCAAAATGGATGAAAGGCCTATATCACTGAAAGGTTATTCATTTACATTTTTACAGTTGCGGCAAGGAAAAGTATTCTCAACTACAAGGAAAAATTTACCTGCAAATGCACAACGCAAGATTGAACTGCAACAAAAGCTTGTTTAAAAATCTCAAAACTAAAGGCCTCCGTCGGTATATCATATGGGTATTGCTGCAAAATGCAAATAACTTATCACAATGATGACATATTATGATTCACAATTCTAAAGAGCCAACAAAAATAAAAAAAAAATTTGAATATAAAATGCCAATAGATTAGAGTTCATCCAATAAAGAGCTTAAATTAAATGAAAAGCTTGTATTAAATAACAGCTAAAACATAAAAGAAATTTACCTGAAACAGAGACCCAGCCATAAACCAAACAGTGTCAAGCTCATTATACTCTCTCTTGATCCCTTCAGCCCTCCCTATAACTTCAGCCTAATTTATTACCATAGTCATACTAATAAGCATTTTTTGTCAACTTAAAATTTGTAACAATGCAATGCATATATGCAGAGTACTAGAATTCGATTTACAACAGCTAAGAGATGAGGAGCATTACTTACCTTTGTAGGACTGCCAGTCAGGTAACCCAATTCGTTTTCCGACCATAGTAGCGGCGATTCTACAGCTAGCTGGCCCCTTCCTCTCTGACGATCGAGCTCCCTAATATACGGGTACCAGAAAGACTTTTTTCCTTGTTTCTTCTCGTACATCAGATACAACGCCAAGCAGGCCAATTCTGACAACTTATTCGTGGTTAAGAGCTCCGCTGCATAAAAATCCAGAAGATAAAACATGTTAAAATCAGCCATTTTGAAAAATAGAAGGAGCCCACTCCCCCCTCAAAAAAAAAAATAAAAATAAAAATAAAAATATATATATATCTAAAAAAATAAAGGATGTCATCATCACAGGTACCCTCATGAAACCTTATCAAAGCTAGCAAGAAGAAACACACAATTCCATAGACCTTTAAACTTTTGTCTTTTAGCTTTTACTAACTGAAAGTGCACAAACTACATGTACTCCCCTGCCCCCTCTTCTTCCTTCCTCCCTTCTCGATCGGCAATTTAGCATGTTGTGAGCATACTCTTCACTGGTCTTGCTCTCTTAAGATTCATAACACAAGTCAAAAAAGATGCCACCCTTCTTTTATGAAAAAAAAAAAAAGGAATTTCGTTCATCTAAAACAAGAGAATGCTTTTGAAAGGAGCAACTGCCCATAGAATGGCTCATAAAACAAAGTTGAGATAGAGAGAGTCATTGTCCCAATGCATATAAAAAAGCCAATAAAGAAGTAAATTAGGAGCAAAGGGAGTCCAAGAACTCTGAAAAGGGGTGACTATTGCTAAGCTTTTTTACAGATCCGAGAGAAGGAAAACTGGCACAGTATTTTTCATATTGTAAGCAGAATCTCAATAGTTCCAAAAAAAATCTTAATTATAACCAGAAACTGGATACTTTCAAAACATTTCTAATTATCTCCTTCAAAATGCACAGGGATAAAACATGGAGGAGTCCCTTCCTGACCCCCTCTCCTTCTTCTACTTTTTTTTTTTCCTTATTTGTTTGTCTTCTATTATCTTTTTCTATGTATTTTTGGTATCTTTCCACCAAAATTATCTCCATTGGTTCATCCTAAAACCAAATTAAAAGCGGATGTAGGCATCAGCCAACGAGACCCAAGAAGAGGAGACATAAAGGCCCACAGACAGTCTGGTTGTGCGCTCATTCGTAAAGTAATCATTGGAGTTCAAATTGCAGCTGAAGACTAAATTCAAGGATGATATTGTCAATTCTAACAACAGTCAGTTAATAGTGTTAAATATGTTAATGCACTTAAACACATATATTAAATATGTTAATGCACTTAAACACATATATTAAATATGTTAATGCACTTAAACACATATATTACGAAGCTTTGTTTCTTATATTCATAAGTACACATGCCATCTGAGTATCTGCTCAATCTCCATCTGACGAGGAATGAAGTCCTCTGGATCAACCCTTTCTTCAAGAGGAAGGATTTCCCCATTGACTTATGCATTAACATATTTAACACTATTAACTGAGCAACGCCCCCCCCTTTCAACACGAAACTCATTCAGTTTTAAAAGCATGCCAATAAGTGAACAAAGGAAGCAAGAATCTGTAAAGCTATCACTGCACCTTACCAATGGTCTCGTTCCCCAACACTCTCTCAAGTGTTACCACCAAGGAATTTGGAACAGAAAACGCAATATCGCCTGCCTACAGAATAATTAAGATAGAAATCAAATCAGCCATAAATGTGTATGACAGAAGAAAGAATCAAGAAAAAAAAAAAAAAAAAAAAAAAAACAAAATAGAATCAGCCAAAGAATCAAAACCTGAAGATCCTCGCTAGCAGCAACGTAATGTATAGGCCGATGATTGGCATCATATGAAGGTCTTTCCTTGAGAACAACCTTGCAAGGAGGTAGTCCATTCTTGTGCATCCATGATTTCAAGTCCTCTAACTCATCTTCTTTCTTGCTCACAACCTCAAGAGACTTCCCGTCGTCTTTGCGCGATCCAACCAAGGTATCAGAACTCGAAGCCGTACACACGTTTCTACGCCGAATTGAATTACAGTTTCTTGAATTTTTGAGGACGGAAATCGAAATCCGAGATAGAACGGAGAGAGGACGATGGGTCGAGGAACGAATTGGAGATGGAATGCATTTGCCCTGGGACAGATAGGCGACATCCATGGTTAGTGAATTCTTTTAAAGATTTACAGAGGAAGTGGAGGATTTAGGGTTAGGGTTGGGGTTTTGAGGATTGATGAAAAATGGCGAATGTAGCGTAATTGAAAGTAACAGGGCGTTGTTGTGGTTAGAGAAGGGAATGAGTGTGGCTGTGTGTTATTAGAAGATATTTTTCTCGTGATTTCATTTTGGAGTGATACATACAGAGTGGATAAGAGAAAAGGGCGTGGGCGTGGGCGTGTTTTTTATATGGAACGACTATGACGGTGAAATGGGCGTTAGCTTGTGAAAGGGCCAATTGGAGGGAAACAAAAATCTAGAGTATGGAAACAGAAAGACACGAGTGTGCTAACTGAAAAGAACAAAAAAAAAAAAAAACAGTTAGAAAATTAGTTAAAAGTAGTAATAATAATAATAAAAATAAAAATAAAAATAAAAAACCTCTCATCTCATTATTCAACATAGGCAATGAGACACTTGAGATTTAGAGTGAGGGACATTTTAAGACCTGGCCCCGTACAACACCGCCACTTAATTGTTAAAGTAATTATTATTAAAGTTAATGCTATATACGTAGGTCTCAAAACATATTCTCTCATTGTCTCACAGTCCACTAGTGTAACGATGAATTAAAATATTTACAATTATATCTAATACATGACATTTTGATTAATTTATTTATTTAAACAATTTTTTGGTTAGTGAAATTAAACAATATATAACATTTATAATATAGTATTATATTTATATTATATCGGATTTAATTTACCTTAATCAATAAGCCACTTTATTGATCTAACATGTGAGAAATTATTGGATATAAAGAGTACCCATTTCTGATAATATAACACCTTCATCCAATAATATCCAAAACTTTTTCCTATTTGAGCTATAATATTACAATTCAAATGCTCAATTACTAAAACCCCATTCAAATCAAAATTTAGTCAACTAATAGGAATCCATAACCCGTGGATGCGCCAGGGTTTAAGAAAAAATAATAAATAATAAAAAGCAAATTATAGTAACCAAAATCATTGCAAAATAATATGATAATCAATTAGTAGTATAAGAAAGATAAATAGTTGGTAAGTATAAAAATTAAAAAATTGTTCAATAATATTTTCATTGAATACAATTGTGAGTCTTTGCATGACAATTATACCCATAGATTTTATAAAATTTAAGCCAGGTGAAAAAAAAGGTTGCATACTATATAAGTGCAAAAAGAAGAATTTTAAGGAGGAAAAAAAATATAGGAAAGAAAAATGAGATAACTTTGATAAAAATAAAAAATAAAAATAAAAATAAAAAAATCTAATTGAGAGAAGGAAAAATTTGCTCTCTCTTTAAAGAAAATTAATGGAATTTAAAGAGTAAGAAAGAAGGGAAACAAAAAGTTCAGAGATAATTTTAAAAATTTTAAAATTAGGAAAGCATTATAGAATTTTCCTATATATATAGAAAACCAAATTTTTTTTTTTTTTTTACCTTAATTGGCTCCGCTATTATAACATATATATTATTATATTTTATATAAAAGAAGGTTAAAATTATCATTTAATATAAGAGATAAAGGGTGTTGTTCAACACAGGAACAAAATTTCACGGAAGCTAAAAGCAGATTGTGATTTGACAAAGATGAGCATAATTAACTCAAAAATAAAAATAAAATAAAATAATTAATTAATAAAAAAAATACAGTATAAACTACCAACATAAGGCAATGCAGGCGTATTATGCGTCCGGCTCACTTGAGGCAGTTCCGGTCTAGAAAGGCTGTAGAAAAGAAAACACTCCATCATCGACCAGCTTGGCAGCTACTCTCTCCCTCTCTCTCTCTCAAAGAGAGAACTGAAATGACCTCTCCTGAAAATAGTACTAACATCGACGCCGCATCTCTCCATTCAAAACTCTATGAATCTTCAACACAAATCCAATTAAAGCTCTATCCTTTCGAGACATAGATCTCTATCTGCAAAAATGGATATACTGTTCGCTCAGATCCAAGCGGACCTTCGCTCAAATGACGCCCTCCGCCAATCCAGCGCACTCCTCCAAGCCCTCCAGCAATCCGCCGCCGGCCGCGACATCTCCGTCATCGCCAAGACCGCCGTCGAAGAGATCGTCGCCTCCCCGGCCTCCGCTATATCCAAGAAGCTCGCATTCGATCTCATCCGCTCCACCCGCCTCACCGCTGACCTTTGGGAAACTGTCTGCACCGGCATCCGCACCGATTTCGACTTCCCCGATCCTGAAGTCACCGCTGCCGCCGTGTCCATCCTCGCTGCGATCCCCTCCTACCGCCTCGGCAAGCTCATTACCGACTGCAACAAAGAAATCTCCAACTGTTTTGAGTCTTTCAGTGTTAATTTGCGGTTTTCAATCACAGAAACTCTCGGTTGCATTCTTGCCAGGGACGATCTCGTGACGCTCTGTGAAAATAACATTAATTTGCTGGATAGGGTTTCGAATTGGTGGACTAGGATTGGGCAGAACATGCTGGACCAGTCCGATGCCGTGTCCAAAGTCGCGTTCGAGTCCGTTGGTAAGTTGTTTCAGGAGTTTGAATCGAAGAGAATGAGCAGATTGGCGGGTGATAAACTTGTGGACAGCGAGAACTCGGTTGCCATCAGATCAAATTGGGTTTCATCGATGGTGGATTTCGTTTGGAGCAAGCGAAATGCATTGATGGCGAGGTCGTTGGTTCTTCCAATTGAAAGTTTTAGGGCAACGGTTTATCCAACTGTATATGCTGTGAAGGCGGTGGCTTCAGGTGCCATCGAGGTTATTAGAAAGCTTTCCAAGTCTTCTAAAAGTTCCGACAGCAGCACATTAGACTCCGGGAATGCAGAGAAGTTTGTGGGAGTTTCGGATGTTGTTATACATCTGGCACCATTTTTGGCATCGTCATTGGAGCCAGCATTGATTTTTGAAGTGGCTATCAACATGTTGTACCTGGCTGATGTTCCTGGAGGGAAGCCTGAGTGGGCTTCTACGTCGATCATTGCCATTCTCACACTCTGGGACAGGCAGGAATTTTCTTCAGCCAGAGAAAGTATTGTCAGGGCTGTTGTTACAAATCTACACCTCCTTGATCTTAATATGCAGGTTGGGAGACCAGTTCTCTGCTTTTCACTTTGTGAGACCCAAAAATAGTGGATAAACTGCTTATTTTTCACTGCTGGAACGATTAATACTAGAACTGTATGCTTTACTGAAAATGTTGACTACTTTAGGCCTTATTCCTAAAAGAATTTTGTGATGGTTGATAATTCCCTCCACTCCAACAAAGTGCAAGAATTAGCTTCGTGTTAAAACCAAGTCTGTGTGTTTCTATTGTGTTTACACTGTAGTATAAGCTTCAAGGTACTTTCATAGCTTAAAAAGTGTAGAATTTACATCTCATTTCATGTCTAACAATGACTTCTGCAGAGGTTCCTCATTATTCTTTCACTTTAGGGATGTATTTCTTAAATTTCTGCTGTCTGGGCATTTTGAGGATGATGCACTTATCTGGTCCAATCATTTGTCTCATATATTTTGCATGTGATTAATAAATGATAAGTTTTTTGTTCTCTTGTTTGAGGGTTAAAATGGATGCGATGATTAATTTTTGGTTGCGTCTGCATCCTTCAAATGTGGTTGTTTCTACATTCTGAATTAGTCGTAATTCACCATTGTTTATTGCCACCCTATGTAGCTCAGAGGCGGTTTTTATTTCCATATCAGGCACCAATACTTATATTCAGGAATATATGTCTAATACTTCCTAAACATATGCCTGATTAAAATAACTTTTTAAAAATCTTTTTACACATAAACTGGTACTTTTTATTCTCAAGTATTTTGAGAACACGTCTTAAGGTGCAGAACTTCTTTATTAGCATTAAAGTATAATTGCTGACAACATAATAAGCATTTTAAATAGTTGGGCTATTTTTCAAAGAGGAAGAAGATAAAATGAGGGCAACTAATGTTGTCCTAGATTCATGTCCATGCAACAAATCCACAGTTTCACATGGAGGTTTAGTATTATAAGTTATGAATTTAGCATATTTTGATAAAATCATTTAAATAACTGCTTTTTCTTAAACCACTCAAGTGCCAAATTTTCTCTGTATCTTATACATATATGTGTATATACATTGTCATGTCATTGATATATCCATATCCTATCTTCTTGAAATTTGTTATATTGGCATGTTATATCGTGTCCATGTCCATGCTTGATGAATGCCATTTTAGGTTAATTAGCTTTGTAAGATAATTTATTATCATAAATGTTTTATCTGTAAATTAGTCAGCCTCCATAAATCTGCTTACTGATATTACATGTTTTGATTGCAGGTTTCGTTGTTTAAAAGGTTGCTTCTTATGGTGAGGAACTTGAGGGCGGAATCAGATCGCATGCATGCTTTGGCATGCATCTGCAGAACAGCTCTTTGTGTTGACCTTTTTGCAAAAGAAAGCGTTCGAAGAGGTCAAAAACCTCTTCCTGGGACTGATATTGCGTCACTTTTCGAGGATGCAAGGATAAAGGATGACCTCAACAGCATAACAAGTAAAAGTTTATTTAGAGAAGAATTGGTTGCTACATTGCTAGAGAGCTGCTTTCAGTTGTCTTTACCATTGCCTGAACAAAAAAATTCTGGTATGGAAAGTAGGGTTATTGGAGCATTGGCATATGGGACTGGTTATGGTGCATTAAATTGGACAGAGCCAGCTTTGGAAGTGGTGGAAGTCTGTCGGCCTTGTGTCAAATGGGATTGTGAGGGTCGAACATACGCGATCGATTGCTACTTGAAGTTGCTGGTTAGGCTTTGCCATATTTATGATACCAGGGGAGGTGTGAAACGAGTCAAAGACGGGGCCTCTCAGGATCAGATTTTAAATGAAACAAGGTTACAGAACTTGCAACATGAGCTTGTAAAAGATCTTCGTGAGGTTTGTAAGCTTTCAATAGTTAGATGCTGCACTTGCTAACAATCTAGCATGATCGTGATGTATTTAATGATCCCTAGGACTTTTTTATTTATGAAATTCAGTAATTTTGCATTTTTGTTGTGTTGGTAATTCCTTGTTATTTATTTATTTGTCCATTTGGCAGGTGAATACTCCTAGAATTTGTGCACGTCTTATTTGGGCTATTTCAGAACACATTGATTTAGAAGGTCTAGACCCCCTTCTTGCTGATGATCCTGAGGACCCGCTTAATATTATTATATCAAATATCCACAAAGTTCTATTCAATATAGACTTGTCGTCAACTTCAACAAATAGGCTTCAAGATGTTCAGGCAGTTCTTTTGTGTGCTCAGCGGTTGGGATCACGTCATGCTCGAGCAGGGCAGTTGCTGACCAAAGAGCTAGAAGAGTTTCGAAATGATGCATTGGCTGATTCGGTCAACAAACATCAGTGTCGTTTAATATTGCAAAGAATCAAGTATGTTGCGAGTCATCCAGAGAACAGGTTAACTTCTAATTCTAATTTTGTAAATCTTGATATGGAGGTGAGAAGGAACTCCTGATCTATTAATATGGGAATTTTTTACAAGAGAATGCTGATGGTTACTTAAAAACACCATGCGCATCATATCTGATGTCTATTTTAAATATTATTTAATATAAGTTGTATATTTGCACAAAAATGTGTGTTTTATAAGTTGAAAGAGAACTGTTCAACAGGAAAGGAACCCAAATTTTAAGGAGCTGTATCATTAAGGCGCGCGTGTATATATATATATATTTGAGCTGTACGTCTTGACTCATTTTTTTTTTTTTTTTTGATAACTCTGTCCTAGACTAGCTATAGGCTTGCACTTTGTATGAGCCTACCTAACCCATAACTCATAAGCTTCCATGAATTGAAACCATGGCTTGAGCTTGAGTATGGTGTTCCTTGGTTACCGAACAAGAGAGGCATATTTCCTGAAATTTAAAATCTCAGAGTTAAGCTTATTGGACGCTGTGTGAACTGAGAAGAGTTCACAATGACTTCTGCTGTCTAAAAATGGAAGCATTTTTCTTTCTTTTTTATCTTTGTTTTTTGCAAAATGTACTGTTTCTCGATGCTGTATGACTGTATGTTAGACCTCCTTTTCAGAGTTCTTTTTAATCTCCTCACTTTAGTGTGAGCACTGGGATCAATTTGGAGTCCAGTAGGTTGAAGTTGGGTTTGCAAGGAAGCAGTTTCTGCCTTCTCCTATAACGGTTAGGTACTTGGGCTACAAGTTTGTGCAGGTTTGGCCATTATAGAAACCAGTTGAATCCTATATTTCCGTGTTAGTGAAGCTTCCCAAGTCCAATGGAGACCTCAACCTAAGTTTAGGTTATAGCAAGCTAGATTTAGTTTGTTGATGGAATAGCTGATTTATTAATATTCTTTTACCAATCCTTTGAACTGCCTTTGTTACACCCCCTTTACGAAGTTTATTGTTCAATATAACTCAAAACTATATTAATCAGTACTGCAAGAATGGAAACCCACACCATGTTGTTAATAATGTGTAGAATTACAGCCTTTGTATTGATTATAGAACGTTTGTTTTTTTTTGTTTCTTTGTTTTTTTTTGGTTTTTATCACATTTAAATTTCTGTAAATTACAGAAATCTAATAACTGAAAGCCAGTGAAAGTTTAAATGATAGTTACAATAACGTACCATATGTAAAGTATGTTCTTCTATAGTGAGCTTAACATATTGGAAAGGGCCCCTCAATTGTTGGCGAATGCTACTTTCTATGGTGAGCACACGGTATTCTTAAGTCAAAAGCAAAAAGAATAGTTCACCTTGCGCTCACCATGTGCCTGAGTGTAATTTATGTTTTATTAAACTCTAGTGTATGCTAAGTTGGGTTTACACCCTTGGTTGAATTGGAACATCCCAAACCCAGTCATGCCAATGATGACGAATTGGGTTTGAGTCACACTCGTACCAGCCAAAATTGCCGCCTATTCCTGCAATGTTAGGCAGGGTGTGTTAAATGTCAACCCAAGCCCAATCCTAGCTATTATTTGACAATTACCTACTTCTCCCATGTATTTATAGACCGTGTTGTGTTTGATGTTCTACAAGTAATCTTTAAATCATAAATTTAATGGTCAACCCGAGCCCGATCCCAACTCTTCTTTGAGGTACTGAACCTAGACTCAGGTTAAGTTGTGTGATTTGGATTAGATTAGAAAATTACCTATCTTTCCCTTGTTTTGATGGACCATGTTGTGTTTGTTGTTCTACGAGTGATCTATAAGTCCTAAATTTAAACCTTCTCTATTCTGTAGAGTAGGACATCTTTAGTTTATGTCTATTGTCATTATATCGGTTAGCTGTTTAATTTATGACATGGTCTGGTCTTAGGAGATTTATTTGTGGTCAAACCTCTTTCCCTTATAGAGGATTGTTTGGTGCTAAAGCTGACTAGCAGCCATTGTTATTGTTTACTGTGGTTTCTGGACTTACTAGTTGAATCATTGGTAATCAAGTTGCATTTTAAACACAAATATTACATCTTGCTTCTCTTTCAGGTGGGCCGGTGTTGCTGAAGCCAGAGGAGATTACCCGTTTAGCCACCACAAACTAACTGTTCAGTTTTACGAAGCATCCGCAGCTCAGGACAGAAAGTTGGAAGGATTAGTTCACAAGGCGATTTTAGAACTTTGGAGGCCTGATCCTAGTGAATTAACTCTTTTGTTGACAAAAGGAATTGACTCTACTCTGCTTAAGGTTCCTCCAAGTGCATATACTTTGACCGGTAGTAGTGATCCTTGTTATGTTGAAGCATATCATTTGACAGACTCGAGCGATGGAAGGATCACTCTGCACTTAAAGGTTAGAGTTTTTCTCTTCTATTAGTTGTTTTAGATGCTATTGTAAGTCCTTGTGTTTATGCTAGCGATTTTATATGCAAGAAGTTGAAGATCTGCTAGCAAAAGCACGTTTGTCTTGATACTTATTAAAAATAAATAAAAAAATAATAGCACGTTTCTCTTGACGATCAATAGGTATCTTTACATCCTTCAGAATGAAAATGACTTCAAAATGCTCTTTCCTTGTACACCAAAAGCAAGTTATGGGGACATAGCCTTCTATGTAGAATGATTGCTTCTTTGAGGATTTGAACGAGAGTTAAAAGCAAAATACTTTCTAGAGAATGATACTATAGTAGTTTACTTAAAAGAAAAATGACAATCACAAAGACGTGATTATGTTTATGATTGAAGGATAATTGCATTCACTTCCTCTAAAGTCATGAAATTTGACAGCTATTTAATTGCTTTGAAAACCATATTTTAAGGTAATATCTATCCCCTCTTCATTTTTTCAGTCCGTGACGCTAAAAGTATAAGCTCAGATAATTCATTGTGCTACAGATAACCCTTTCGTCGTATTATTAGGAATCTTCAGGAACATATATTTGCCTTGGGCTACTTAAAATTCAAAATTGTGAATTAATTAAGATGTTGATATAACTTCCGCTAGGATTCTTCAAATTGATACGAAGAAACTACTGAATGGGTTAAAAGGAAAGGAAAGGAAGGAGGATAGAATAAAGAAAGATAGGAGGAGGAGAAAGAAGAATTGAAGTGCCATATCATATACTTTCGGGTATCGCAACAAGTATACTTTCAAAAAATTGTAATTTTTAAAACCCGTCATATGGGGCATTATTCAAAGAAAGATTGTTCATTTCTAAATCATCAAAGGTGTCTGACGACACATGAAGTATGATTTCCTAATGCTACTTTAATAGTAAAATAAGCGAGATTTATCATAACAAAAAAACAAAAAAATAGTAAAGTAAGCGAGATTGCTTTTTTTCCTACTATTTGGGGTTTGCACTACCCCAAAATTAGGTTAGTAAAAAATAATTTCATAGATATATGTTATTATATAAGCATAGGCTCATTCTATGTAAATACGTTATATATTTATGTTATTATATACACAATTGTTTATGAGTTTAGATAGGAGTATGTAATTTAAGTGTATATATATTATATATGTACATATATATGTACTCATATAAAGTTTTTTATATGATGTGTATGGGTGCCTAATTGCACACCATGCATGTATATATTTGTGATGTTTATATATGCATGTGTATTGTATGGGTCTTGATATTCACGTGCATCTTCAGAAAATGACTTGCTGAAAAATCTGAGTAATTTTTTAGTTTTGAAAGTTATTTTGATCTTCTTGAAAATTTTGTGAAACATTTTATAGTCAATGGCTGAAAATGCTAAAAACATTTTCTAGAACGTGCTTAATTTATGCGTGTGTGTGTGTGTGTATTTTAAATTTTTAATTAGTGATGTTAAATAGGACGAGTAATGTTCTGAGATTTTTTTATAAGCTTCTTGTCATGCCATCTGATGACTGCAGGTATTGAATTTGACTGAAATTGAACTCAACCGGGTGGACATTCGGGTAGGGTTGTCTGGTGCATTATATTTTATGGATGGATCTCCTCAAGCAGTGCGACAGTTGCGTGATCTTAATTCACAGGTTATTTTTGAAACTCTGCTTTAGATATTGTTTACCTGCTTTCTCAATTCATCTTACTGTTCCTTTTAAATTTATTTTGTTGTAATTTAATTTTTCATGAATAATTATTCTTCTTGAACAATGCTTCATCTTACTGCTAATTGTCATCTGTTGATGTTAAGTTGTCTTTTCTGCTGATGGCCGGATCAATGCCTACAAGAAACAAATGCAGCCCATGTGTTTTCTGAAAAAGATTAGGCCCAATGGGGTTAATATTGCACTATGAAATCTATGGAGTAATTCATATATAGCATGTGGATTAGGACGGGGCCAAGTGTTTCATTTCCCAATTTTAACTCAACCTGAGACATAGAAGGAGATGTAAAAAGGATGCCTAACTTTAATTTTAAAGTGATTTCTTTACTAACTGTTACTTCTCTGAGGGTAACAGTAATGAATGATCCTTTTAATAAGTGCTACAAAAGATGTATCCTAGAGCTAGCGGACCAATTTGATTTCATCTCATCAATTCAACAATAACTTCACTTAAGGATAAATCCTGCAAATCTTAGAAACCATTCTTTAAAAAGTAACTTCATAAAAAGGATTCTTAACTATCATGTAAAAGTGAATTCTTTACTAACTGTTACTTCTCTGATGGTAATAGTAATGAATGATCCTTTAAGTATGGTCATCTTCTATGAGTCATGACTGGTTTTGTAGGGAAGAATATACTACGTAATTGGTTACAACTAGGGAAGTTCTTGCTTTTCTCTATCTGCTATGGCTTTTGTGAGCCTTAATTCTCATAAGTAGTTCAGGAAATGATGATAAGAACTTGATTCCATCAAACATATTTTGTCATGCCTAGTTTTCCTGAGGTGAAGACTACTCAAGGATTATGTGAAATTCCCTGCCTACGGCTTGGAATTCTTGTTTAAAAAATTATTTTGAGCATTTTATGAGTGAAGAACTGTTCTATTTAGTTACAAGTTGATAGGATTTGTGATTGAAATGGGAAATTTTGGTGGTGTCCGTTTCTGGTAATTATTTCAGGCTTTCCTGTCTTTGTTAAAAGAAACCCATATAATTGGCTTGTCACGCCTAATCTGATTTTTACTGCCGTATCAACCAAACATATTGAACAAAAATGAGGAGAACAGGATACCTTGTTTGACGAGTAGATAAGTACGAGGCAAGAGAACCGGACCTCCACATAGCGAGGGAGGGAGGGAGCCCCCAATTTTTTATCCTTTTCTGTAATTTTTTTTCAAGATCTGAAACAAACTTTTTTTTTTCTTCTAATGTTTTTAAGTGTGATGTAGATTTCTGATCAATTTACTTGATATCCTTGCTTGTAGGATCCAGTGCTTTGCAGTGTGACTGTGGGTGTATCCCATTTTGAGAGATGTGCCCTTTGGGTTCAAGTTTTGTACTACCCCTTCTATGGAAGTGGTGCTCCGGGGGATTACGAAGGTGACTATACTGAAGAAGATCCACAAGTCATGAGACAAAAAAGAAGCCTGAGGCCAGAATTAGGAGAACCGGTGATTCTGAGATGTCAGCCTTACAAGCTTCCACTTACAGAGCTGCTTCGGCCACATAAAATCTCACCTGTTGAATATTTCCGCTTATGGCCTAGCTTACCCGCTGTGGTAGAGTACACTGGTACATATACTTATGAAGGAAGTGGATTTATGGCAACTGCTGCACAGCAATATGGGGCTTCTCCTTTTCTGAGTGGGCTGAAGTCTCTGTCTTCCAAACCTTTCCATAGAGTTTGCTCACACATTATCCGGACAGTGGCTGGGTTTCAGGTAACTTCTGTTGTTCTGCATTGTTATCCTTCCGAAATTTTCAGTTCCGCTCTCTTTTTCCAGGAATTGTGTTGTCATTGTATGTTTTATGTATGCTTAACTAATGAAGCGAACACTATTTAGAAACTAGGATTTAAATGATGTTTCCAAATTTTGAGTTAGTTTGAAAACTAAACATCACTGTTAGTCTTAACCCTTGCACCTCAATATGCTACCTTGTTGGAACCTTTCTTTACCTTTTGCTTGGGTTGTTCAAGCTTACCAAATTACTTGATTTACTTTGTCTTGGATAATAGCTTTGCTTTGCTGCAAAAACTTGGTATGGAGGCTTCTTGGGTATGATGATCTTTGGTGCCAGTGAAGTAAGCAGAAATGTGGACCTAGGAGATGAGACAACCACCATGATATGCAAATTTGTGGTTCGTGCTTCTGATGCAGCAATCACAAAGGAGATTGGATCAGATCTACAGGCCTGGTTGGATGACCTTACTGATGGGGGTGTGGAGTACATGCCTGAAGATGAAGTTAAGGTGGCTGCTGCTGAGAGGCTACGGATCTCAATGGAACGAATAGCCTTGCTAAAGGCAGCTCAACCACCTCCGAAGGCTCCAAAATCCGATGACGACGAAGAAGAGGACGAGGAGGAAGAAGGAGATGGGGAGGAGAAGAAGAAAAAGAAAGAAAAGAAGGAAAATGGTGAGGAGGATGGTAAACCCAAGGGACCATCAACTTTGTCGAAGTTAACTGCCGAGGAGGTTGAGCATCGTGCTCTTCAGGTGGCGGTGCTGCAGGAGTGGCATACGCTCCATAAAGATAGAAGCACCAAGGTTAATTGACCTCTATCAATTCCTATATAAGAGGAGGGTTGGGACGTATTCTTTGTACTCCTATATTGTATTTTGATTTTTGATAAAATGGTTAGGTAGATGCCGGAACTATGGAGTGCTCTATTTTCGCTGTATTTCCCTTTTTTATTTTATTTTATTGTAATTTTGGTTTTTTAATTTTATTTTTATTTTTGATTCTCTTGTACATTTTGTACCGGCTAGTCATTAATCGGTTGTTCATTTTGAGAGAGTGAGACATCCTCCTGTTCGCTTGCAAACGTTTTTTCTGTATGCTCCATTGTTTTTTTTTTTTTTTTTGATAACCAGAACTCCCAAGACCCGACCTTTACGGACCCCATCCTGAAGCACCAAATTGGGGATACGGCTGTCTACCCCACAGCTGCAATACCAGTTAAGTCGACGAAACTAGAGGCTTGGTAGAGGACTCGAACCCTGACATCTTGTGTGGCAATCCCAAGCCCCACCATCACTGCTAGCCCGTCGGGAGCTGTATGCTCCATTGTTGTTTTTACTCTCTTTTTATAAATCTAAAAGATTTTGTTGATGTTTTTACTCTCTTTTTATAAATCTAAAAGATTTTGTTGATTCAAATTTCAATCCACGTGCGTGATTTTTTTATTTTATTTTTATCAAATCAAGGCTTTGGATTGATTTTTCTTTTCGTATCTGAAACGAAGGATATACACAATAAGCTGAAAAAACAAGCTCTGAAGAGAGAATATAACTAAAAGAGTGTCTCGTCTCTCTGAGGGGCAAGCAAAATCTCAAGAACAGTTTTTTGTATTCTGTTTTGGGAGTTCCATTCCAAGCAGCCCCTTAAGCACACTCACAATCAAATCCAAGAGCTTAGGAACAAATTAATCACCCGGAAAAGAAAAACAATAAAATTTTATGACTCCAATTTAGCTTCAAAGAGGGGAAAAAACAAAACCCTCCGTCCTAAATTAAGTGTCTGTTTGAAACTGCAACTTGCATCGGTTGTAGCATTTAAACAAGTCATGAGATGATGTCTGTTCTACTTTTAGCACTATATGATGATATATGTAATCACTGCTTGTTCAATAGACAGACACAGGGGCAGCTCAATATAATTTTGGGTCTTAGGTGAAATATATTTCAATAAAACTCTTTGACAGTAAAGCCACTCACACATTTGATTGATATTGACTTACGCATTTGATTATTATTATGAATCAAGTGAATAATATATATATTTTTCACTATTATATAATTTTTAAATTACTTAAATTTATTTAAATATTAATTTTCACAATTATTAGTTATTTTTTGTTAATTATATTCAATAAAAACGTCAAAGAAGGGGATGAGGAAAAAACAATTAGATAATAATAGAATTACGAATTTTGATAGGATATGGAATGAAAATTTTAGAATGAATCAAATTCTTTTTGCTCACCGTTAAATTGCTATGGAGGAGTCTAATAATATTAGGAAATGTCCGCTATTAAGTTGCTATAATTGAATAATGATACTTGCACCGATTTGCTGTAGTGAATTATCTAACCGAATGTTACTGATTGATTATTTATGCACAATACATGTAAGTGGAGGGCTCTACTTCTTTAATTATGCCATTTGTTGTAGTGAATTGCCAAATTTATTTCTTTAAATTGATCCATTTATACATAAATAAAGAATTGGACCCTTCACTTGCATGTATTGTGTATAAATAACCTATTAGTAATATTCGGTTAAGTAATTTACAGCAACAAATCGGTGCAAGTACCATTACTCTTTTTAATTTAAAACGGAGGGAATAATAATTTTAGGAGCTTACTGAAATAAAGAAACAAAATTTTAATGAAGTCTAATAAAATAAGGAAACAATAATTCTAGGGGCTTTGGCTCGTCTAATAATATAAGGGAATAAAAATATTTGGAAGTTGAAATAATAATTTCAGGCCTGATCGACATAAGGAAATAAAAATTTTAAAGAAATAAGTAATATTTTAAGAGGCTCTTATTGACCGGGGCCTTAGCAACCGCCTGTGACCCTGTTGAGATCAGCGTCGATGCCTCTGACTACCACTCTAGAGAGAGAAATGCTATAAATTTTACAGAGAGAGAGTAGATTGAAATCAATCCAATGGCGAATTACCACTTCGTATACAAGGACGTGGAAGGAGCGTCCACGCAATGGGACGACATTCAAAGGAAACTGGGAAATCTTCCTCCAAAGCCACCTGCGTTTAAACCCCCTCCCTTCACACCCGCCGAAGACGAAGACTCCAAACCCAGAGATAAAAACTGGATCGATCACAAGACCGAGGAAGAGCTTCAAGATCTGGAAGATGACCCCGATCTTGATGAAGATCGCTTCCTCAAAGAATACAGGTATTTTTTCATCTTTGCCTGAAACCCTAAATCAAGAAAAGAAGATAAAAACAAAACTCAAACCTTAAATTTTTTCCGCTTATATTTTTTTCCAAATGTAAGAATGGAAGACCTTGACTTTAAATTCCCTTTGCCTTCGTTTGGTTAGGTGGAATTTTTTCTTTGTTAACACATGATGTGTTGATCCTTTTGCTGTAAAAAACACGGACGTTTAAAATTAGTTCATCGGCTTCTTCCATAAACAAACGTGCAAAATAAAAAAAAAATAAAAAAAAAGGCTTCCATTGGATATTTCTTTGTTTGATTAACTGCTCTTCACTGAAAGGAATAAGAGGCTGGCGGAGATGATAGAAACATCTAAAATTTCGAGGTTTGGATCAGTGGTTCCAATTTCTGGTTCAGATTTCGTACGTGAGGTCTCTCAAGCTCCACAGGATGTCTGGGTGGTTGTGATTTTGTACAAGGATAGGTAATTATTTATGATAATTCAATGCTTTTATTTTTTTGCTACTGCAATTCATTGTTTTTACTTTCTTAGGTTCTTACCTTCATCTTGATCATATTCAAATGTTTGGATATGTGGACATTTATAAATGCATGTAGTGCATATGTGTCAACCTATTGATCTCTATTTAATTTTTGTTAGCTATCCAGAATGCGGGCTTCTTTTGCGGTGTTTGGAAGAATTGGCAAAAAAATATCCGGCAACAAAGTTTGTTAAAATAATCTCTACCGACTGCATTCCTAACTACCCTGATCGCAATCTTCCAACTCTATTGGTGTACAACAATGGTGCTGTTAAAGCCAATTACGTGGGCTTGCATACTTTTGGTCGGAGATGCACTCCTGAAGGTATATTTCAAGCTTTCTTGACATTATTATAATCTCTGACTTCATACTCCTTAAATGCATGGTTATGTAGTTGCTCTAGTTATAATTTGACTTCAATTTGAGATCTTGGATAAAAGTTAATGATATATCACTTAAATGATTTGGTACACTCTAGTAGTTAGTTATATGTGTTATGGTTTCTGTTTCACTAGAGTGTCCCCAAGTAGTTTGGTAAAGGCTTTGTTGAGTTGAAGTGAGTTGTTTCTCCAGGGCGTATCATTTTACTATAGTTTCTATGAGAAGTTCCGTGAAAGAATCGTTTAAGGAAATTTTATAGTGATAGGAAATTTTTTTTTTTGTAATTTTATGATGTTTATATAGATAGTTAGGAAAATGTGTTGTTGAGTCGACTATTTTCTCCAGAGTGTTTTATTTTTACTATAGCTTACCTCTGCATGAAATTTATACAATATTCATGAGCTTGGTCTTCCCCCTGTTGTTTACATGCATAGCGGTGAATGAGAAAATATCTTATTTTTACATCCATCCATTATATAATTCTTATCAATTGGCCTTCGAACATGTTTAAGGATTTCTCTTGTATTAAACAATTAGCATGGGATAATACTGGAATACATAGCAACTCCCCATTTGTCCACACACACAAAAATAGAAGAAAAAAAAGTTGATGTGACCTATCAGCGATGTGGGGTGTAACGGGTGTTGATGTTTTTAAGGGCACACAACATTGGCATCTTAATCATACCTCAGTATTTAATGGATGGAAGTGGGTAGATTAAAGGCTTCACGTGTAGGGAGAAATTTCTTTAAAAAGACGAATTAGAAGAGCAAGAGTGCAAACATAGAGGCATGTGATATTTGCGGTTATTTTATTAAGGAAATTGCACAATAGCATCTCAAGAGTGGAGTGCAAGTGTATTTTTTTAAATAGTGGAGTGCAAATATTATTTGCCAACATAAATGCATACATGAGAAAGAACCTTAAACTCTGGATTGTGTTATACAATGCATTTTTATGTTAGGATTTCAGTGGTTTTGTCCAACTGAAAGTAAAAAAACTACTCTAGCAAAAGAAATGAAATAACTTGTTATTTCGTCATTTAGCTATTTAAATGAACTTTTTCTTTCTTTCTAATCTTAGCTAAGTGCCCCTCAAGGGAGGAGGGAGGCTTCTCTCTCTCTCTCTCATGCACTAGAGCATACTTTGTGTGACTACCGCTATGGGCGGGAAACACTGGACGAGCTACCATACTGGCAGGCTACAGGGTGTTATGATTCTACATCGCCTGGGAAAGGTGAAGTAATATAAGTAAGGTTTAACACCCTTTTATGACACAACACGTTTTAAAGCTGTGGTGGCTGTGAACCCATCAGAACTCCAAAGTTAAGTGTGCTTACTTTGGAGTAGTACCGGGATGGGTGACTTCCTCGGAAGTCTTTAGTCCGGGGGAGCCAAAAACAGACAATATTGTGTCTGGTAGGGTGAGGGCCATTACAAATGGTATCAGAGCTGGAGCATAGTCGGAAGTGTGGCCAACAAGGACGTTGGACCCCCACGGGGGGTGATTGTGACGACTGTTGTGGGTGGGTGTGATATGAGTGGATGCGAGACACCGGACGAGCTCCCACACTGGCAAGTTACAAGGTGGCATGATCCCACATTGCCTGGGGAAGGTGAAGTACTATATGTAAGATTCAATACCCTTCTATGGCACAACGTATTTTAAAGTCGTGATGGCCGTGTGAACCCATCAGAACTCCAAAGTTAAGCGTGCTTACTCTGGAGCAATATCAGGATAGGTGACATCCAGGGAAATTTTTGGTCCGAGGGTGCCAAAAACGGACAATGTTATGTGAGGTGGGATGAGGGCCGTTACACTTTGAACTATAGTTGCATGTGCTAACTGCTTGCGTTTCTCTTTAGTTTTCCTTTTTCACCTGATTAATAGTTCTTCTGTCTTTTTACTTATTAATCATAATTGCTAAATACCTCTTTAATGAACTTCACTGTTTTAATAGTAGGATGGTTTTTAAATGAGGTCTTTGATGGCCATTGACCACTTCTGGTGCCAAATGGTGGTGCTCAAGGGGAACATGGTGTTTCCTGAGCGCTGAAGGGTCTTAATATATAGTATTACTAATTTTTAAATAAATTTATAAAAACTATCCCAAGGAGAACATGGTGTTTTGGGAGACCTCAAGGAGGTCTTATTATTATTACTACTACTTTTTATTGAGTGTGGAAAAACGATCTCCAAAGACAATTATCTTATTTGATTTTTCTGCTTATTTTTTCTCTTTGGATTCTCTTTTAAATGCTAAAAATGCCTTGAATGTGTATTGTTAGGCCTGTCTTTACTGTACCGTGTTACCCTGTTTATGAGAGTATTCCTCTAAACTTTCTTTGTAATGCCTCCCAAATTGGTTAGGAGTTGCATTAGTTCTGTGCCAGACGGATCCTGTACTGAATGACGGGCAAAGTGGAAGTGAGCTGTCCAGGGAAGCTGTCCTTAAAGGCATCCAGGAGAGGTTTCTAGAAAAGGTGGTGGCAGAACATGAAGATGATGGTGGATCATCAAGTGATTAGAGTTTTAGATCTTGAATTCCCCAGCTCCTTTTTCTGCTATTTTCTGTAATAATTTTTCTAAAATTGTGTTCTATAGTAACTGGCTGTAGGGGTCTTTTGTTGCTTCTTCTGCAACTTGTTTGGCTTCTCGTCTAAGTATTGTGTGTTTGTAAACCCCGACTTTTCTCAATTTTAAAAGGATTTCATGATGTTGGTATCTCTCCCTGAATTTGGGTTTTCTGAAGCATGCTAAATCATCATCATCAGGTATTTATTTATTTATTTATTTAAGCGCCAGAAGCATTTGAGCGTTTTGCAAACCTGCCAGGTGATGTCCGGATTGTAGTGCCATTCCAAATCGACAACGATTGGGACTCAACCTAATAATATTTGGGTGGTATGGCATTTGGTCTTGTATCAATGAAGAGTAGTACATAGAACTCAACCAATTCTATCATACAGATCTTCAACCTAGGGCTTAAAAGTAGCCTAATTAAGTTCATGATATATTCACGCTGAATTCTAATTTTTTAAAATTAAGAATTTAAATTAATTTATGACAGTTCAATTAAATTGAATTGATTAAGCCAAGCCTATACAACACTAATAAAATAATAATAATGAAGAAAGTAGTTTACACCGACAAAAGTAACAAAATTTAAAAATTATAATTTCTTTGTCAACTATTTACGTAAAGTTTTCTTTCTTTTGCAACTATATGTGTTTCCTTGTCAGCGTCACATGGTTTTATGTTTTCTTTTATTGGTGGTGCACATTTTTCTGCGCACTTATTAGGGGTGATAATTAGTGTTCGCGGATTGTAATCGTGTCGTGTTAATTTAAGGGTATTTACGATATATATATAATTAAACGTGTATAAATAGATTGTACGAATTAAATCTCTCAATTCAAACACGACACGATTAACTAAGCGGGTTAATTGTATCGATCCGTTTATAAACCGAATTCGTTTAAAATTAACTCAAACTCATTTAATTCGTATCGTATTCGAATCAAATTGATGAATCGTGTCAACTTTTGCCGCCCAACCACTTATGCACACAATCACATTGGTTTGGACTATTTATTATGCACACCGTACACATGCACGCACCTACACTTGATTGGTACAGCACCTGAGTTTAGACATGTGCGAGATCAAATAATTAAAGTTTCGAGTAGCAGGACTTGAATGACAAGGTCTCTTTGGCGTTGTGCGACGGCGATCTAATTAAAGTTTCGACCGAAGAAAAATGACAAAACATTTTTCACTCTCGTTTTTTTTGTTTTTTTTACCGATCATTATGACTTGACAGCTTCATCACCGGTGGCCTTTTGCCATGACGTACAATTGTAGTCAGAAGTCTCTGCATTCCAATTAATTAAAGTTTTATAGTATAATATTTGACAAATTACTCTCCAACTTCACACCATTTTCTGCTCTTATACAAACTTCATTATTTGGTAGGGTTGTAACTGACCCAAAAATAATATTTAATTATATATGCTCCATCCACTATTCTTTGTATTCTTTGTATCAAAGTTCTCAAATAAACAATAAAGTAATTTTGAATTCACAAAATTTGGAAAAATACAATTTTGAAACATTATTCATAAATGAATGACTAATCTTGGATTGGATATCCTTCCAACTCCAAAAAAATTCAAATTCACAGAAATGAAAAACAATTGTATACTCATAACACTATATATACTGGAAAACACACCCACACAATAAATATATATATAATATATGTATAATCTGGGACGAAGTCAGGATTTAAAGTGAGACAGGGCACGGTGCACAAAAAAAATATACAGCCTATATATATATTTATATATTATAAAAATTATAAAATTCGAAAGTTGCACGTAAAAAGAAAGAATTTTAAGAAATAGAAGTGAAAAAAGAAAGAGAGAACTTTAAAAGAAAAAGTTAAAGAGTTTCAATTAATGAATGATATTTTGACTTTTTTTATTAAAGAAATTTAAGAAATTGGATGAATAAAAGAGAAAATAATAAGAGAATTTTAGAAACCACAATATTTAGGAGTATTGTATAATTTTTTCATATATATAGAAAAAAATTAAAAAATTACCACATATATTATAAAGTGTAGGCCCGCTCAGGAGAGGCATGTGCCCCAGGCCTTCATTGACTTCGTCCTGCATATAATACGCAAGTACTCTTACATTTTTCGTATTTATATTTTTTACTAGTAAAACATTCTAATGGTCAAACTAAATTAAGTACAAAAAAAATAAAATAAAATAAAAATATCACTAGAATCAAATCCTCAAACGAAAATATCAAAATATTCAAGAATCGTTTTAGAACAGGTAAAAGGTAATTTTAGAGGCTTAAAAGAACCAATTTATCAAAAAAATGACATAGACCACAAGTAAAATTTGTGTGTTAAATTTGATTATTGGATCGCTTATGGTTCAAAATGGGTCATCAAACTGTAAAAATATATTTTTTCAAATGAAAATTTTAATAACCTTGGTGGGAAGAGAATTTTATACAAGTTTACAAGTAGCTAAAGAAGGTGCACATGTTTTTGACCGTGTTCTAGAATCTACACATTTTTTGACCGTGTTCTAGAATCTACACATGTTCTTAGCGTGAGAAATGAATTCCATATGTACAAGCCAAACCTATATTTGATTTCACATTAGGCCTAAAAAGTCCAACTCTTCTATCATTTTTCTTCTCTATATATCTCTTGTTATAACAAGTGCAATTTGTCTCTCTCTCTCTCTCTCTCTCCCCCCCTCTCTCGATCAAGTCTAAACAAGGCTCTAAACATGGCTTTGCCAAAGGGAACAATATCGATGATGAGTGAATTGGATTGGTTTAAGAAAGGAGGAATGAGGCAAGTTGATATTAAACGACATCGTGTAAGGGTCCCATCTGATCACAAGAACATTGTAATTAGGAAGGCTGCTTCTATATCTACCATACGATGTTTGAAAGGACACGTTACCCCTCCACCTACTGTTCTTGATGCCATTAATAACAATAATGCCCCTTCTTCTTCTTCTTCTTCTTCTTCTTCTTCACTTCTACCCAAAGTTAATGTGACAAGAAAAGACTTCCCTCTTCATTTCAAGTTTGGATGCTCCACTTCTGCTCTTCAGGTTCTCTCTCTCTTTTATACATACATATATATATATAATGAATTCTCATTTTAATAATTAATTAATTTGTAATCTTATATATTTGGATTGGTGCAGACAGAAGGAGCAGGAGATGAAGGCGGAAGAGGTCCAAGCACCTGGGATAGTTTTATCCAAGATGGAATAGGAGAAACAGATATAGCTGTGGATTCATATCACCGATATCCAGTAATATATATATATATATATATTTTTTGTTATTACTACATTACTTATAAACAAAAGAGAGTTTATTGTACCAAAGATAAGAATGAATAGCATTTCCTTTATATCGAAAAGACAAAAACTAGGAAATGTTTAGATTTTTCAATATAACACTAACAATTAATGAGTTGGCAATGTTTTTGCTGTAACAGGAAGATGTCCAGCTCCTCAAGGCAATGGGAGTTGACACTTACAGATTCTCCATTTCTTGGTCAAGGATCCTCCCTGGTATATATATATATATATATATATATACACACACACACACACACACATGTTCCTCATATTCTATAATATATATATATATATATATATATATATATATATATATATATATATTATTCAAATACTGTAACAACCTCAAAGACAAACATTTTGGAAAATAAAAAGGTAATGACATTCAGAATGAAAGATAAGTTTGAATAAGACAAACAAAAAAAAAAAAAAAAAAACACCATATGGAGTATTCATGCTTATCCCCTTATTGATCGTTCGATGTTGTTGATATTAAAAACTTACAGATGGTACAGTGAGTGGTGGAATAAACCATGAGGGCATTGACTTCTACAACAATTTCATCCATGAATTAATCCGAAATGGTTAATAATTTTGTATCATTTCAATTTTTATTATTATTATTATTATTATTATTTTGGTTGTATTTTTGTGTTCTTAAATTACAAATTAAATTTGAATGCAGGGATAACCCCATTTGTGACGCTCTTCCACTTTGATTTACCAACAGCACTGCAAAATAAGTATAAAGGTTTCTTGAATAGCCAGATTGTGTAGGTGAAATCTGATATTGATTGATCTTAATTTCATAATATTATAGTACAATGTAATTACTTACATATCATTTTAATTTTATTGTTTTCAGGGATGATTTCAAAGCCTATGCCGATCTGTGTTTCCAAACATTTGGTGACAGAGTGAAGCATTGGAGTACAATCAATGAGCCACAAGTATATGGGCTGTATGGATACCAAATTGGAATGGATAACCCAAATGCAAACACCGCAACAGATCCTTTCCTTGCCACCCATAACATTCTTTTAGCCCATGCCCACGCTGCTAAACTCTACAAACAAACTTATCAGGTCGTTACTTAAAAGGAAAACCATAAGTAGTTCCCGCACATCTAATTAAATGACATGTGTCCAATTTTCGAACTCTTTTATTATCACTACTCTTATTTATAAATTTACTCACCCACTTATAACTACTTGCATTGGGGCTTATTTTTTTTTAATCCATAGCCAATTCAAAAGGGAGAGATTGGTATTTCGCTGGTGACTCAATGGTTTGAGCCACATACAGACACGAGACAAGATAAAGATGCATCTGAGAGAGCGTTGGATTTCTTGGTCGGATGGTTAGTAGTCGAATTTTTGGCAAACCAAATGACCAAAGTCTAAATTGCTTATTCATCAATTTTATTTATTTATTTAATTATGTTGTTTTGAAAAATGAAAAATAGGTTTATGGATCCATTGGTGTTTGGTGATTACCCATTTATCATGAAGGCTCTTGTGAGGGATGGGCTTCCCACATTCACAGAGGATGAAAAAGCATTAGTGAAAGGGTCTTTCGATTTCATTGGCGTCAACTACTATACTTCTAGATATGCAGCTGCTCTTCCAATTAATCCAAATGATATCTATACCACCCCTGACCAGTACCAGCATGTTGAACTCAAAGGTATATATTATATACCATACGTAGTTTTAATTGCATAGATTTTTCTTTAGCAATTGAAAAATACATGACAATGGTTATTTGTCAAGTTCAAGTTTTGCTCGAGCTCAAGCTAAAGACAATAAATTTTAATTCTGATCTTTCCTGTGCTCCTCTTGTTTGTCATTGTCGCAGTGGACAGAAATGGAAAACCCATTGGTGAATTGGTAAGATCATATATATATATATATATAATAGATGATAGATGAATGAGACGAAAATTTTAGTTGTTGGTTCGGAAAAACTATAATGAGCGTAAAAGCTCATTGATCAGTATATACCTACTCTTCTTCTTAACTCCATTTCAGGCACCTGGGAGTGATGCCATCTACTTCTACCCACAAGGCCTTAGAGATGCCTTGGTATACATAACTCACCAGTACAACAATCCCAAAATCTACATCACTGAAAACGGTTAGTTAGTTAAAGAGTCGGTTGATTCTCTCTCTCTCTCTCTCTCTCTCTAAAATAAAATGGACGACTTACAGTTTTAAGTACAGGATATCCGGAGAAACGAGATGACACTCTCCCGGTAGAGATTGCCATTCAGGACAATGCCCGTATTCAGCATATACTCAGCCATCTTTATGCAATTTCAGAAGCTATGAAGTAAATTCTTAGCCATCTGCATTCTATAAATAAACTACTCTTCTTTAGCTCACCTTATTGTCTGATTCTTTGGAGTGCAGGTTGGGAGCAAACGTTAACGGCTACCTCATGTGGGCTTTGATGGACTGCATGGAAATGGGTTCAGGTTACCAAGTTCGATTTGGTCTAAACTACACCGATTATCTCAAAGGCTTGAATCGAGTCCCGAAGAAATCAGCTGGTTGGCTTAAATCTTTCTTGGGTGCACCTTGTTGATGACCTCGGTTGTTCCACATCATCTATTCTGCTTTCTTCTTCATTGTTTTGCGCAAATGTCTTCTTTTTCTCTCCTCATATGCCCACTTCTCTGTAGTAGTAACTTTTTCTGTAGTAATCTCATATATTATGAAGAAATAATCAATTTTCTTGTCTAAATACACACCAAGTTAGCAGGACAATTCCAGAATATCAGCATGTTAAAAATAATCAAATTTGAAATAACTGATTCAGCCTCAACTACACATTTTCTTCTTCACTGGGACGACTAAGTATTTACATACCCGAAACTTGTCTTGCAGTGTATAAATGATCTCTAATCAAATTTGAAATAACCAAATCCGTCTAAACTGCACATTTTCTTCTTCATTGGGACTAGAGTTATATACGCTATTAATTATCCAAAAAAAGTTGCATACGCTAAACATGTCTAGTAGTATATAAATGATCTCAGTCGAGAAATCATATTTACCCCACCTAACCTAACTTTTTAACACGCATATATATATATAGCAACTGTACCATATCTCTCTATTCATTAAATACAAGGAGAGCTTGCAGCTTCTAATGCCAAATAGCTTGGATACAATCAGCTTCACAAGCCTGCTTCAACTTTGCAGTTTCCCGCACAAGAATGTTACCATAGCCATTGTCCTGCTTCACATCTACATACCCTCCAGTTTTCAGAACCTGCAAATTGGTGACCAAACAACAGCATTATACACTAGCATGTTGCATCATAATTTCTAACATACTGAGCAAAACTTCCGATTTATAATTTTGTACTGATATTGTATGCCTCCTTTTAGGAACCAAGTCCATGTGGTGGCCATGGTTGACAGGGTGGAGGTGCTCTAATGGCATACAAAATTACATGCTACGCATTCTGTTCTCCCATTTTAAATTTATGGACAATTTATTTTCTAAACATTTCCTCTCTTCTACTGTCCAGACACCTAGCATAACCCAACCAATTTCTATAGTTGATGAAACTTAGGTGACTGTGTAGTACATGGGAAAAGTATAAAATGGCTCATGTCCAACACCTTATATCAGAGGTTGGGTTATCCCTGATACTGTAAGAAACAAATGGAACAAAACACCTTACCAGTATTTCATAGAATAGCCTTGCACTTTCTTTCTTGTTTTTTCCTTTCAGAACCAGCAACAAGTTCATGGCGTGTTTCCCACTTTGTTTCTTCCCATTGAGAAAGTTTTTGTGCAGATACCCTGCTATTATTCTGTGCACCACACGTTTAACAAGTTGAACGTTTTCTAAAAGGCTTGCGATAAAAGCTGACATTTAAGCCAAAACAGGAAAATTGCCTAAACCCTGAGAAGTTACCTGGTTCTCTCTGACCATCCACCTGCAAATTGTAATCAGTATCTTCAAAATTCAAACTTCCATAGAATTTGAAAACAAAAAGAAAAAGGCAAAACATATCTTTAACAATAGGATTGGATAATAGGCATAGTTCTCACGTGTTTCCTGATAATCTCCTTCGCATGAATTTATCTCCTGACAATAATTTAGACGTTTGTAACAATCAGTCTTCAGGTGTTGCCAAATAAGGCAAATTTAAGTACAAAACAATATTTCAGATCCAAAAGGCAGCAGAGAGCATATCTTTTTTACAGTAATATGCAGCAGAGAGCAGAATTTTTTTAAAAAACAATATGCAGTAAAAAACAGATTATAAAAATAGAAACCAGCTTACAAGGCAGCATCCATGTTCTAAATACAGGATTGAAACATCAAATTTGAAAAAGGTCCAAAACTTTCTTTTGATAGATCTTCTTTCAAAAACAAATTTTAAATACATATTGAGTGGACACATCCACTATAACCCTACTCTATAATAATGATATGATTACCTCACTCAACAAGCTGATATCCAGTTCTTGATCGTCACTTAGAGACAGCCCTTTCAGCACACTTTCAAAAGAGTTCGCCGGTCCCACTTTATCTGAGTTACTAATTTCGGGGACCTCATGTAGTCTCAATGAAGTTGAGTGGGTAACAGGTGTTGAAGGAGCTATATCTGTTTGATCTGGAAATCTGTAAACAGTTGGGGGTCCTGATAGATCTAAATTTCCAGGAGGTTCCACGACGACATCAGGCGTTGAAGGAGCAGTTGCTGTTCGTTCTGGAGATCTATGAACAGTTTGGGACCCTAATAAATCTATTTTTTCAGGAGATTCCACAGTTTTAACGGTCTCTGGGCACTTTAATTTCTTATTAAAGAAGAGAGATCTAAGCTCTAGTGAAGTACCTGCAGGAGCTACAGTTAGTACGTAAGTAGCATAGCACATCTAGTATACCAGTGAATAGACAGCGAAAGAAAACTAACCAAGGATCAAAGGCTCCAGGAAACTCTGAGGGAGATTGGAAAATTGACTGGCTTTCCAGGCATGAAAAGCAGTATGAGGAGCTTTTCTTCGCTTACATACTAAGTCACTTGAGTTATCAATTTGTTGCTTGAGCATCCTGTAAAATTTAAACATGTAATGCTGTGTCAAGGCCTTCAGTCTCCAAGTCCACAGAAAACAATTTTTTTGGACAACATCGATACATTCTAATTCTAACATGACTAAAAGACAACATCAATCATCAGAATCGGCAGCCCAATGATATTTACAGTACTGTTACTGTCTCAAATTTCAATTGTTATTTTATTTAATTTACACTTCTTCAATTCTTTTGACGTGGGTGCATAAAAGTTGCATTGGTGATTGTAATAAAATTTAAATCATATAAGGCTCTTCTACTTTTTGTTATAAAATTGGGAAGTAACACTGAATATACCGGAGAGTTTTTATGTTTTGTCCTTTGCATTTAAATCATATTTAATAGAAATCATTCAAAGTATATATTTGCATGAGAAGCTTCGTCAACCTTCTTTTGATAAATATTAATTTGAAGGCCAAACCTAGATAGTTGTACGATTGTAAAAGGCCTCACTTAAAGTCTCCATTGTAGGCCTCAAATTGTATTGAGCTTGCCCTGATGTCAAGCCAAAGTCCACACGTGTAGAGTTCCCCAAGATACAAACTCACTATAAAGACAAATCAATTGTGCACATATGTATCAACTTAGTTTAGTGGTAAGAATTTATGTGATTTAAAAAGTCATATCATGATAATGAATGGCTTTATTATTATTATTATTTTCTGCTGTTAGAAACTATTAGGACTCGTGAAAAGTTATAAGCTGCTACTTAAACCATGTTTTAAAACACAAACTCGTGTAACCTGCAATTCTAAGTACGAGCAATCAAGAGTAACCTCCACTTATTACATGCAATGGATTAAACTCGAGGTTACTGTTGTAGAGTAACCTCCATTTATTACATGCAAAGGATTAAACTCGAGGTTACTATTGCGTACCGATTAGGTATGACGATGATGTCATCAAAGAAACATTTTCTTTTCCTTGAAATCCTGGTACGCTCCTTAGTAGCTGGAGTTCGCACAGCTATAAACTCTGGTGTAGTAACACCTGCATTGAGAGAAGATTCATTCATATTTGAAAAGATCGTTAATTAAAATAATTTATAGGAAATTAAAATTCTAGCTTTCAGCTAAACTTCACATATGTTCTAAAAACTACAAAAATAGGACATCTGCCATTGAGTAAGCAAATAGGATATATTTAAAAAGATTTTTTATATGTGTATCCAATATATTATGCAGCAATACATAAGAATAAAAGCCTTATTTGGCTCAGTATGCACCTGAAGCATCCCGGAACTTGGACTCAGGGGTTACATCAAAGGTAATGGATACTGGATGGTCTTCTGTAGTAATCTGATGCTTTTCGCTTACTGGGTTTGTCATTACTGGAAACTTTATCTGCTCCAAATCCATATGTTTCTCTTGATCAAATAATCTAGTGAGTTCTGGATCCGGATATTCTTTATCAGCCGAAAAAAATGTATCAGTGTCCGGAAACTTTATCTGCTCTCCGGCAGTATGATGCGCTTCACCAAATGATCTAACAAATTCTAAGTCGTCCTCAGCCTCATCAAGCATCATAGGGTCCAGGCGTTCTTCTAGATAGGACTTATCACCTCGAAGTTTTTCCAGGCTTGCTTCCAAGTTGCTCATATCATGTAATGGACTTGCCAATAGATCATTGTCCAAAAAGTCAGGTAAATGAAAACTGCAATAGGAATGTCAAGTTAAACTGAACTCGACCAAAGATATATATTTTGAACTTCTGATGAAGATATATGAGATATGGTGACATACTCTCTAACCAGAGTGTAACTTGTTGAGGAAGTTCCAAAACGCGCAGCAGCCTCCTCACAGTGATACTGCAAAATTGTGAAAACTTACTAATATATCCTCATTGACATAATTACTCACAGTGCCCAATGCTTTCTAATGAAAACTTGAGAACTAAAAAACTGTTATTCTACGTACAACTTGCTAAGATATCACTCAACCATATTAGGTCTAGAGAGAGTCATTTGACCCAAAAATCCAATTTCACCTGGCTTCACTTATCAAGGGTTAAACCATCACAATAAGATCTAAACAAATTCAGATTACATGGGTGATGAATTAAATTGATGATTCAGTTTGTACCAACATCCTGCAGATGGATCCAACTGAATTTGTGACAACATTATAATAAGTTATTTTAATAGAGCATATCTGGAACAACCCTGTTTGATCTATCGAGTCCAAATTTAATACATATTACACCTAAATGTATTTCCTAGAACTTCTCTAGTTATTTCAGCATTCCAACTCCCTGAATTTCCCTCTTTTTTCTTCATTGGCAAGAAACACACTCACACACACTTTTTTTGCCCACACTCAGGCTCAAACCCCTCCCCTCCTCTTTGAGGATGGGGAGGTTATACCATTGGGCTAGATGCCCTTTGGTAATTTCCCATCTTTAGTAAATGAATCAAAAATTTCGCATTGTGCAGTTGCATAAAGCAACAGTTCAATCATTTAACTGATCATGTAAAGGACGTGGAGAGAGAGAGAGAGAGAGTATTCCTAGAACTAAACAAGTTGCCTGATTGGTGGAAGTGCTTCGAAAGAGTTGTGGGGTTGAAGTATACCAGTCAATTTAGAGAAAAATGTTGTAAGATGATTTTAAGGCTACCAACATTCTATGGTACAGAATATTGAGAAATCAAGACTATAGCTACAATAAAGATGTAGAAACAAAATTAGCAAAATTAGGTTACTATGTGCTATGGTATGGAATATTGAATAATCGAGAGAATGGCTAATATAAGGATGTAGAAAATAAATAATAGAAAATTAAGGAGGAAGATAGTTGGTAATGAATGCATAGATAATATATATATATATATATATAAATTCAAGGCACTTATCAAAATATATATATATATATATATATATATAAATTCAAGGTATAACCAGGTAAGGTTAGGCTGAGGGACGCCAGCTGAGTAGCTCTTGTGCCAAAAAAAAAAAAAAGCAGAAAGTAATTTGGTTCAAATTAGTACTGCTGCCAGTATAAGAGCATGTAAAAGAGAGTGAGAGTCGAAGCTACAAGAAATAAATTAAGGAAAAACTATAAATTATTATTGAACTTCCCAAACAGAGAAAAGAAATTCAATAAGTCAGGTTCAGAGACTGGCTCGGTTTTAAGTCAAAAAGTAACATTGTTGAAGGACCCTATCACCCTAATATAATAACAACTGAACATCTTTAGGACCAGATTATATATATATAAATTAAGATAACTTTGGAGCACAAAAACTTTCAATAACTGTCCCTAATAGTTTTGGAGCACACTTAAAAATATCATGCCAAGTGAATTTTACAGACACAAAGATTTGCTAACGGTGCATAATACATACCTTGTCAAATGAATGATTCCCAATTACCTCATTTTTCCATGCATCTCTTTCTACAAAAAGGGCAAATAAGTAAGATGGCACATCGTGAATGAAGTAATAAATAACTCAATGTGAATCTAATACCTTTAAGCATGATCTCCTCATGAGCTATCACATTGCCTCTGTAGAATTGGCGAAAGAAACAGCGGTTCAGAATGGTTAATAGGAAAGACATAAAATAAAACACTTCTTGTGATTTTCAGCATATAATATAACTCACCCGCTTACATCTTCCAAGATCTCCAGATCAAAAGCATCAAGTTCAAAGCTCTCTGGTAAGGTAATAGAGACATAAGGTGTGCACATTGCTTCCAAATGCACACTACCTTTTTTAATACCCGCAAAATCATTGATTTTAATCAGGATATCATGACAGTCATGGAACAAATACTCAACTTTCTTTGCGTATATCCTCACAACACCAAGAAGAAGGTAACCTATTATTCTATATGTGACAATAGGAAATTCATCCAGCAAGATTTTATCTGGAAAAGAGAGAGAGAGAGAGAGAGAGAGAGAGAGAGAGAGAGAGAGAGAGAGATAAATTGGGGGAAAGGTGTCAGAGAGATTAAGACGACAGCAAATTAATGAATAAAATAAAATAACTTCACCAAAAAACTAAAATTTGCCAAAATATACTAATTCTCTTCAAAATACCACAATAAGAATGTTCCTAATTTATGCTTTGACAGTATCTACCTCCCAGAAAACTGACTCAAACCTTTGGGATTTAGACAATTGCCACTCCATACCAAATCATCTGGAACTCAAACTACTAAGGCTGAACATAAAACAACTGATTCTGAATTTTAAACATACTGCCACTCTTATCACCGTCGTAGCAACACAAACATCACCACCCTCTCGTTGTTGAGGACAATACCATAGCATACGTTATTTCCCCACTAACATCATCTTCATCACCAACAAAGCCACCTCAACTGCAACATAAATGGGGGCACAGGCACTAAAACTAGCACAGCCATCACACAACTAACACAACATAGTAGTATATACACTTCCACCTCTACTACCTAGCAGGCTAGCACAAATGCTTAATACTTCATATTTAAGATAGAGAGTAACTAGGAATTTGATATCCACTGTCTGACTCTAGGTCCCCCATTTCACTGTTACATTATCAAACTCAGACCAGATAACACCAGAAAAAATAAAATGAAGTTTAGGGCCACAATACACTAATGTCAATGACCAAATAAAACATTGAAACCCTTTGGCTTGGAGATGACGGTAATTGGTGTGCTGAAACTAGGGAAATAACAAACAAGAAGAAAAACCCAAATATCCAGCTTTAGTTCATCCTTTTTACTAAAGCATACTCGAACCATGTTTTAAAAAACCCATTTGAAAATTTGTAAAAACTGCTTCCTAAATTGATATTTCCATAATAATGAAAACAATGGTCATAGTACCTATATTTGAAACTTCCTAGTAATATAAGTGAGGGTTTCCATTGTATTTTCAGTTTTCTCCAAACTATTATCTGCTTACCATCTCACACCTTAAGGTCTTATTTTCCACTTCTTTCATGCATGTTCCATACCCACTTCTTGGCAGGTAAATGTAATCTATAGTTGAAACCGACAGCTAAAAGGCCAGCTTCCTTTCCAGTTGCAACATAGAACCACCTATTTCATAAAAACTCCATTGTATCTTTAGATAACTTAATACATGGTACAGAAAATAAGCACCCACAAATAACACTGTCTCCGAGATAATTTTCACGTTCTTTAAAAAATGGATAAATTGAAGAACTATGTGTCCATTTCATAAACAAACGATTACAGTAAAGAGAATTGATAAGCAATTACAAAAGAGGAAACAGGAAATTTAAAGGAGTGGAACAGAAAATAAGTACGTAGTATAAAATTTCACCAACAGCAAAAATATGTATAACTTAATCAGCCATTATATTACAAATTATGGATTTCTATCTCCAATGCCAAATCACCTGATTCCAACAATCAAACAATGATACTGCAATTACCATCGTTACTTCCTAGAACAATATCCACAGGTAATAAAGAGCCTAAGTGTCCGTGTCGACAAGGAACAGATGAACAAAGAATCAGAAAACCACAATTTAATTAAGCACCCATCAAAAGACCCAAAATCTAGGTTACAAATAAAGTACTAGAGAACCAAACTAAACAGTAAAAAAATTAAAGTTCAAGAAGGAAAAACCCCAAATGTGTATAAGCTAATTTAGCACAAATACATTTGCCCTTAACATTAAACACCCATTAGAAGAAATTTCTCACACAACTTATAAACCCCCAAAACGCAACTCTCCGCTTTTCTCCTCAGTAGAAAAAACACTTCTACACGTAAATCTTTCAAATGGAAGAAATAAGGATTAAACAGAACAAAACAAACATGCCCTCCGCTAGGTTATCGGGGAAACAAATCAAGAGAGAAAATAGAAGAATAAAAGAGTCAAAAAATTAAGGCATTTGTAATCATATTCAAGTGTTTCCTTTATCTACTAGACTTTCCTGTAAAAGAAAATGCAGCAGAAAGTTTAAAAAGGCGAAGAAAGAAGAGAAATACACATAAATTTGGTCTCACCAACGGAAGTAGAGATATCAATCTGAGTAACTTGGTGCTTCTTGAGCCTCTTGTGACAATGAGCAGCAACCCATATGGTGCCTAAAGGCCCCTTTCTGAAAAGAAGGCACTGCGGGAAGAACATGTCTAGTCTCTCTAAACTTCTTTCTCTCTCTCTATAATATGTGTGTATATCTGTGAACTTGCTTCTGAAATTCAAAAGATGAGAAGAAAACTGCTGCAAGTTGGAGGTGGAATGGGCTGTTTTGAGAGAGAAGGAAACGGTCGAGCAGAGTAGAGTACTAAGAAAGTCTCGGAATTTCACCAATTACAATAATAAATTTAACCCAAAAGGGAAATATTTGTTCAAAAATAAAATAGTACCATTTGCATTGAACAATGAGATAAGAAGGGACTAAACTGACCATAATGTCCTTTCTAATATATATATATATATATATATATATATATATTTTGCCTTGTCCTTTCTAATATTACCATAGTGTTCCAAGTATAAAACTCGAATTGCTATGTAGAAAAACAAAAATTGGAATTTGAGAAAATGTTACTAGTTTATATTATTATGTCAAAACTAAACTTTATATTATTATGTCTAGAAATAAAATAAAATAAAAAATTATATTATAATGTCAAAATTATACTTAATCCATTTTTGACTTGAGCCTCTAAATTAGAGCTAGATTTGAGGGTTATAGGTGATTGTACAAGTCATGGTTGGATGTTTCTCGTTATCTTAAAAAGCCCGATTTCAAACATTGCATCCATTAATTTCTAATATAACCTTCGTACTTGAAAATTTAAGAAAAAAAGAATTATAGACAGCCATTTCATCAAATAAAATAAGTTATCCCATTTTAAATCAAAAAAATAACCATAACCTTAAGGGATCGAAATGTGAAGAAGAAATTAGTTTAACTCTTTAGATCTCTATCTAACTTGTGAGAAAACAACAAAGATCCCTCTCGAGAGAATCCAAATATTTATTTATTAATAACCATTTTCAATATTGATCTAAGCTACCAAATATATTCCGGTAACAATCCTTTACTGACTCCAATCTAATTCAATAAAGTCTCAGCATTTAAAATTCTTTATTTACAAAGAATAGAAGATTTTTAAGTCCTCATTTTTATTTACTAAATTCTATCCTATGCTATCTTAGTATCTTAAATTCTTTAATAGAAGTTTTCTTTTTGGAATTTATGTTTTATTTTTTCCTTATTTTTGTGAGTATAAGTGACATACATAAACCCATACATAAAGAGGAATTTTGTATATTTTAGTTTGTCATTGTTTGTTATTCTTTAATATATATATATATATATATATATATATATATTTGCAATATTCTTTAATAAAAAAAAAAAAAAATTGACAATCAAGAATAAAATAGTACCATGATAAAAGATTTGATGCCTGCCGGCGTTTGCAGTCTTTGCACACCAACGGCAACTTTCTATAAACAGGACATGAAATTATGAAAATATTAAATTCAAATAAATAGATTTATTATTATTTATTTATTTTTAGTATTTTTTTTTTTTTTGCAAGTAATTAAATTCGTTAATTTATGCATGGCCAGCTCTCGTATTTGACAGCGGTACGTGTCACCGTCCCTTTTACTTTAACAAGAATGGGCAGGTCCATGAGTTAACCCGACGAGGTGTATTCAGGCGCACAAACTCTTCACTCTTCCTGCCACGTGTATTTTCTCTATTGGTTAAGAGTCCATTATTACATTAGTGGGAGACCACAAAACCAAGCTGTCACCAATTCAATGTGTCAAATTTTTTTTGAACAATTTTTTTTAACCCCTAAAATGCACCAACCAACTCAATGTTATGTTTGATTGCGTCAAAACAGTGTCTCCCATTTCAAATTTAAGACACCCATTGGTAGGTGAATTGTTCTATTATGTTAGAAGGGGAAGAAAAATATAAATAAGTATATTAGAATGACTTTTACAAAGTTTGACTTACTTATAAATAAATATGAGATTTATTATTTTTTTGCATCTCCTCGAAGCTTGCCTCATTTTGTAAAAATCATAATTTCCGTTTTGTCATAAAATTGATTTGAAGTAACCAAAATGTCCTTCAATTAAGTAAAAATACCATATTACCCTTATAAAGACAGACATTCAATTACAAAAAAAAAACACTTGCATCAATAGTCAAAACAACCCCAAGATAGTTATATGCATATACCCATTTCTCTCTGTGTGCATATATATATACACATGCATACACAAATATATATATTAATCCACCACCACCATTTCTTTCCTGCAAGCCGGCGGCGCCGTCGCCCCTACCACCAAAACAGTAGCACTGAAATCAGCCAATTCTAACCCAAAAATTTCTGAACTCATAATACCCTAAAAAATAATGGCATCTTTCAGGCTTTCTCCAACAATTTCGATGTCGATCTAGTCGATTTGCTTTTCTTACATCTATTCTAGATAGAGATGAGATATATGATGTATTTTTGTGTTGTTGAGAGTTACACGGGTTTTTAAGAACTATTTTATTTGAAAAGGCATTGAGGGCATTAGTGGTGGATCGCCGGAGTTAATGGGATGCAATTGTTGATTGTGTCTCATCAGTTTATGTTGGAATTTTTGTCGAAGATGACGGTGGAATTAGGGAAACTTTGCTGGAACACCATCATTCGACACGAACGACATTGAAACCCTCACGTTCACAGATGTGTAACAAACCCATTTCCATGGTGAGGCAAGACTCTATAAGTTAATGGCTAGTATTCGATGATGACCAGTTGATGAGGCGTTACTCCTTAGATGATGACCGATGGCAAGGTGAAACGATGAGTGAGACAACGGTGGCTAAGAATTTATAATCTGTAATGTGACCCAGTACTGAAAACCCCTATTTGAGACTTGACAGAGGTCAAAATTCGCTCAATTGACACATTTATTGATCTGGGTCGATCTCTGATAGTGTTGAAAATCAATCTTTGTTTGTGGGTCAGTGACCCCTTCTTTTAACCATTCTGGGGGGGGGGGGGGAGAGAATAGAGAAGAAGATGAAAAAAAAAAAATTCAACGTGTGTAAACTTGTAATTTAACATATTAAGATATTTTAATTTTTTTAGTAATATAATAATAAGAGTAAATAAGTAAATTCATTTCAAAATTTGACGGGTTCTGTGCAAAAATAATAACAAATTTTAGATTTAGTTGCAATTAAACCAAACTTTAAGAAAAGTCATTAGTTTACTCAAAAAAAAAAAAACAAAGCACTCCACTGTACGAGTCCCTTACTTTCAAAAACTCCAAAATTAATTATGAAAAAGTTAACATCATTATTTTTTCAATTTAAAAAAATGACAGATATCTTAACAATTATCTTATGAGACTTGCACTCTTGATCCTTTTTTGAGAAGCAAGAGACTGATGCCGCTAAGTCACTGGTCAAGTCATTGATCAGTTGATTTTTTTTTTTTTTTTTTATCCCCACCTATTTTCCTTTCCAAATGCAATTCTTTTTTTTCTTCAATTAAGTAATAAAATATATATATACACACACTCTTTGTGAAACATAGATTTTTATAAATTTTTGTAGACATTTTTTAAAAATATTTTTTAAGATCTTTTAAATTTTGTTTGAAAGTTTGCAACAATAGATATTTATTTTGTTTTTTGAAACTTATAAACCTTTTAGTGATAAAAAAGAATACTTTTAAAGCTTGTGGGGGTGCGTCGCCTACAATATCCTTGTCATGTCCTAAAAATCATAAATATGAGATAAGCGCGACGGCTCAGTAGGAGATGCCTAAAGCATTAGCTTTGGGATCCCTTAAGTCAACATACGAAGAATAGCTAAAAGAAATCGAGGTCATGCGAGGGAATGCCAATAAACCACAATCGACACAAAAATACCATCATGCTATAAAATGTCATGCTTTCCCAATCACAATTCTCGGCCCAACTCAACACACATCGAAAACAATTAACCGACTTTACCAAGGCGAGATTGATTGGCTATCCTTAGTTCCTATCCAGCAACTATTTGGGGTCTAACAATCAACTTTATACGTCCTCACCGGCAAGCGCTCCTTCTAGGTCGAATTAGCCTCAGGCTCGTGAAACCCGATTTCTTTCATAAAATCATTTTCCTAACTATTTCCAAATCATTTTCTTTTTTTTTTAAAAAAAAAAAAAACATTTCAACTACCATTCCCAAAACCATGCTCATGCCATGAGTGAAATCATGCATTATAGAGATTAATATTTTCATGCTTGTAATGTCATAACAATCAATTTATACATATAATCAACATCACATTTAGACATGCTTTCTCAATTCAACATACAATACCATTTCAACTTAATATTTAACAATTAGAGCAAGTAAAATATGAAAATCAAGAAGAGAAACTCAAACAAGAGATAAAGCATGGCACTTTAAACATCCCTACCTCAAGAATGCAACCCAAAGCCTTTAACTCCCAAGCTCGAAATTCCCAAAATACATGTAAGACCAGTTGAGAAATGTAGATCTTGAAGAGTAGAACAATTTTCCTTTTTGTTCCCCACCTAAATCTTCCTTAGCTAGCTCAAATCTTAGAGAGAAGTTTGAGATTTTAGAGAGAGAAAACGAAATGGAGGAAAGAGAGAGTGTGTGATCAGAAGTGAGGGAGAGAAGATTGAAAATGTGTTCCAAGCTTGGCCAATTTCTCCTTAAATGTGTGGTCTAAAATGGGTCAAAAGTCCACCCATGCTCAAATGCCAAATGCCCTCCAAAGATCATTAAAAAATCACCATTGCCACAAAATATCCATCTCCACCCACATTATACATATACATACACATTTAATACATTAATTCACATATAGATAAATGCATTGTAATGGGAAAATAACGTCGAGACCATACAACACGCAAAACGATAAACAAAGAAAAATAAATAAAAAATGAAAATAATGCCTAAAAATTCGGGACGTTACAATATCTTCCAAAAGATATTTTCTTAAACCCCTAATTAAAATATCTCCAAAAGATATTTTTGGAAAACACCCCAAGAAAAAAAAATATTTTTGAAAAATCCTTTCATCTACACCTCTACGGGAGAAAGAATCAATCGTTGAACTTTTCTCCAAAAGTAAAGTTACGCGCTTCGAGGAAATCAACTGGAATGAAAACTCGTGAAGTTAAAAATCAACTTCGAACACGAAAAGTGAGGTTATGCCAAAAAAATAACAAACAGGGAAAAAGATGAAAAATGAATAGTGTCGAAAAAAAAAAATGTGGAAATGACGCGGTCCTTACAAGGAAGTTGTCAATCCAAAGGAAGGAGTCTCGAAAACCATTCCTGAGCACTCGAGACGATACTAAGTGACAAGGAACCGAACTTAGAAAAGAAAAATCAACGGAAAAAATTTATCCATAAAATTTAAGAAAAATGAAAGGAAGAAAAATGACTGAGTCATTACAAAAGTGCCCCTATTCCTATTATATAAAGCAAATTGCATAAAACCTCCTCTACTTTTAATTTTTGGCAAGAAACCTTCCTGAAGGAAGAAGTTCACAGAAATAATCCCCTAACTATCTAATTTGTTGCAAAGTGCTGTTATAATAACTAAAGTGGCCCTTAATATAAATTTAATAAAATGGTGCTTCTTAATATTAAATTAAAATTAATATAAAATTCATTTGACATAGTGTTGTTAGAAAAATTTTGATTATTTTTTTTAAATGGTGAGTCTATAACAAAATGAAAATACCTTGAAACAATTTTTAAAGTTTTCTTAAATTTTTATTTTTTTTTAAATGGCGAGTCTATAAGAAATTTATGAAAATTGTTTTAAGGTATTTTCATTTTCTTATAAACTCATCATTTTAAAAAGAATCAAAATTTTTATAACGACACTATGCCAAATGAGTTTGTAATAATTTTAATTTAATATTAAGGAGCACCATTTTATTAAATTTATATTAAGGTGCACTTTAGTCGTTATAACGTCACTTTTGCAAAAAATTGGATAGTTAAGGGATTTATGTGATTTTTTTTTTTTTTAGGGAGGTTTCTTGCCAAAAATTCAAAGTAGAAAATGAAAATACCTTGAAACAATTTTCATAATTTGCTTAAATTTTTATTTTTAAAATATAAAAGTCTATAAGAAAATAGAAAATACCATTGTTCAGCTTTTATTCTTTTCTTTTTTTTTTTAAATAAAAAATAAAAATACCTTGAATCAATTTTCAAAAATTTTATTTTTATTTAGCTTTTCTTTTCTTTTTTATTTTTAAAAATAAAAATTTAAGAAAATTTTAAAGATTGTTTCAAGGTATTTTCATTTTCTTATAAACTCACATTTGAAAAAAATAATAATAATTTTTTTTTCTAACAGCACTCTGTCAAATGAATTTTGTATTAATTTTAATTTAATTAAGGAGCTTCATTTTGTTAAATTTATATTAAGCGACACTTTAGCCATTATAACATCATTTTGCAACAAATTAAATAGTTAAGGAGGGGTTTATGTGAACTTTTTTCTTCAAGGAGGGTTCTTGTCAAAAATTCAAAATAAAAAAAGGGTTTTATGCAATTTGACTTATATAATAGAAATATGGTTATTTTCGTTTCAAAAATATTTTTCATCCACTACATTCTCTCAAATAGTTGAATGATTTTTTCAACAAAAAATTAATCGAGGGGTGTTATTGTAAAATTTGAATAATTGAGAGGGTTTATTATACTTTATTTTTAAATTAATATTTGTTCAAATTTGAAAAAAAAAATTAGTGTAATTTGTCCTTAAAATAAAGAGTTGCCGGTGAACCACTCTCAAGCATGTGAGACCCACCACAGCCTGTCATGTGACTGTGAGTCTCGGACTCAAGCCAAATCGGTCCAAGTAGATTTATTGGTTAATAAAGTATCATCGACGTATCATTTGTAGCACGTGGCCTCAACTTGAGCGGCTGATATTTAGCGGAAGCCCAACATCTATCTTCGGACCCAAGACCCTCCAACCCTCTCTGTTTCTTCTTTCAGAGTTGGGTCCAGAAACGACTGCCATTTTACGTCGTTTCTTCATCGCAGTCCTCCTGATCGATATATATATATATATACACATACACATATACATATGCAGCATATACAAAATCAAGAGGACAAGCGATTAAACAATCACCAATCCACAAATGAAAACCTTCACTGTCATCAGATCCTCTGACCTTCCGCTTTTCTCAAGAACCCCATTTTCCATTCCCAGGTAACTTAACGTTCTCTTGTCAGATTCCAATTTCTTCTTCGTTTCAATTTCATATCATAGATTTTTCTCTGCCAATTAAACAGAGCACTCACTAACAATCTTCATTCTCTTATGTGCGTGTATGTGTATGTGGCCATCAGGGGCTTATATATATATATATAAATTATTTATTATTCTGCACTCATAAATTATTTAATTGCTAATTTGTGGTTGAATAGTTGCTTGATTTTGGAACTTGGGCTGTCATTTATTGTGGTTATTTATTAGATATATCAATGTACAAATAATCTAGAACTTGAAAGCATATTAGTGAGATATAATATTCATTGCTCTCAATGTAAATTTTACGGTAAAACCTGGGAAGGATAATAGAAAGTAGGTTGTTTAGGATGGTGAATAAGTTTGAAGGAATAGCTTAGCCATCCCCCACCTAGACATGATCCCAATAGGTGACAACAAGGAAGTGATGCAGATGGTTTGGGCTTTAGACATATATGTTGAGAGACGAGAACTATCTTCATAACTTGTTCCCGGTGGGAAGACATGGTATTGGATGGGATAGAGCAAAACCAAGGGCACATTGTTGTTCTTATATATCTTGAACTAATCATGGGGTATTAGGCATGAAAATTTGGACATTCATGGTTTGGGCTTTTGCACATTAGGGTTTGAGCTTTTGCACATTATAGTTTGTTTTTTTCTTTTTCTTTTCTTACCCCCAAAAAAAACCTTCAGTTATCTTTTCCTTCTAAAAATCATAAACTTGTCAAATCTTCTGTTATGAGGATTTACCATAATCTCCTTTGGTGGGATTCTATTCCTTCTTCAGATACAGTGATTTTTAACTCTTTTTCTGAACAAGGGCATTTAGTTATTCATCGAATCACATCATCATTATTTATATTGGTCATTACAGTGGATTACTCTAATATGGTAAAACATTCTGATACTTAAATTAAGGTTCGCATTGTTATTCATGTGATGATTAGACATTACAATATAGTAATTACTTTTGCAAATAGTTATAGGAACAACAACAACAACAACAACAAAGAGACTAGTAATTTGCATCTCTCTTTTCCTATCTCCCTCTCTACTTCCTCTTTCCATATCTCTATCACATTTAAGTTTTATTTTTCTATTACCAGTCAAGTTGACAACATTGATTTTTATTTTTTATTTTTTCAAAAATTTTCTGCAGGACTCAAGTTTCCTTTCCAGCGAAACTCTTCTTCTGCCAAGCAAAGTTTGGTAAGCAAATATATATATATTTGTTTTCTCCGTATAAGCTCCAATGGACCAACTCAATTTCCGCATAGAACTCACAAGTTTGCATGTTTGTTTGGATTACTCCCTCTTAATAACATTTGAATTTGGGACAGATCGGTCGTTCAACACAAGAGTTGTGCCTCCAAATCTTCTAGTGGCAGAAAAAGAGGAAGCGAAGGCTGTACTAACATTGTTCTTGAAAAAACAAGGTTTGACCAATACAGTCGCGACAAGAACAATCAACAAGTCGGACCTTTTCATTGATCACCTTGTGTCAAGGCTTCATTCAGTTCATAAATCTCGGTATCTAGTAGGTTCGATTTTAACATATTACTGCTTATCATGAACCAGACATTATATTAGCATCTTTTGTTTAAGTTCCCACTGCCAGCTTACCTGATTTTCCTTGCAATGCAGGACGAGAGCTTACAACTCTTGAGATTAGGGATGCTCTTATTCCGTACCTTGAAACTCTTCTCGAGGAACATGGGGACATTCTTGTTGATGTAGTGGAAAACTATCCAGACCCACCTATTAAAGAGAAATCAGTGGTGGATAACTTTCATAACCAACCTGTCAAAGAAAGATCAACTGTGCAACTTTCTCCCCCCACTAAGACCCTTGACTCCAAGAAGCTAAAAGCCTTGGCTCGAGTTAGTGAGATCGGCCCAGCCGGGAAGCTTCCTCCACATATTGACTACCTCATGGATCTCGGTATGGAACTTGATTCGATCAAGGAAGTTACACGCAAGTTCCCTGCTTTTGCCTACTACAGCTTGGAGGGGAAAATCAAGCCTGTGGTTGAATTTTTTCTTGATCTTGGGGTGCCAAAATCGGACATTCCCACCATCCTCAGCAAAAGGCCTCAACTATGTGGAATCAGTCTCTCAGAAAACTTAATACCTACCATGACATTTTTAGAGAACTTAGGCGTGGACAAGAAACAGTGGGCTAAAGTGATTTACCGCTCTCCAGCACTTCTCACATACACAAGACAGAAGTTGAAAGCGACTGTAGATTTTCTTTATGAAATGGGTGTCTCAGCTGAGAATGTGAGTAAGATTCTTACACGCTGCCCAAACATTATAAGTTATAGTGTGGAGGATAAGTTACGACCAACTGCCGAATACTTCCACTCTATGGGGGTTGATGTTGCTACTCTTCTCCACCGGTCTCCACAAACTTTTGGTCTAAGCATTGAGGCCAATTTGAAGCCTGTGACGGAATTTTTCTTGGAAAAGGGATACACTATGGGGGATATTGGGACCATGAGTTCAAGATATGGGGCTTTATATACTTTTAGTTTGGAAGAGAACTTGATACCAAAGTGGGAGTTTTTTCTAACCATGAATTATCCAAAATCTGAGCTAATCAAGTTTCCTCAATATTTTGGTTACAGTTTGGAGGAGAGGATTAAACCTAGGTATGCAACTGTGAAAGAGAGTGGAGTAAGGTTGCTGCTGAACCAGGTGCTATCTCTTTCGGATCTTGAATTTGACAAGGCATTGAAACGAAAAATCAAGAAGATGCTTACTAACAAGGCTCCAAGTGTTACATTGAGAAGTGATGATCTCCATTCAGACACGGAATGATAAGCCCACATGGTATAGATTCTATTCCACTCCAGGATACCAAATTCAATGAGATATCATGGATCTGCGACTGCAAGGTCAGAGAAACTAGTAATGTGTTAGATGGATAATAGTTTGATGTATTGTTGTAAGAATTAGAAAATTAGCTGACTTTGGGCATGTCTTTGTTGTTTTGAGTAATATTCAGGCTCTAGAGTAGATATCTTCTTCTTGTAAAATTGTATAGACAGAAGAAATGAAGGCTAAATTTACTAGACTAGGCTGTTTCCGAACACTTCTGCGTCTGTGGTTTTGTGGACAGTTATTCCTGTATGTATTATATTGGTACCTCGCGAGTATTTAGAAACTGAAAGCCAGGAAATTGATACCAGGTTGCTTTAGCATTGCAGCTGAATGGGTTTCTTCTGTTACCTCATAGCATTTGAATGAGTCAATTCTGTTGCAAGTTTGTATCACGGTGACTAATCTCTAGTCCTTTATGGTATATTGACGCCAACTTTTTATCTGGGGGCTGTTCTAAAGATTGGACTTATGCCTTCGCTCCGCTGATAAACACACACACACAGAATGGACATAATTTCAATTGCTTCTTTGGCGTGTGTTTGTACTTCCTATTGTTCATCTGACAAAGTTTCTTATGGCGAACTTGTTTCTGATGGCTTCATTGTCACATGGATTAGAGCTTAAAAAGTCTACTCTTTTTTCTCATTTTATTCCACTTTCATATTAATTCTCTTATACATTGCCGTTCCTTTTATTTTAGGTAATAAATTTTAATTTATGGATTAGTGTACTCCGAAAGTTTCAAGCAAAATCAAACCCAATATTTATTATTATTATTTGTCTTTTCTGATAGGTTTTGTAAATTGAAGATGTTGTTACTTATAAAATTTCAAATCATATGTAGAAGGGTGTTTTCAGTATAGTGTAAAAATTGATGTGCAATAATCTTTAAAAAAAAAAAAGGCATAGTCTAAAATGCTGTAAGATTGGTGGTGGGAAGAGAATATTGGAGACTGATTGTACCAATGAGAAAAGTGGTCAAAATCAAGCAAAGGAAGACATGACAAAGCGGTGATTTGACCAAATTAAGAGTGTTTTTTTTTTTTTTTTTGCATGACAAGAATGATAGGAGTTAATGGAAAGAGAAAATGAGTGCAAAACTTGAATACAAAATTCTGAATTTAAACATAAAAGAGTAATCACTCGATAACACAACCTTGCAATTTAGGAGATCGCAAGTTAAAAGTTTACACGCCCATTTTGGGGTATCTAAAGATTTGTCATTGATGTACATGTGGGGCAATGGATGTACAAAATGTAAATTGTTATAATTGGTCCTGCTTAACTGATTTAATTCGGACCTCACTGACTCTACAATAATTATATCTATGTATCTTTGAACTACTTGCGATTGATTAGGGATCATTACTCAATTTCTGCTGGTATTGATCATCCAAGATATATCAATTTCGATTTGACTCTGTCAATACTCATATTGTGCTGTTTATTCAGGTGCAAAAAAGTGATTTATACTAAGCCACATCACACCTTTTTAAATTACAAAATAAATAACAAAAAACTCCAACACCATTTCGGTAAGTAATTTCAGAGCCATATTTATCGTAGGTATGTAAGTAATTTCACAATTATAATTACTCTCTTAGATATTATCAACATAGTTAGTAAAATACAGAACTAAAAAAAAAAGAAGAAGAATTCGAAAACTTAGTATAATTTGATTTTTTTTATTTATTTAAAAAACATGTTATAAAAATTTGGTTGAAAAAAAAAAGAAACATAAAAATTAGAATAAATTAAAAATTTGGGACAAAAAATTTGGCTATATATACACATTTTTTTAAATATATTTTTATGTATCATATCCTTGAAAGTATATTAAAAGAAAATGTAACAAATAATAAAATGTCATTTTAAGAAAATTGACACTATCACAATAACCAGGAAGAAATAAACTAATTAGACATAATTAATCAATAACTATGACATCATAAATTCATCAAACATTAACAAAAAATCTAATTCAAATAATCAACTATGTTTATCTAAAAATAAATAAAAAATTACTCTCTTTTTTCCAACTTTTCTCGATATAACACACACACAGGGGCGGAAGTAGCATGTGCCCGGGGGGGTAGTTGCCCCCCCCGCCCATGCCCCATTAGAATTATATATATATATATAAATTTGTAAAAATTGACTAATGCCCCCCCTAAAATTAATAAAATGGCCCCTCTGCCCCTGAATCCACTAAATTTATTTTATTTTATGCGTATGATTTGTAAATATTTATAAAACACTCTCATAAAATTTTAAAGTATCCCCATAAAATTATCTATTTCTAAAAATGTCTTTAGTTCTTTATTCTTTTTCCTTCTTATTCTTCAAATTTCTTTTTATTTCATTTTCTTCTTAAAATTTTCTTTTTTCTTCTTAAAATTTTCTTTTTTCTTGTACTTATGCAAAATTTATGTGCAATAACCTTTTTTTTTTCTTTTTTTTTTTTTCCTTTTTTTCTCTTCTAATTCATTTTTTATTCACTTATTCTAATGCACAGTTGCTACATTATTATATTTTTCGCTTACTTGAAAAAAATTATTTTATCAATGTTAATATGCCCCCCTGAACCAAATTTCTGGCTCCACCCCTGCACGCGCGCGCACACGCACTCACACACATATATATATATAGTAAATGCATAAGTATAATTTGTTAAACTTAAAGTTTTAAATTAAATTGGATTAGAAGATCACATAATACATTTACGCGCATGTTTAAATCTTAGAAATGTAGAATGGACTTTTGACATCTTTTGTAATAGACTGCCATGGACAATGATTTAGTAATGTAATTATATTCTTTTGTGAGTTTCAAGAAAAGCTTTTGTAATTATGGCCATGGAAGCCTCATCATTTTGTGAACATATTTTTTTGCACTTGTATAAACGTTTCAAAGATGTATGAATGATGATGTTTGTAAATTTTATGAAACATTTTATGGTTGATGATGTTCACGGAACTTAAAATTTCATGTTTAGGTGTTTGGGAATTGCATTTGATAGGATTGTGAAGCAGGAATTTTCGTAGATTCGTCTGTGGGCATCATCTAACCGGTTAGAAAAGATCACCTCACCGGTTAGATTAAAGGGGAATATTGTGTTGGTTTGATAGGCTTTTCCCATCTAACTGGCTATGAGGGGTTTTCCTAACTGGTTAGATAGTTTTTAGGTGTTTTACTACCCGGGTAGGAGATTCTTCGTAATCGGTTAGATGTAAGGGGCAGAGAAGGGGTTGGATAATCTTCCTTAAGTAACCAGTTAGATAAGGTTTCCTAACCGGTTAAATTTTGTTTTTTTACGATTTTTCCACTAGACCATTCATGTACTCGGTTAGGAGAAATCTTCTCCTAACCGGTTACATGTGATCTGATGACTTGCAAGCTTACTGGACCATTCATCTACTCAGTTAGGAGGATTCTCCTAACCGATTAGATGAACTGATATTTTCAAAAGGACTTCATATTTCAACATAATTACCTAATGACCCCTAGACCCTAACCAAAGTGTCAAATGACCTAGAAAATGACAGAATTACCCCTGAAGGGTATGAACGTTGTAATTTGACTAGAAAATGATATTTTTGCCCCTGAGGGTTTTTATATCACTATTTCAATGTGATAAAAGTCTATTTTACCCTTTTAGGTTTAATATTATTATTTAACCATGCAAAAAGACCATAATGCCCTTATGAACTCTAGGAGCATTAGAAGGACGTGGTATGACTACATGTCACGCCCTGAATCATATGACTCGGGTTGCGAAGGGGAAAAAAAAAGAAGGCAAATAAATAAAATAAATAAATAATTAGGTTCACTCGAGTAAATAAATAATAAGTAAATAAAAATAAAAATTATTATTATTAATTAATTAAGTGAATATCATTTAGTCGACAATACAGTATCTATGCATTAGGTAGCCTAAAATAGACACATATGATGGCAGGCGGACTAGCTTGGTCGTTGTCAACACAGTAGTGGGTTAAACTTTTAAACCACAACATGGCATTAACTGATGATACTAAAATGAATCTATATATATATATATATATATATATATATGACAATAATTCAATTTATGACAGCAAATGCTCTCATAATCTGACATGTATAACAACAATAAGTGGCCTAACTGAGAAAGTCAATTCTTGGACTTATTTTGAATATACATGGACATGCACATATACTGATCATAGTTTCATTGAAAATAATAATAATAATAATAATAATAATAATATTTTCATAAAAATAAATAATAGTATGATTAATTAACCATTTATATTAGACTATCTAAATGAACCCACATGTGCACAACTTAAACAATAATTGTTCAATCCTACTGTAGAAGTCATGGGCACCATGGCCTCATTACAATCCATAAGGTGAGAAATAATGTTAAGGGATTACATGAGTAAAGGTAAGAGAGGAAATTCCATAAGAACTCCAAAAGATAGATGGGTGAGTTCCTACGTCATTTTCCTCCTCCAAAAGAATATTACAAGCATGTCGTCAAATATAATATCCAAAATACACCATGTGTCAAAATACACCATGTGTCAAAATACAAGTCCAAAAGTAAGCTACACAATGGATGTCACAATTATCACAAGTAGCTTAAAAATGTTGCCAAGATATATCCCAATTAAGCTAGGGATGATGAACCTCCTCTTGGGTAATATCCTTTCCTGAAAAATATAAGAATCAATGGGGTGAGTAACGAATTGCTCTGTAGGAATGTCTCATGAATATATATTAAGTTTCTCAAAATTTTACAAACATTGCATGGCCATACAATACAAGGAATATGCTCCCTAACGTCTAGTCTCAATGGGAACCTAAATATGATCATCCTAGTCTAGCATAAATAATATTAATTCATTCATCAAGACAAATATAAATAATATAGTGTAATGTACATAAATTCACAAGTTACAATAACACATAAATGCCAACTTGAAAATAAAAGTCGAAATCAATTAATAGGATAACTCGGAACACACCCACACTTCCGGTCGCATAGCCATGCTATAAGCTTAAATAAAAATAGTTGTTTTCGGATTATTAGTCCGTTGGAAACTAACCGATTAATAAATATAAAGTGGGGGAAACTCATGTTTCACCCGTGAGCGCCAAGCCCTCGCATTCTCAAAGTAACAACCCCCGAGTATCTCCCAAAATCAACCAAGAAGTCCACAAAATAATCCATATACCATGATATACCCAAATTGTACTTCACATGTGCACATAAATTATACTAAGCACACAATCCATGTCCTGTGGTCCAAATCACTATAATAACATACTCTTTGATGCAATGTCAACAAATTGGGTATTT